GCAGCCGCCGCATCTTCTGCAGCAGCCGCCGCTGCATCTACAGCAGCGGCCGCCGCCGCATCTACGGCAGCAGCAGCCGCCGCAATCTACAGCAGCGGCCGCCGCAGCTACAGCAGCATCAGCCGCCGCTGCCTCTGCAGCAGCAGCCGCCGCCGACCCAGCAGCAGCAGCCGCCGCCGATCCTGCAGCAGCCGCAACCGCCGAGTCTACTCCATCGGCTGCCGCCGGCCCTGCAGTCCCTACTGTAGCCGAACCTGCAGCAACTGCCGCCGCTGTCGCGACTGCCCCGGCCCTGCCTTGCCCTGCTGCTACTGTCACTGCCAAGTTTATTACTTACTTTTCCTCCTCCTGCTACCATGGCTACTGCTCCTGTTCTAGCCTTCGACGCTGAGGGCCGCCCAGTGAAATTTGACACCTGGCTCGATGATCTGCACCTTTTCCTACAGCTCACTGCCAAGGAAGACATTTCACTGTACGACCACGCCCTAGGCCATGCTACTGCCCCTGACTCCTCTGCTGCTAGCACACTGCGCTCCCAGTGGCAGACCCGCGACGCACACGCTCGCTTTGCTATCCGCAACTCCCTGCCGCTAGATGAGCGCGAGCACTTCGGCCAGTGCAAGACTGCTAAGGAACTGTACACAGCCGTAGTTGCTCGCTACTCCTCGCCTGCGTCTGCCACCCTAGGCCGCCTCTCCCTGCCCTACCTGTTCCCCGACCTGGCCTCCTTTCACACTGTCGCTGATCTCATCACCCACCTCAAGACTAGTGAGGCCCGTTTTCGCGCTGCTATGCCTGCCGAGTTCCTTGCTAGCAACCCCCCCCCGCTCTGGCTCACCCTCTACCACCGGGTACTAGCGCTCGTTCCGAGCGTTTTTCTTCCACCGGGTCACGTGGCTGCGCTTGTCTAGTCCTCTTGCCAAGCCAGCAAGGGCGTGGGAGGGTTGCGAGCATCATCGGTCATCGGCGCTTGCGAATGAAGAGCGCCCGCTGCACTTCCTGCACATGTGTGGATTCTTCCACCTTTTTGGGGGTGGAGGCGCTCGTTCCAAGCGTTTTTCTTCCGCCGGGTCACGTGGCTGCGCTTGTCTGGTCCTATTGCCAAGCCAGCAAGGGCGTGGGAGGGTTGCGAGCATCATCGGTCATCGGCGCTCGCAAATGAAGAGCGCCCGCTGCACTTCCTACACGAATGCGGATCCTTCAGCGTTTTGTGGGTAGAAGCGCTCATTTCAAGTGTTATTCTTCCGCCAAGTCACCTGGTTGCCAACACTTGTCTGGTCCTCTTGCCAAGCCAGCAAGGGCGTGGGAGGGTTGCGAGCATCATCGGTCATCAGCGCTCGCGAATGAAGAGCGCCCACTGCACTTCCTGCACATGTGCAGATCCTTCCGCGTTTTGGGGGTGGAAGCGCTCATTCCGAGCGTCTTTCTTCCGCCAAGACATGTGGTTGCGCTTGTCTAGTCCTATTGCCAAGCCAATAAAGGCGTGGGAGGGTTGCGAGCATCATCAGTCATCAGCGCTCGCGAATGAAGAGCGCCCGCTGCACTTCCTGCACGTGTGCGGATCCTTCAGCATTTTGGGGGTAGAAGCGCTCATTCCAAGCGTTTTTCTTCCGCCAAGTCACGTGGCTGCGCTTGCCTGGTCCTCTTGCCAAGCCAGTAAGGGCGTGGGAGGGTTGCGAGCATTATCGGTCATCGGCGCTCGCGAATGAAGAGCGCCCGCTGCACTTCGTGCACGAATCCGGATTCTTCATAGCTTTGGGGGTGGAAGCGCTCGTTCCGAGCGTTTTTCTTCCGCCAGGTCACGTGGCTGCGCTTGTCTTGTCCTCTTGCCAAGCCAGCAAGGGCGTGGGAGGGTTGCGAGCATCATCGATCATCGGCGCTCGCGAATGAAGAGCGCCCGCTGCACTTCCTGCACATGTGCGGATCCTTCCGCGTTTTAGGGGTGGTAGCGCTCATTGCGAGCGCTTTTCTTCGAACAGATCACGTTGCTGCGCTTTTTTGGTCCTATTGTCACGCCAGCAAGGGCGTGGAAGGGTTGCGAGCATCATCGGTCATCGGCGCTCGCAAATGAAGAGCGCCCGCTGCACTTCCTGCACGAATGCGGATCCTTCAGCATTTTGGGGGTAGAAGCGCTCATTCCAAGTGTTATTTTTCCGTCTTGTCAGGTGGCTGCGCTTTTCTGGTCCTCTTCCCTAGCCAGCAAGGGCATGGGAGGGTTGCGAGCATCATCGGTCATCAGCGCTCGCGAATGAAGAGCGTCCGCTGCACTTCCTGCACATGTGCGGATCCTTCAGCATTTTGGGGGTAGAAGCGCTCATTCCAAGCGTTTTCCTTCCACCAAATCATGTGGCTGCGCTTTTCTGGTCCTCTTGCCAAGCCAGCAAGTGCGTGGGAGGGTTGCGAGCATCATCGGTCGTCGGCGCTCACGAATTAAGAGCGCCCGCTGCACTTCCTGCACGTGTGCGGATCCTTCAGCATTTTGGGGGTAGAAGCGCTTATTCCAAGCGTTTTTCTTCCACCAAGTCATGTGGCTGCGCTTGTCTGGTCCTCTTGCCCAGCCAGCAAGGGCGTGGGAGGGTTGCGAGCATCATTGGTCATCGGCGCTCGCGAGTTCAGTGTTCCTCCGTCCATGCCGCTTTACACTTGCTGAATTCCAAGCTCCTGTTTTATAATTCTACTTCCCACTCAAGCAACGTTAACATGTCTAAGATACGGAGTTGTTGTGTCTCTGAGACTCTAAACACCTCTACGCGATATGGATAGTTCTAACGTCTTTGGAATCTACGCCACATACTGGAACAATAAGCATCTTGTCTCAATGTGGTGCACAGATGCACCACATTGTATTGTCTACCGCACAGAGGGGTGCATATATTTGCTCCTTGCAACATGTGTCCTTACCCAATGCCAAATGCCTTGAGGCCATCAGGATTCAGATCAGGAAAATGCTCACAACTATCACACAATCAAGACAACACAGAATTATCGTCCAGGGCTGTTCTCAGTCAAAACATCCGGTGGGGGAATGCACGACTAAATACAACACTCCCAACTCAGCGGCTGGGCTGACAGCAAGGAGCACTGTCATCACATGTCAGTGCTGAGGAGTAATTACATACACATGTCATCTCCATTTGGAAGGAGCACTAGTACCTTATTTCTCCTTCAGAGCAGCAATCTGTTTCTTGAGAGCCTCTTTCCGTTTCATGTTCTCGTACAGCTTGGCCTGGTAAAATGCTGACAATTACCGCACAATCAAGACAAAACAGAACAATCCTCCATGTCTAATCAAGTATCAAAACATTGGGTGGGGGAATGCACAACTAAATACAAGACTCCCAACTGCCGTTTCCTAAGAGCTCAGCAGTTGGTCTGACACCAGGTGGTGGTGATGAGTGTTTTCATACACGTGTTTCCCTTATTTCTCCTTGAGAGCAGCAATCTGTTTCTTGAGAGCCTCTTTCCGTTTCATGTTCTCATACAGCTTGGCCTGGTACCCCGTCAGGTCTGTCTTCTCTTTCTCCTCCTGCGGAGGAGGCTTCTTCCGTGCTGCTTGTGCACTCTGCGGCAGAGCCAATGCACCAAGAAGTGCCGCCCCGGACACAGCCACAAGCGCCCTGCAGCGGCATGAGGAAGTGATTCACATCAATGACCTTGCCAAAATACAAGGGGCGAAATTGATGGGAGTTATATTGTTCTTTTAACGATGCGTTTGCTGCTGAGGTGGAATGCGCATAGTGAGAGACTATTGACACAGATTAGGGGGGTCGTGGGGGTGCGGGAAGAAGGCTACTCAAAGAGAGTTACAGTTACCTTCTGGTAGTGACATCCTCGTTTGAAGCCCGGCACCTCCATCCAACAATCCGTTGACTGGCGGGTGCCGGACGCACGGATTTGGCTTCCAGCCGCATTCCGGCGAACTCTGGAGCCTTCAGCGTTGTGCACGCCGGCGTGGAAACGAGGATAGACGCGGCCATGGTTGGGAAATTTGGCGTTACGCCGACAGCTGAACTAGGAAACCAGTGCGCCTGCGAGGGTATGCGCGGTCTAACCAAGAGTGCTTACCGAAAATGAGTTTGTCGGTAAGCGAACATCAATGGCTGCAGTAACAAATTTGCTGTAAATAGGCACGAGCTGAAGCAATACATTTCGCTTCCGAAATCGGTAGCGTCCCGGTAGCGGCCTCGGTAGCGCTACCGGGCTCCGAGCCCCCTGCACGCGAGGGCGAGCAAAATGCCCTAGTAATTGTGAATGCCCTAATAGGCACGAGCCACGTCAACCGAAGCCTAGTCAGCCAAATCTATGGGATTTGGCGGGAGAATAAATGCTGCTGTCGTGGCGCAATCTTTGTACTGATTGACGTGGACCATGCAGCCGATGACATGGTGTTGACGCGGATTGTGGTGTCAACAGAGTGTCCAGCTGATAACTCCCTTTTCAGTATGCATTCATCTCAAAGTTCCGCGATAAGGGAGGCCCTCCATTAGTTCCAAAAAGGAGTGAAGTAACAATGTCTCAGTAAAATTCTGTTGTTGCTTCTTCATGTTGCTTAATCCAGCATGTGCGACTTAATGTGATTAATATAATGTTTCCATGGAAGCGAGATAATCGAATATGGAAGGAAAATATCAGTGGGGGGTATGACCCTACAACGGGTGAAAGAGTTCATTACAATGTAGTCTTTACGAAATTTTCAGTTCACGTGTACATCCATTCCATCTCTGCTCACCACCTGAATGTGATCCTCGATAACATACCTGCAGGTCTCTTGGTTCAAAAGGGCATCTGAATCTGACGAGACGCAGCTAGACCCAAGCTTCTGGCTATTTGAATCTGCTGCCATTACAATATCCTGCTCGCCTGCTCGCCTGCTCGCGTCGGGTTATTCGCTTCACTCGCTCGCGGATCTCCACGGATCGGGTCTCGGTAGACGTTGTGACCTTCCAAGTTCAATTCTTGACCGCAGCTTTTGCTAAGGTTTCGCCATGGCGGGAATGGGAATGATGGTAAGTGAATCTGCAACAGCGACGCGCTTACCAGCTAGCAGGCTGACGGTGATCTCCAAGATCGATGTTTGTAGTCTGATTTCCGTACGCGCAGTTGGGCTGCTCAAGTAATTAGGTTACCGGATGAACCACAATTCAGGTTTCCGTATTATGAACCAGTATCAGGGCTCAGGGCTCAGGCTTAAGCACGATGTACGCTATTAGGATCAGTGAGCTTAACCCTAGAATCTGGCAGATTCGTTAGATATTATATCACTGAACTCGCCTCTTTCCCCTTGCCGCCCTTGCCGTTGTCCGATCTTCCATTTGACACCCAACAGCAACCGCAGATCATCCTCCTTAAAGACGGAACCGATACATCGCAAGGCAAGCCGCAGCTGATCAGCAACATCAACGCGTGCCTAGCTGTCGTGGACACGATCCGCACGACGCTGGGTCCACGTGGCATGGATAAGCTGATCCACGACGACCGCGGCAACACCACCATCTCCAACGACGGCGCCACTATCCTGAAGCTGCTCGAGATCGTGCATCCGGCTGCGAAAACCCTCGTCGACATCGCCAGATCGCAAGACGACGAGGTATGCTAAGATAGGTACGCTCAAGGTGAATCATAAGTCAACTCAAAAGCAATCTCCAACGACGGAGCCACCATCCTGATGCTGCTCGAGATCGTCCACCCCGCCGCGAAAACCCTCGTCGACATCGCCAGATCGCAAGACGACGAGGTACGCTTAAGGTGGTATGTTATGATATGCTGCCAGTGGTTTTGGTCTGCTATCTTCTTCTCTGTAAGTCATGTGGCGACGAAATTCTCGCAAGAATTGCCAGATTCGCAAGATTCCCGGAGGTTTAGGCGAGCGAAATGAGAGATGGCGAAGGAAGTAGGTGTAGGCGAGGAATGGAGGGGTAGGCGAGGTAAGCAGGAATGACTCAGAAATCGCCCGTTCCTCTTCTCACAGCAACCCCTTAACCCCCTTCTCCCCCCTCCCCTCTCCCCTCTTCACTCACCCGCGGTCAGGTGGGCGACGGCACGACGACGGTGACACTCTTAGCAGGCGAGTTCCTGCGGCAGGCAAAGCCGTTCGTGGAGGAAGGCGTGCACCCGCAGCTCATCTGCCGCGCGTTCCGCGCTGCTGCGCGCCTCGTGAGTGATTTAGTCTTTCGCGCTGTTCCCCCTCGTGACTTATCTAGCCCTGCCGTGTAACTGCTTCTCTTCTTTATCATGTATGACGGCAGCTCGAGGGGGGAAGGCAGAGAAACGCGAGCTGCTGCACAAGGGTGTGGTTTCTTGAGGGGCTTGTAAATTTTAGTGGTTTCTCTAATCTACTGTGTTCTCCTACTGCTATTGTCCCCTCCCAGGCTGTGGAGAAGGTGCGGGAGGTGGCGATCTCCATCGAGGGCAAGGGCGACGAGGAGAAGCGCGAGCTGCTGCACAAGTGTGCGGCGACGACGCTGAGCTCCCCCTTTCCCATGTTCTCCCACTGTTCTCCTGCTCTTGCCGACTCCTATGTGTTGATCAGGCGGTGGAGAAGGTCAGGGAGGTGGCTATCTCTATAGAAGGCAAGGGCGAGGAGGAGAAGCGAGAGCTGCTGCACAAGTGTGCGGCGACGACCCTGAGCTCGAAGCTGGTGGGCGGCGAGAAGGACTTCTTCGCGCGCATGGTGGTGGATGCTGTGTGCTCACTTGATGAGGATGTTCCCCTGAATATGATCGGCATCAAGAAGGTGGGGAGAATGGAGGGAAGGTGGTGGAAGGATGGGAAGAAGAAGGTGCGGGGAGGTGGGGGGAAGGTGGGGGAAAGGGAAAAGCACAGAAGCAACCAAGCTGTTGGGTGGGAGTGGAGCTGAGCTCGAAGCTGGTGGGCGGCAAGAAGGACTTCTTCGCGCGCATGGTGGTGGATGCTGTTTGCTCCCTAGATGAGGACGTTATGCTGCACATGATCGGCATCAAGCAGGTGGGGAGGGGGTGGAAGAGGGGGTGATAGGGCAGTTGAGGTGATGAGGTAATTGGGCATCGTGGTGGATGCCGTGTGCTCCCTAAACGAGGACGTGCTGCGGCACATGATTGGCTTTAAGAAGGTGCAGTGAGGGTGGGGGGGAGATGGGGAGAAGAGAGGGGGAGATGAGGCACGATGCGAGACTCCTTAGTGGTAGAGGGAGTCACTTCAAGAAGGCTTTCTCTTGCGCCGGCTTCGAGAAACAGCGCAAGCGGTTTGAGTCTCCCAAGATCCTCCTCCTTAATATAGAGAAGAGCTCAAGAGTGAGGAGAATGCTCAAGCACCGCCCCAAGGCTCCTCTTTCCGGCTTGATTTCCCACACTGCCGCTCGTTCCTCATTCTTCTCCTGTATCCATCACCCCCCCTCTCAGGTCCAAGGAGGTACAATGCGAGACTCGTTTCTGGTAGAGGGCGTTGCCTTCAAAAAGGCATTCTCCTACGCGGGCTTCAAGCAGCAGCCCAAACGGTTCCGTCCCTTTCCCCTTCTTTCCACCCCACCTCAGGTGCAAGGAGGCACGATGCGTGACTCATTCCTGGTAGAGGGCGTTGCCTTCAAGAAAACGTTCTCTTACGCGGGTTTCGAGCAGCAGCCCAAGCGGTTCGAGTCCCCCAAGATCCTGCTTCTGAATATCGAGCTGGAGCTGAAGAGTGAGAAGGAGAACGCGGAGATCCGCCTGTCGGACCCCTCGCAGTACCAGTCGATCGTGGACGCGGAGTGGAACATTATTTACTCCAAGCTCGACAAATGTGTGCAGAGCGGCGCCAAGATTGTCCTGTCACGGCTGGCCATCGGCGACCTTGCCACCCAGGTGAGAAGGAGAACACAGAGGTGTGGGTGTTGTGTGGGGCGTTGATCGTCGCAGTACCAGTGGATTGTGGACGCGGAGTGGAACATCATCTACTCGAAGCTCGACAAGTGTGTGCAGAGCGGCGCCAAGATTGTGCTTTCGAGGCTGGCCATTGGCGACCTCGCGACCCAGGTGAGCAAGGGAACACAGAGGTGTGGGTTTAGGGCCTTTACCGTCGCAGTACCAGTCGATTGTGAGGCGGTGGTAGCGGGGAGAACGTGGAGGTGCGCCTGTCGGACCCGTCGCAGTACCAGTCGATTGTGGATGCGGAGTGGAACATCATCTACTCCAAGCTGGATAAGTGTGTTCAGAGCGGGGCCAAGATTGTCCTGTCTCGCCTGGCCATCAGCGACCTGGCAACCCAGGTGAGCGGTGCACGGGGAGGGGAGAGAAGACGGTCAGTCTGAAGCAGATCGCTGCGTTGCATCCATTGTTGATCTCCCTTCACCCCCCACGTAAGCAGATCCCCTACGTGCCACAGAAGACATGTTGTAACTTGAATTGTTTTCCTGTGCACCCCTTCCTCCCACCACCAGTATTTCGCGGATAGGGACATATTCTGTGCGGGAAGGGTTCCAGAAGATGACATGCAGCGAGTGGCCAAGGCGACGGGGGGAGCCGTGCAGACCACTGTGAACGACCTCATTCCCGATGTGAGTGGATGGTGGGACGAGGTGGATTCATCCTGGGAGGTGGGACGGGGCGAGTAGCAGACGACAGGCAGCGAGTGGCCAAGGCTACAGGAGGAGCCGTGCAGACCACTGTGAACGACCTCATCCCTGATGTGAGTGCTCCCACCCACCCACGGGGTTACTGTGCATCTGCGAGTCGGCTGTGGTAAGGTGTGATGTGATGCATGGGGGCTGGGGGTGGCAGTGGAAAACATGCAGTGAGTGGCCAAGGCAAGGGGGGAGCTGTGCAGACCACTGTGAACGACCTCATTCCCGATGTGAATGTTCCCACCCGCCCATGGGGTTACTGTTTCAGCTGCGAGTCAGCTGTGTTAGGGTGTGATGCATGGGAGCTGGGAGTGGCAGAGGACAACATGCAGCGAGTGGCCAAGGCAAGGGGGGTAGGCTGCGGAGGTGACAGTGAGTCAACCTGCAAGGCGTCTCAGCGCAGGGCATCGTGTATGACAAGCAGCATATCGGTATTCATGCTTGTCAGTAATCCCGCATGAACCAGTTGCTCGCTCCTTCCCCACCCCTGCTTTTCCTGCAACCCCCCCCCCTCTCTCCCCCTTCCTTGCACCCCTTCCTCCCTGCTGCGCTGCGCACTGCAGGTGCTGGGAAGCTGTGCGCTGTTTGAGGAGAGGCAGGTGGGCAACGAGCGGTACAACCTCTTTACTGGCTGCTCCAACGCCAAGACTGCCACCATCGTTCTGCGCGGAGGGGCGGATCAGGTGGGTGCTGGGGGTGGGGGGAGAAGGAGTAACCAGGTGGGTGGGTGAATGGCAGTAGGTAGGTGTGGGCAGGTGGGCAACGAGTGATGCAACCTCTTCACCGGCTGCTCCAACGCCAAGACTGCTACGATTGTGCTGCGGGGAGGGGCGGACCAGGTGGGTGTGTGAGGCATTGATCTGGGTGCAACATTGGGCAGGTGTGGGTAGGTGTGGGCAACGAGCGGTACAACCTCTTCACTGGCTGCTCCAATGCCAAAACCGCTACCATAGTGTTGAGGGGGGGGCACACCAGGTGGGTGCGGGGGGGGAGTTGACCAGATGGGTGTGTGTGTGGTGATGAGCAAGGGGGACGCTAGGGAGAGGGTGGACAAGGTGGGTGAGTACTGAGCATGAGAGGTGTGGAGCATGAGGCGCCTCTCCCTCACAGCCCCCCACAGCAGCGGCGCCTCTCCTCTCCCTCACAGCCCCCCACAGCAGCGGCGCCTCTCCTCTCCCTCACAACCCCCCAGAGCAGCGGCGCCTCTCCTCTCCCTCACAACCCCCCAGCGGCAGCGGTTCATGGAAGAGGCGGGGCGCAGTCCGCACGACGATGCCAGCATGATCGCGAGGCGGGCGCACCTGCTCGTGCTCCCCAAGCTTCCCCCCGCCATGCACCCTGCTCGTGCTCCCCAAGCTTCCCCCCGCCATGCACCCTGCTCGTGCTCCCCAAGCTTCCCCCCGCCATGCACCCTGCTCGTGCTCCCCAAGCTTCCCCCCGCCATGCACCCTGCTCGTGCTCCCCAAGCTTCCCCCCGCCATGCACCCTGCTCGTGCTCCCCAAGCTTCCCCCCGCCATGCACCCTGCTCGTGCTCCCCAAGCTTCCCCCCGCCATGCACCCTGCTCGTGCTCCCCAAGCTTCCCCCCGCCATGCACCCTGCTCGTGCTCCCCAAGCTTCCCCCCGCCATGCACCCTGCTCGTGCTCCCCAAGCTTCCCCCCGCCATGCACCCTGCTCGTGCTCCCCAAGCTTCCCCCCGCCATGCACCCTGCTCGTGCTCCCCAAGCTTCCCCCCGCCATGCACCCTGCTCGTGCTCCCCAAGCTTCCCCCCGCCATGCACCGGTTCATCGAGGATGCAGAGCGCAGTCTACACGATGCCATCATGGTTGTGCGGCGAGGCGAATTTATTTGCACACGTTTCCCCTTCTTCCCCCCTCTCCTCTCCTATTTTTTCTCCTGCCAGTTCATCGAGGAAGCAGAGCGCAGCCTACACGATGCTATCATGATTGTGAGGTGGGCTGTGGTGAACACAAGTGCACACGTTTCCCCTCTCCCCCCAACTGCCCTCCCTCCCTCTCCCTTTTTTTCCTCCCTTGCAGTTCATAGAGGAGGCAGAGCGCAGTCTGCACGATGCCATCATGATTGTGAGGCGCGCCATCAAGAACGCAGCGGTGGTTCCTGGGGGAGGTGCCATTGATGTACGTGATCCCTTTGTCCTTTCTGGGGAAGGTGTTACTGACGTACGTATGGTAGAGTCTCTGAGCCATTTCTATGTCCCCTCATGTCAACCCATGCCTCCATGACCACTCACCTTCCTCGTACTCTATTCGCTATGCAGATGCTTCTGCAACCCACAAATCGTTTTTGTTCCCCAACTTCTTTAAAACCGGGGTATACATTCAGAAATTGCGGGGGATGGGGAACAGAAATTTTGGGGGTTGGGTTGAACTTCGGCCGTAATGTGGGCATCAAGGGATAACCCCCGATGCCCACCCAGGTGAATGCGCACCCCGGTTTTAATTCATCCAGACAGCCTGTATTCCCAACGATCGCGTCTCTCCTTCCCTCTCCCCTCCTCTACCCCCATCAGATGGAGGTCAGCCGTCACCTGCGTCTGCACGCGCGCACCATTGCTGGCAAGCAGCAGCGGTTCATCTCCTTTCACATGATTCATTTGTTTCATACTATTCCCTCTCTCCCCTCTACTGTACCCTCATCCACCTCTCCCCATCAGATGGAGGTCAGCCGTCACCTGCGCCTGCATGCGCGCACCATTGCTGGCAAGCAGCAACTGTTCATCAATGCATATGCGCGCGCGCTCGAGGTGAGTAGAGGTGGTTTTTATGGGTAGAGGTGGGTTGAGGAGGGTGCGCTTTTCTGCATTGAAGGTGGTAAGTAGGTGTACAGTGGGCAAGCAGTAGCTCTTTATTGATGCATTTGCGCTTATGAGTGCAGGTGATCCCCCGCCAGCTGTGTGACAATGCGGGGTTTGACTCCACTGATGTGCTCAACAAGCTAAGGCAGAAACATGCCCTGCCCTCTGGTAAGTGCTATGTATTCAAACATATTTCTTTAATGCTTCACTCTCTGTTTTTTGTCTTAATCTGTTTTATTGATGTTCTACATGTTTGCATGGGAGTCAAATTGAGATTCTGATCATTAAATGCTTTGGTGGTGCAGGCGAGGGGCAGCGCTTTGGAGTGGATGTGAATTCGGGCGGCATTGTGGACACGTACGCCTCGTTTGTCTGGGAGCCGATTGTGGTCAAGGTGAGTCAACGCTGGTAAAGGTGAGTCAAACGCTGGTGAAGATGAGTCAGTTCCGGTCAAAGCCATTTTATGCCCCTGTTTGGTTGCAGTAAGTGTGAACAGACAGCCACTTGACTCTTTCAGCAGCAGAGGGAGGCATACTGCTCGTCCAACCAACCCGAGTCCTCATTACCCTCCTTCGTGCCCTGCCCCTGTCCCTCTGTGTGGTGCCTTCTCTCAGGTGAATGCCATCACAGCGGCAACCGAGGCGGCCTGTCTTGTGCTCAGTGTGGACGAGACGGTTCGCAACCCACGAGTGAGTGGGGAAGAGGGGGGGGGAAGGGTGGTGGGGGGTGAGTCTGGTTGGTGAGGTGTAGTGGGGGGTGCTTTATGCTATCACAACAGCTACCGAGGCGGCCTGCCTTGTGCTCAGTGTTGACGAGACGGTTCGCAACCCACGAGTGAGTGGGAGGAAAAGGAGAGGGGAACGGGGGTGAAGGTAGTGAGGATTGAAGTTGTGGGGGCGTAGAGCTGTATGTCTTGTGCTCAGTGTTGACGAGACGATTCGCAACCCACGAGTGGGTTTTTGAGGCTATTAGAAAGCATGTCTTGTGCTCAGTGTTGATGAGACGGTTTGCAACCCACGAGCGAGTAGGGTGGAGAACGGTGGAGGGGGGTAGAGATGTAGTGAAAGGTGGCCATTGATTCTATTGAAAAGTACTTCTTGTGCTGAGTGTGGATGAGACGGCACGCAGTCCACGCTTGATTCTTTTCGAGTCCTACTATAAAGTAGGGAGGAGTGAAGGGCGGGATGGGGAGTGGATGGTTATTGAATGGCTTGCATTGGGTTGAAGATGTTGTGAGAGAGTGGGTGGGTTTAATTTGGAGGGTTTGTAAGGCACACAGGTGAACTGTTTGGTCGTGGAAGGCACATCAGAAGCACGTGGAGCCGGTGCTTCTATCAAGTGTCGTTGCTTTGTGTATGGCAATAATGTTGATGTTCCTTTGTGTTAATCCCTCCCCACCCTCCTCCCTCCCTCTATTTTTCAATCTCCTATGCAGTCCGAGAGTGCACAAGACGGTGGAATGGGTGGCATGGGCAGAGGTGGAGGTGGGATGCGCGGGAGGGGCCGAGGCATGAGGCGGCGATAGACTAACCCTCTAGCTAGTCGGCTGATTTGCTCAAGCTGTTTTGAAACCCAATGTGGAAGATGTTTTTTACATTGTAGTGCATGTTTTCCTGGGTGATGTTTATGCATACGGTATTATTACCGCATGATTGCATTAGGAAATCTGTTCAGGAAATTTATATTTAGCATAACGGGGTTCCGTGAGCAGGAAGTCATCCATTTGCGCTTGTTGCTTTTCGCCTATCTTCGCACACGGCACCTGCTGGTTTCCGGGCGTCCCGTCGCAGGTGCTTTTCGCCGCGCAGCTAGCCCTCCATCCCGAATCGCTAGCTGCTGGCTCCCTTCTTCGCGACTTGCGCCAGATTTTCCTCGTCTCGCTTCTCCAATTCCAAACAAGAGCCATGTCCTGTTACCTGGGCAATGTATGGGGGGAAGGCGGAACGCATCCGCTCCGAAGCAGTCCCCCGTGGGCCGTGGTGGTCACTCTCGCGCGCAGAGCGAGCTCCCCCGAGTATCTGGCGCGAAAAGCACATCAAGCCTGGCGGAGAAAAGCTTGTGTCGCCTCGCCAGGCGCTATTCTTTCGGGGGTGGAACTGCTCTGCGAGCAGCAGAGCAGTTCTCGAGGAGTGTGCTTATTGGTTTGAAGGCGCTATTCCTGGATGTGACGGCTTAGCTAAACAATGCTGGAGTTTAGGTTCGTGGCAAAAAACCAGGAACTGGCAATACTTTGCTGGTTGCAACCGAAGCAACTGGTTTGCGTGAAGCTGCATTTCTTTCGCGTGATTAGGAATAAGTCATGAGCTTCACTTATCCCTTATCCACTGTCCGCTACTATTCCCCTCGGTGGTGTGGTGTCCCAGTCCAGCCCTAATTTTGCGGCGATTCCTTCGCGTTCGAGAGATGTTACGACGCGGCTTGGACAGTACAATGGCGCGACCTATATCGTTATAGCCCGCGGAGGTTTCGACGAACTTTCATAAACGTCCGCATAGCGGCATTCTATCATGCCGTTCAGCTTTATTCACTGTAGCATTTAGAATCATTTCCGTCTAATACTCGGTATCGCGACCCTTGCGGAGGGTCGCTGGTCAACTCGGGAAAGCAGCCATGCTCAAGCGGTTAATAGCCAAGGCCTTACCCGAGGTGTGTAGCCTATAAGTGACAAGGAAAGTCGAAATGCTGGTTAACTATCAGGGGGAGTGTAGCTAACTAAGCGTCGTTAGGCAATGGCCGTCCGAGGAAGTGGTTTCGCCCTAACATCGTTTTCTTTCAAGACATAGCACCTGCGCTCGTTTTCCCGCATTCGTTCGTGTGACATTGTAGGTCCACAAATCGCGTCGTTACTGACTCGTTTTTCCTCCTCGAAGCGACAGATCGACAGCGCAGCAGGTTGTGGTTCTAAGCCATTTTAGGGTTTCCTTAATCGTGGTTTTTACAGCAATGTCGGTAGTATCGAAGCCGTCCGTAGCGCTATTCAGTCCAGCTCTGGCCTGTAACCCTAACTCGAAGAGTCATTATAACGCTCGCCCCCAATACGAGCAGTCGACCTAACAGTAATGTAGTGTCTAGTAACTAGTTCCTTCGCGAATGCAGTTTGTACGGAGCTCCGCGTTCTGTAGCTGATGACTAAGTACTAGCTTCAACGTTACAAACGATATATATCTGCATTCAGTCTCTACGGACGTATTAACTCGTTGGAGGCACAGGTCATCGCATTAGACTGCGACAGTGTCAGATTTTTGTAACTCGTTTAGCTCCGTCAATGTCCGTCGGGCGTTGCGTTTCGTTATAGAGTAGCGCGATAGCATTTCTCAATGAACCTCAGCTTCGCCGACGCAGTGTTTTCGTTTTTCTACTGTACAAGCACCAATGCGGCCCAGGAAGAGAATGCTGCTCGTAACAATGTGAGACTCCCTAACCTCGCCTCGTTATAAGCAGCATTCTCTGAACTCGCCTCGTTACAAGCAGCATTGTCTGACCTCGCCTCGTTATAAACAACATCCTGTCACTTCGTTTCGTTACAAGCAGTACTCTTTCACCTCGGCCTAAGATCGCGCTCAGAAGTCTCACAGCGTTTGCTATTCCGACAGATGCCTGGGCCCTGGGGGTATTTCTCCTAGGGTTTCAACTTATGCTGTGCGAACTGATCCGTGAAACACGGCGCACTTGGCGCTGTGCTTCCTCACACGCACACACCGCTTTCCCAGTCTCTGACTCACCCCCTTCCGCCGCCTCCTTCTCCACATCCGCGCCATATTCACGCCTCGCCATCTCCTGCTACGCAACTCTCCGCCCCCTTATTCTTGGTCACTCTCCCCCGCTCACCGCCCTCAGCACACTCGTTTCCACCTTTCGCCCCTCCCTACCCCTCATCCCCCTTCCCCCTTCCCGCATCCCCTTCCCCCAACTCTTTTTTTCCGCCAGTCCGTGCCGGCGGGGAGTCTAAGAGCGGCGCATCTCGAGCCGCGGCTGGCCGTGCATCACGGCGTGCCTGGCGCTGCTTCCGTGCTCGCCTATGACCCCGTGCAGCGACTACTCGCAGTGGGAACGCGGTAAGAGAGCTCCGCTATAAGCATTAGTAGAAGCGCGTATAGGGAGTGCGGCGGCTGCTGGCTGTAGGGGCGGGGTAAGCGAGTGATAATAGGGAGGAGGGCTTACAGAGAATGCAGCGCCGGCCGTGCACCAGGGGGTGCCTGGTGCGCATGTGCAGCGGCGGCTGCTGGCAGTGGAGGACGAAGTATGGGGATATGGCTGTGGCGTTGTGAAGGGGGAGAAAGTTGTGAAGGGCTTTGGAGGAGAAAGTTCTGGAGGAAAAAGTGTCGGAAGAAACGATTTGGAGGAGTAGGATGCGGTGCTCATGGGTGATCCCATGTAACGAGTGCTGGTGGCTTGGCTTGGAGGGGACGCAGTAAGGTGTGGGCAAAGGCATGGCATGGTGGCATGATGCTATGATAAAGCTAACATGGAGTGACGCTCAATCCATCCCCCCAGGGATGTGCGCATCAAGGTGTTCGGGCTTGATGGCATTGAGGCTCTGCTCTGCTCGCCTGCCAAAAGCTGCTTTTGAGAACAACGAATCGCCAGTTGCGTGCCAGAAAATCAACACCAGGCACCCAACGAACTCTCCTCTCCCCTCCACTCCCCCCAACACACACACACCAGGGATGTGCGCATCAAGGTGTTCGGGCATGATGGCATCGAGGCGCTGCTCTGCTCGCCTGCCCACGTGACACTCAATAAACTCTCCTCGCCTACTACCCCACGACCCACCCCCTCCCTTCCTCCCTGCCTCCACCAGGGATGGGCGCATCAAGGTGTTCGGGCATGATGGCATCGAGGCGCTGCTCTGCTCGCCTGCCAAGGCAGCCTGCAAATTTCTCGAGGTCAGCACCTTTCTGCACCTTATCGCACCTTACCACACCTTCACGCACCTTTCAGTGGACCATTGATTTGCCTCAAAAGTTTCTCACACAAACGTCTGTAGGCACATTCCCTTCCCTCTCTTCAATGCCTGCTCCATCTCCTCCTCCTCCCGAGGTGACTTATGAGTCGACTCAAAATGCAACTGTAGGCACATTCCCTTCCCTCTCTTCACTGTCTGCTCCATCTCCTCGTCCTCTTGTCGAGCCCGCCTTCTCCACCGCTTCTCCGCCCCACCCTTTAGGGAAGTCGTTATGCTTTTTCTCCTCACTGCCTTCCCCTTCCCTTTTATTGTCTTTCTCTCCCCTTTTCTCCAACAGTTTGTGTGTAACTCAAAGTACATGGTGCAGGTCACTTTTTTCAACGCCATTGAGGTGCGTGAATGGACGCACATGTGGGTGTGTGGTGTGTGCATGTTTGTGTATGGGCGTGAGTCTGAACGTGCATGCATGCCTTTGTGCAACTCCGAGTGCACTCTTTTCGCCGGAGTCTGGCTGAGCACCAGATGACAGACTCGCTGCAAAGGGACGTCGTCACCACTGCCTTTTCCCTCGCTCCTGATCCTGCCTTGCCTCCCTCCTCTTCCATCCTTCCCTCTTCCTCCTCCTCCTTCCCCCCCTCCCTCCCTTCCCCGTCCCCCGTGCATTGAGATCTGGAGTCTGCCGGAGCGTCAGATGACGGAACTGCTGCAGTGGGATGTCGTCCTCACCTCATTCTCCCTGCTCCTGTGCTGCCTCTCTCCTCCCTTTTCCCTGGCTTCCTCCTTCCCTTCTTCATCCCCACCCATTCAGATCTGGAGTCTGGCTGAGCGTCAGATGACGGACTCACTGCAATGGGACGTCGTCATCACAGCTTTCTCCACCGTCCCCGACACACGCTTCCTGTAACCCACCTTCACACCACCTTCACACAACCTTGACACCACCTTACATCCTTCTTGTCACCACCATCACACCACCCTCCTCCTTGTCATCACTGCTTTCCTGTAAACCACCTTGACAGCAACTTGACACCACCTTACATCCTTCCTGTAGCCACTATCACCCTGTTTTCTCCACCGTCCCCTACACGCGCTTCCTGTTACCGTCTTCACTTCACACCATCTTGACACCACCTTGCATCCTTCCTGTAACCATCCTCAACCCATCCGTCAGCATCCTTCACGTCTCTGCACCTCACTCCATCGCACCTCACCTGACCCAACCCTGCCCCATTCCACCGCACACCACCCCTTCCCATCCCAGCTACGTGGGCGATGAGAACGGTGTGTTCCACGTGTTGGAGGTGGATGACGGTGGTCGCCTCAACAAACGCCCCTACTCCGTGCCTCCCTACTTCATCTCTCTTCACTTCACTCCATTGCACCTCACCTGACCCCACCCCACCCTGCTCCACTGCACTCCACCCCTTCCCATCCCATCCCAGCTACGTGGGCGATGAGAATGGTGTGTTCCACGTGTTGGAGGTGGATGACGGTGGTCGCCTCAACAAACGCCCCTACTCCGTGCCTCCCTATGTCACCATGGGTGAGTGACACGCAGCGTCACAGGCGCAGTAGGCAAGCCCCGATAGACAACAGAACCAACAGGGGACACGGAATGAGCGCCCGTGGGGGCTGGCTCAACTCAACAAGCGCCCCTACTCCGTGCATCCCTACGTCACCATGGGTAAGAAAACCTGAACGGCCTTCCTCCGTGTGCCAAGTCGAGTTTTGAGTTGACTCAAAACTCAACAAACGGCCTTACTCCGTGCATCCCTACGTCACCATGGGTAAGAAAACCCAAACGGCCTTCTCATCGCTCCCTCCATGTCCCATTCACGTCCCTCTATCACGCCCCCGTTCCCTCCCCTTCCCCTCTCCCTTTCCCTCCCTCTCCCCCCTCCCCTCCCCCTCCTCCCTGCCCTCCCACCTTGCAGCGGGTCTTGTGAAGCAGGAGTCCACCCACATGCCAGCCCTCATCGCCATCCTCCCCCAACCCGAAGCCCTCCACACGCGCGTCCTCCTCGCCTACTCCAACTCCCTCGCGCTCCTCTGGGACCTCCACTCTCTCCGCTTTCCATAAACGTCCCCGTTTCACGCCCCTATCCCTTCCACTCCCGCTCTCCCCCTGCCCTCCCCCTCTCCCCTGCCCTCCCTCCCCATCTCCCAGCGGGTCTCGTGAAGCAGGAGTCGACCCACATGCCAGCCCTCATAGCCATTCTCCCCCAACCTGAAGCCCTCCACACGCGCGTCCTCCTCGCCTACTCCAACTCCCTCGCGCTCCTCTGGGACCTCCACGCCCTCCGCGTCCTCGCCACGCGCGGCGGCTCCGAGATGCAGTGCACGCGCCTCTCAGAAGCCGGAGACCGGCTAGCCGACCTCCAAACAGGCAGGCGAAACGTCCCGAAACCCACGGACGAGGACGAGGAGGACGACGAGGAGTGCGATGGGCCGGAGTTATCCTGCTTGTGCTGGGCTTGTCCGGCCGGATCGGTGTTTGCTGCCGGGTATACCAACGGGGAGATCGCGCTTTGGGGGCTGCCCCACCCTCCGCTGCCCGTGGGGGCGGGAGGAGCAGCGGGAGTGCCGGGAGTGCAGGGAGGGCCGTCACCGTCGGGGTCTTTTTCCTCGTCGGTGGTTCCGACGATTTCGGTTTCGCTGTCGTCGGGGGGGTTGAATGCGCCGATCTCGCCGTGCAGTTTGAAGGCGCTTGGCGAGGAGATTACATCGCAGCCGTTGGTTCGGCTGCAGGTGCAGGGCGGGAAGGGCGAACGGTCGGCGATCACTGCGCTGAGATGGTGCGCTGATGCGAGACGAGCATTGGAGAGAGGAGGAGAAAGAGGAGGAGAAAGAGGAGAGACGGGGGAAAGTGGAGAGAGAGGAGGAGAGAGAGGAGGGGGGAGATGCATGGAGAGGGGAGGAGGGAGGCTGTACGTGTGTGGAGGGGAGATGCCAGGGCTACCAGGGTCAGTGAGTGTGGTGCAGCTGGGGGGGTTAGAGGAGGGCATGAGGGAGAAGGGGATGGTGAAGCTGCCATGGTTTGGGCCCGTGGCTGATGTCGTGGTGGCTCCTAGTACGCTCGGCAGCACCGTTGCCTCTGCCATTCTCGTCCTCACCTTCCCAGGCCAGGTGAGTCCCGTTTTGTGGGCAGGTGCATCCGGGCAGGTGAGTCCCGTTTTGTGGGCAGGTGCGTGTGAGGCGACTGAGAAATCGTCTCAGCTGGGGGGATTAGAGGAGGGCATGAGGGAGAAGGGGATGGTGAAGCTGCCATGGTTTGGGCCCGTGGCTGATGTCGTGGTGGCGCCTTGTGCGCGCGGCAGCACCGTTGCCTCTGCCATTCTCGCGCTCACCTTCCCCGGACAGGTGCGTCCCGTTTTCTGTGCAGGTGCATTTCCCAAACAGGTATGTTGCGTGGGTACGTGCGTGCGACCAGTCACAGACGTATTTTGAGTCAGGGAGTCGACTCAAAGCACACCCTCCTCCTACCCTTTCGTACCCCTCTGCACCCCTTCCCACTCCTCTCCAACCCTTTCCACTCCTCTCCACCCCTTCCCACTCCTCTCCGCCAGGTCCATCTGTACGACGAGCCAGGCATGGAGCAGCACCTGTGTGCGCGCCTGCTCTCCCCGTCGCCCTCCTCCCACACGCCCACTCCTCCCGACCCCGTGGCGTTTGAGAACCCGGGCTCGGCGGTTACCACCGGCAGGCTCATGCTCGCCCCATGGGGCACGCATGCCTCGCATGTTCTCTCTCAGGTTAGTCTTGTGAGACATGTGAGACATGTGATACTTGTGAGAACCCTCAACAGCCTTGCATGCTGCAGTGCCCCTTCCTCCCTCCCACACGCCCACTCCTCCCGACGCCGTGGCGTTTGAGGACCCGGGCTCTGCGGTTACCACGGGAAGACTCATGCTCGCCCCCTGGGGCACTCACGCCTCACACGTGCTCTCCCAGGTAAGCCCTTTGACAGTCTTTTCTAGGGTGCTTCTGAGGTGACTCCAAAGTGATCCTATGCAATGCCATCGCGTTTGAGAACCCGGGCTCTGCGGTTACCATCGGCAGACTCATGCTCGCCCCCTGGGGGACTCAAAGTTCACCAGGTGGCCCGCAGCAGGTGGATCCTTCGGCCAGCAGCCATTACATGCGACTTCTCCCCTCCTCCTACCTTCCCATCTCCCCTTCACCCCTCCCCTCTGCCACAGCTGCCCCGCGTATCTCAGACCCGCTGTCCCTCTGCTCTCTCCCACGGCACCAAGTGGCCCGTGGCAGGGGGCTCATTCGGCCAGCAGCCATCCAGCTAATATCTATCTCTGCCTTCCCCTACTCCCTGTCTCCCATCCCCCCTTTCTCAGCTGCCCCGTGTGTCCCAGACCCGATGCCCATCAGCTCTCTCGCACGGCACCAAGTGGCCCGTGGCGGGGGGCTCATTCGGCCAGCAGCCGGAAATTTCTCCAGAGGACGGGCTGTGCCTGTACATCTCGGGCCACCGCAACGGCGTGACCCACGTCTCGGACGTCTCGACTCCCCTCATCGTCCCCCTAGCTTCGGCACCAGCGCACCTGACCCAGGTAAGAACCATCAACAATGTCGTGTAAAGAGTGGTCCTCTCCCTCCTTCCCTCCTCCTGTCCTCATCCTCCCTGTCCCACCCTCCCCACCCCACCCTCCCCATACCCCTTCCGCACCCCTTTCCTCCCCCCAAAACAGGCGGATGACCAGCCGAGCTACACGGCAGTAACAGCAGTTGACTTCTGTGCCGTGTCGGCGCTGCTGCTGCTGGGGCATGGAGGCGGGTTGGTAGAGTGATAGCTTCTCCTCTCTTCCTTTTCCTTCCCTCCTTCCCGCCTTCCCGCGTCCTTCCTCCTTTCCACATGCTCCCTGCCCCACCCTCCCTACTCCACCCTCTCGCACCCCCTCCCCTCTCTCCCCACAACAGGCTGACGACCAGCCAAGCTACACGGCAGTGACAGCGGTGGACTTCTGTGCGGTATCAGCGCTGCTGCTGGTGGGGCATGTGTTGGTATGTTGCCTGGTCCTCTCCCTCCTCATTCCCTCCTCTTCCCTCCACTCCACAACCCCCCACCCACCATCCATCCCTCCCCCACAACAGGCTGACGACCAGCCAAGCTACACGGCAGTAACAGCGGTGGACTTCTGTGCGGTATCAGCGCTGCTGCTGGTGGGGCATGAGGACGGGCTGGTGGAGCTGTTTGAGCTGAGCACAAGGAGGAGAACGCTGTGCTGCCAGATCATCACCGAGAGAGGCGGATACGAGCAAGGTGCATGCACTGGGGCGAAAGGGGAAATGCTGGGGCAGACGGGTAGGTTGGTTAGTGGTGCATGAGGATACCCCGCAGCAATCTACTGCTGGTAGAGCTGTTCTAGCCACCGGATTGGGATTGCTAGCCATCAGCGTGCTGTACTCTCACCCTCATTCCCACCACTTTCCAACCCTCCCCACTCCTCCCCACACCAGCCACACCTAGTGATTGCGAGGAAGGTTTTCAGATAGTGGCCCAGTTCCACCAGCACCGCGCCAAGGTGTGGCTGCTGTAATCTCACTCCATTCTCACCGCTTCCCACCCCTTCTTACTGCGTTCCACCACCAGCCACACCCAGCGAGTGCGAGGAGGGTTTTCAGATGGTGGCCCAGTTCCACCAGCATCGCGCGAAGGTGCGCAGCGTCGCCCTGGCAACAGGCGTGGGCCGCCTAGCGATCGGGGACGACAACGGCATGATCTCGCTCATAAACCTCGACACCTTCACCCTCATCTGCTACCGCGAGCTCCACCCCGGCTCCTCCTCCTCCCCCATCTCCGCCACTGTCTTCGCCGCCCTCCCCGTCCCGTCCTCCTCCTCCTCCTCCTCCTCCTCTTCCTCCTCCTCCTCCTCTGCTTCTTCCGCCCTCACCTCTGCGTCTTTCCCCACTTCCTCCTCGGCCTCTGTGGCTGCTTCTGCGACTGCCGCGTCTGACGCGGCTGCTGCCCGGAGCGCGGCGAATCAGAGGAAGGGGAGCGTTGGGGCGGGCGGGGCGTCAGGGGCGTATGAGACGGTGGTGTATGTGGCAGCGGCCAACACGACAATGACCATTCTCGATGGCACCACGGGGGATGTCGTGGGCGTGGGACCCATGCAGCCCAAACACGCCTCCGCTGCTGTCGGCCTGTTCCTCCTCGGTAAGTCCTTTAGTCCTATGCTGGTGGGGGGCGTATGAGACGGTGCTGTATGCGGCGGCAAACACGAGAACGACTGGGGATGTGATGATGGGTGTGGGACCCATGCAGCCCAAGCACGCCTCTGGTGCTGTCGGCTTGTTCCTCCTGGGTAAGTCCTTCGAATCTATGCATGCTTCTAGTGCTGCTGGTCGATGCAGCTCTCTGTCAATCCCCTATCCCCACTCCTTTCCACCGCCCCTCATCGCACACAACCGTCCCCCCTTACCGATTCTTCCCTTACAGACCTGATGGGGTCCGCTATTCCATCATTTGGAGGCAAGCTGCCTTTGCTATGGGCGATGCAACAGCCCTCCATGGCCCGTGGCCTCAACTCCCGGGCCTCCGCTGCAGGCTCGGTAGCCTCTCGAACCTCCGACGCTGCCGAACCTGGGGATCCGAGCCTGCGATCTCCGCACGGGAGGGAGAGGCGCGGGAGTGATGGTGTGGGGCTGAGAGGGGGGGCAGGGGAGGGGGGGATGGGGAGGGGTATAGGGACGGGCATGGGGGGGCGAATGATGGTGTGGATGGGGGGGAGGAAGGAGGGAGGAAAGGAGGGAAAGGGGGTAAGGAAGGGCGGGCGGGGAAACGAAGCGGTGGAAAGGGGCGGAAATCGAAAGCAGCAGCAGGAGAAGGGGTTCTAGAAGATAGCGGCACGCAATCACAAGCCTCTGACGTGCAACCACGCTCCTCCTCACACCAACACCCAAGTGACCCGTCTAAAGCCCCCCATCTTAGAGACGACACTGCAAAGCCCCCGTCCGGGCGGCGAAACCCTAAAAAGCCGCCATCCGTCACTGTAGACACCACATCCGCTACCACTGACCCGTCTGCCGCCGCTACTGCCGCCCACGGGCCCGAGAACAGTCCAAATTCCGCCGCCCGTGCTGATCCCAGCCCGAGATCCCGGGGCGGCCCGAGAATCAGCATCCAACTAACTGCGGGCGGCAGTCTGAGCTTCAACATTGTCTCTTCTGGGGATGCAGAGAGGGAGGCCCTGCAAGGGGGCAGGGCACATCAGGATGGGAATGGGGCGGTAGGGGGAGGAGGGGGGCAGAGAGGTGGGGGAGGGTCAGGGGGAAATGATGGTGAGGCAATGTCAATGTCCCTGTCTCCTATCTCTCCCACCAATGCTGGAGCAGCAGCAGCTGCAGGGGCAGGTGGAGGAGGTGGAGGGGGAAGAGAGAAAGGAGAAAGAGGGGGGGTGATGGTATCCCATGGTCCCAGCATGAGTATGGGTTCTATAGGAGGTGGGGGAAAAGGGGGAAGGGGAGGAATGGGTGACCTAACCACAGGTTCGGGTGGCTATTCTGGCTATGCCACGGCTCAGGACCGAACCTCCGCTATGTTCAAGCGCTCCCTGACCTCCGTCGCAGGCTCGGGGAATGCGGTTTGGCCCGAGCCTCAGTTTGTGCTGCTGGTGTCAGAGGACTGCCTGAGGCTTTATTCCACCATGGTTGTTCTTCAGGTAGGCTCTGTTGGCTTCAGGTGTGCTCTCTGTTGGCTTCAGGTGGGCCCTCTGTTGGCTTCAGGTGGGCTCTCTGTTGGCGTCAGATAGGCTCTCTGTTGGCTTCAGTCCTCTGTGGCTTAAGATAGACTTACTGTTGCCTTCAGGAGTGCTTCTGCTGGATTGGTGTGTGCGTGAACCATCCATGCTGATGTGTGTGGGCGGGCACGTTTCAAGTCGACCCTTCTCCCTTTCCTTCCCGTCACCGTCCGTCCCCCTTCGCCCCGTCTCCCACTATCAACGGGGAGAGATCAGCGCTAAAGCGGGTGGCGATAGAACGACAAGTGTGTGTGGGCGGGCATTAATAAGCAGTCCCTCTTTTTTCCTTACTCTTACCCTCCTCCCCTTCACCCCGTCTCCCACTACAAAGGCGGAGAGATCAGCGCTAAAGCGGGTGAAGATATTTGAGAACGACAAGTGTGTGTGGGCGGGCACGTTCGGGGTGCACCCGCAGTATCCCCCGGCTGTCATCGTCATCTCGTCCCAAGGGCTCGTTGAAATCAGGTACATGCTTGTTTGTTCCTCCCTTCTCTGATGCTCGTGCTTCCACGCCCTTCCCACGCATTGCCATGCTTGCGCACGTTTGGAGCGCAACCGCAGTACCCCCCTGCTGTCATCGTCATCTCGTCCCAAGGGCTCGTTGAAATCATGTATGCCCTTCGTTCGCATGTGGAAATGCCTCAAACATGCTGCCTGTCTCGCTCCATCTCCCATCCATCCACGCTCCCTGCCACCCCTCTCTCACCCCAGGTCCCTCCCGGACCTGCTTTTGGTGACATCCACATCGGTATCGGAGATGCTCGGGTGGCAGTACGACAGCCTGCTCATGCTGCCGCTCATGCTTTGCCCCCTTACCACCAATTACCAATGCATCACTGTTCGTGCTTCCCCCTCCCCAGGTCCCTCCCTGACCTGCTGCTGGTCACATCCACATCGGTATCGCAGATGCTCGAAGCCTTCTTATGCTGCCGCTCTCTACTCACCAACTACCAACCCATCATTGTTCCTGCATCCCTCTCTCCCCCCCAGGTCCCTGCCTGACCTGCTGCTCGTCACATCCACATCGGTGTCGGAGATGCTTGGATGGCAGTACGACAGCCTGCTCATGCTGCCGCTCACATGCATCGCTTCTGACGGCCGCATTGCCTTTGTGAGTGGCTCGTGTTGTATGCTCGCGTTGGGTTGCGTGCGCATGTGAACGGTGGGCTTTTAGAATCTCCTCGTGTTGCAACTTCTCTGTGCTTGTCAGTTGTGCTTCCCAATCTGTTCCACTCTCCTCCCCTCCCATCTCTTCTCTCCCATCTCCTCTTCCCCTCTCCTCTTTCTCCCCTCACACCAGTTGGGTGGGGAGATGGAGATGGAGAAGGTGCGCCTCTTCTTCGCTCGAGGTGTCCCTCTCCCATTCTGCTTTTTTACTCTACTCTCCTCCCATCTCTTCTCTCCCATCTCCTTTCCCCCTCTCTCCTCCTTTCCCCTCACACCAGCTGGATGGGGAGACGGAGATGGTGCGCCTCTCGTTGTTTGCACGAGAAAACGCCATCGGGTGAGTCGAGTCAACTTCTATCTCCTCTTCAGTCATCTTCTCAATATTTGACACTTTTGAGAACCCTCAAAGGGACCACAACAGGTCTAAGATGACGCCTTGAATTCAACCCACTAATAGTGGCTTTGTCTGCTGTGCTCCCCTCTGCTTTTCTCCCTTTCCGCCCTCATCACAATCTTCCCCTCCTCGATCCCCTCTCCCTCCCCTTCTCTCCCCCACTCTTTCCCTTCTCCCATTCAGCCTGCCTGACTCACTCTCTCGCCTCGTCGACCCATCCATTCGAGCCTCCATCCCTCCTCCCCCGCTCACAACCTCCTTCAACACAACTTCCACCGCCACCACCACCACCACCACCACCACCGTTACCACTACCGCTGCCGCCGCTGCTGCTGCGGCGGTTGCTGCTGTGGAGGGGTCTCCAAGGCTCGAGGAGTCACCCGGTCATGGGGGAGGGGATGCACTGCGGGCTGTGAAAAGCGAGGGCTTCTTGCAACCCGGGGATGCTGCTGCGTCCGGTTCACCCTCGTACCTCCGAGGCACCAAGGTATGCTCAGAGCGCTTCTAAGTCGACTCAAAAGGTTGTCTTGTTTTAGGGGGCAAAGGGAGGGGATGCACTGCGGGCTGTGAAAAGTGAGGGCTTCTTGCAACCCGGAGACGGTGCTGCTGCGTCTGGCTCTCCCTCCTCCTTCCTCCGAGGCACCAAGGTATGCACGAAGTGGCTTTTGAGTTGCCCAGTCATTGGGGGGGAAGGGAGAGGACGCGCTGTGTCCTGTGAGGAATGAGGGGAAGGGGTTTATTCAGCCAGCGGATGGTGCTGCTGCGTCCGGCTCGCCCTCCTCCTTCCTCCGCGGCACCAAGGTATGCATGAAGTGGATGATGGCTACCCCCTTCACAGCAAAAAATCGCTCGCTGCTCTTGACCCTGTTACAGGCCCCCTCCCCTTACCCTCTTTGCCACTTCAGCTCTTCAACGCCTTCAACGCCTTTTCAACGCCTTTTCAACGCCTTTGTCTCTCCCCCTCACACCAGGTTCTCCGCAGCAGCAGCAGCACCTTCAAGATCCTCCAAAGCTCCCCCAGAGTGCAGCCCACCGCTCTGCACCCAGCTGCAGACCTCCTTCCGCTCTTTTCCTCCGCACCCTTCGCACCCCCTGCTGCTGCGGCGGACGGGGAGGAGGGGGAGGAGGGCGAGGGGGAGACGGAGGAGGAGAAGAAGCAGACAGGAAGCTTCTCGGAGAGAGGTGAGTTGGGCGCTTGTGATGTGGGAGGTAAGACGGGGGATGGGGAGGTGCCATGGTGGTGCGATGGGATGCGGAAGATGAGACGCAGAAGGCCCCGGAGATGAGAACTCAGACCTGGCACGGGATGCCTACTTTCATACCGCTTGCCCCTGTTTCCCACTCTCTTGCACTCCATCTCCCCCCCTCACCCTGCTCTTCCTTCCCTCCACCCCTCCCCAAGGAGAAACTAGACCTTTCGCTTAACACAGCTTTCTCTCTTGTCGGCCGCCCTTCACCCGTCTCCCTCTCTCCCTCCACCCCTCCTTACAGAGAAACCAGACCTCATGCTTGACATCTCCGTTGCCTGTGACAGCCCGACCACCCCGGATGGCACCAATACTGTGCTCCAGGCCTGAAGCTCACCCCCCTCTTGTTCTTAACTTCATCTTGCCCTCCCCCCCTCCCCACAGAGAAACCAGACCTCATGCTTGACACCTCCGTCGCCTGTGACAGCCCGACCACCCCCGATGGAACCGTTACCACGCCGCACCCTGCTGCTGCTGGCAAGAAGAGCCTCTTTGGCTTTCACCGCACCAACTCCAAAGGTACACTTGGCTTTGGCTTTTGAGTCGTCTCAAAAGGCACCTCACCCTGCTGCTGCTGGCAAGTTGGTTATTGAGAATTTTCAAAAACCAACTGAGAAGGCATCTTACCCCGCTGCTGCTGGCAAGAAGAGTCTCTTTGGCCTCCACCGCACCCATTCCTGCCTGTGGTACACTTGTTCACATGTGTACCGTGAAGTTTTTCTGCTTATGCATACACTAAAATCGTCATTTGCATAAAAAAGCATGTATCATCCATCCATAAAGCCATGTTATGTTTGTGTTCATCCAGTTATGTTAACATGCATACATTAGAGAAAACCCGCATTTGAGGTGTCTCCAAGTCCCCTCCCCTTTTTCCCACCCTCCACCCCCCCCCCCTTCCCCTTCTTCCCCCTCGTCCCCTTCTCCCCCACTTTGCCTGGAAATCTGTACTCTCCCCCCCTCTCCTCTCGCCCACAACCCCCACCATAACACCAGGTCGCAGCAAGGAGAGTGAGGGCGCGTTCGGACCAGGAGCAGTTCACGCAGCCACTCCTCGACCCAAGTCAACCGAGGAGATTCGAGGGGGGTTTGGAACGCGCCGTCAGCAGCAGGTGAGAGACAGTTAGAGAGAGGAGATTTTTACGTGCTTCACTTGGTTTGACAGAGGCGTTTGCTTTGGCTGGACGTACCACGATTGATGGTGTTCTATGTCTCATCAAATCATATTGTCTCTTGGTTATGTGGTGCCTCTATTCTGCAGGCTGAGGAAAGCCAATAACGGTATACGGTAATTATCGAGATACGGTACAAGAATTACAGTGGATTTGTAAGCACTAGATAGAATGGGGGCGTTGCATTGGCATGCTATGGCCCAACTAACAATCTCCTATCCTAATATGGTGTTGAGGCTACACTGCTTAGTTGCTTATGTGAAGCCAAACATCATACGCTACAACACATGCTCTTTGCACTGTCTTAACTACCAGGAAATATATGGGAGTTAGCCCTATACAAGTTTTGAGTGTTGTGTTTGAGTATTGAGCAGTTCTAGTACAGTGTATCGTTGTTATTTGTTTTATGTGCTTACTACGGAACTTGGTTATAATCAATCCCCGCGAACCGCACTTGGCATTACGGCGAGTGCTTGTCCAATCACAGTTATGGGTGGACTACAGCGCGCGAGTGGTTCTGGATGCTGTAGGACACGCGAGGCGAAATGACCGCGATTTCGTCCAGGTACATTTTTTCGCCCACACGCTTCGAGACAATATCGATGCGGCACTTCATTTCAGGATTTGGCTTGACGAGCTGGGCGAAAGGATGAAGGGTTTTCAATTGATCACGCACACTTACTGAAACTATGCGCCAAAAGCGCAGCACTGTAGCTTCTGGCGCATGGTTTCTTCCAGTTTTTCGCTCATAGCGCATAATTAGCTCCTTTCAACGCAGTTCATTCATCATTGGTTAAAATATCGACGGACCGACAACTCCGCTTAAATTGACGGCCAGCAAACCGTATACACCTGTATTTTGGGCAGACAAAACATTAAACCCCTATCGGATGGTATGTTGTTTAGGGAGGCATCAACCCTAAACACAATGCGGAAGTGTTTATGGTTGATGCCATAAACAATCGGCTTTATTGTTCGTGATGATTATTATTTTTCGATGGCAAGCATCGAGGGAGCCATCAACCCTAAACACTAAATTGGGTGCTTAGGCTTGATACCCTTTTTCCATGGGTAATTTTTTCCGCGCAGGTAAATATCAGGGCTGGATATTTACTGTTCTCACTAACAGTAAAACCAATTGGCCTCTAACTTTCGAATATGTGGCTCAATGATCATCGAGCTGCGTTGATAGGAGCTAATTCTGCGCGATGAGCGAGAAACTGGCAGAAACCCTGCGCCTGAAGCTACAGTACTGCGCTTTTTGCGTAAATTTTCAGTAAGGGTGCGTGATCAACTCAAAACCCAAGGATGAGACTGGGAAGGGAGATTCTAACGAGGGGTCACGCTCGACCAGCTGGCGGACGGCAGCTGGGGGGAAAACACTGTACAGTCCTGACCTGCGGTGAGGAGGGGTGAAAGGAGGTGGGGGGTGATTGGTGGTGGGGGAGGTTTGGCAAAACAGCTGGCTGGCGGTGGCGGTGAGGAAATACTGTAGGCTGGGGGAGTGTGCGTTGGAAGAGGTAAATCTAGGGAATGGCGGCGGGGGCAAGAGGAAGGCCAAGGGCGGGGGAGAAGGGGGAAAGGGCAAGAGGAAGGCCAAGGGCGGGGGAGAAGGGGGAAAGGGCAAGAGGAAGGCCAAGGGCGGGGGAGAAGGGGGAAAGGGTATTCGAGGGGGAAAGAAGCGGAGGTGCGCTGCACTGCAGTCGAGCGCTCCCGCACCGTTGCTTGATTCTCTTGATTTCCCTGCACCCTTGGCGTGGATTCACGCACGCAGCAACACCCACCTAGGTTAGTTTGTTTTCCCGCTCAGAAATATTTTCTCTAGGCGAATTTGCCCCACGCTCAGTTCTCCCTCGAGAATCCCGACGACCCGCGTTATGTCGCTTTCTTCTCCACGCCACACCGCGCAGTAGTTCTCTCTGTTTCTCCGCCTCACCGCGACTCATGAAGCGAAACTCGCACGTCGCTCGCGACGTCACGTCAGTCGCGATCATCTTATGCTAGGTGGGCTGTATTGGCGCAGTCACACCGGCACGTGGTTCAAGGGTAGCACTTGACCGTTTGCCTCGTGCAGGTTTGAGCAGAGCAGAAGCCTCGCCGTGCTGTCTGTCACATCACACGGACCAACCAACGCTCGGTGTTTCTTCGTCCGTAGTCATTTTGCCTTTCCTCGTCACACTGGTGTGTTTAGGAGTATAGTCAACGTCTCGTTCTTAAAACAAACGCCCCTGAAGGCAGTAGCTGTTAGCCTGTCGCAACTAAAACGATACGCGTAGCGAACGGTAATTTTCCCATCCCCCTTCTTTCTTACGACGATTAAGACGCCCTTACTATTGAACATTCTCAAGCTACTCTTCGTGTCGTCTCGCGGTCCGCAGATAGGCCGTTACGGCCGACGCTTTTTGAGATATCTCGCAGTAACCTAGCTTGAGCGGAAGTATTACCAGATCCGACATCTGCTCACCGGAATCTTCAACGTGTTGTTACTCGTTTGGCCGAACTCTCAAACATCTGGCCACTCTCAGCCGTTACTTCTCTGATTCCGCGCCGTAATTTCCCCTGTATCCCGGCGCAGCGAGCTTTTCAGCAGAAAATATAGACTTCTCAGATAGCAGCAGCAATGACGCGCCCCTCCAGAAGGCCGCAGGGGCTGGTACTCGCTATTGCGCCGCTCGTTACTGCGTCAGTGCTCCTGCTTCTGATCGGGGCTTCTGTCGCTTTCGCGTCAGTGCATCGCGCGAGTGAAGGATCGAGCGACGGAGGTACGCTTCGCACACTAATGAACACGATCGAGAAGGAAGGAGGACCCATTTCTTCTGTTTCCGGCCCTGTCGAATAATTCTGCGTCCCTTCCTCCCCGCCCCCTTCTCCCTTCCTCTCCCTTCGCTTTTGTTTCCCCCAATAACACCCCCACTTCTCACTTAACACGCCTCCCCCGCACCCCTTCTCCGTCCCCGATTCCCCCCTCCCCCCCCCTCCCCCCGGTCCCCCCAGGCGCTCCATCTGTTCACCGTAGATCTCTGGCGACCGCTACTCTGGGCGCACCGTGCCGTTTTGGTGGCAACGTCATGCCTATTGACTGCAGCCCGGGCCTCAAATGCCAACCCCATCCTTCCCGTCCCCCCAGGCGCTCCATCTGTTCACCGTAGATCTCTGGCCGCTGCTGCTCTGGGCGAACCGTGCCGTTTTGGTGGCAACATCATGCCTATTGACTGCAGCCCGGGCCTCAAATGCCAGCCCGGCAGCTCCACTGCTGTCGCCTCCGAACCTGTTCCCGAGCCTAACCCGAACCAGCTCGGCAGGCCCAGAAACTCGCAGGGTCTGACCCACAACCCTGACTTCGCCACTACGGGCACGTGTGTTCCTGACGGCTCGTCCACGTCATCCCCGTCCCCATCCACGTCATCTTCATCCAACGCCACGTCACCACCCACCCAGGACCCATCAACCCCCATCCCTCCCTCCTCTGGCTCCACCTCTACGCCTCGCCTCGGCCCGGGGCCCCTAGAAAAGCCCACCACGTGTCAGTACATGTGTGCACGGGGGCAGTACCATGGGGAAATGCCGTGCCCGAGAGGGTATACCTGCGTGCTTGCTCTAGAGGGAGGTACGCACTTGACTCCAGAGGCTCTACAAGCTCTGGCTGATGCCTCCGCTGAAGCTCCTCCTGCTGCTGACTGCAGTAACAGCAACGGCAGCACCATCAGCACTGCTATATCACCCCTAGGCGTTGTTAGCAACAGCAGCAATGCTGAGTTTGTCAAGTCAGCGGGTGCTGTCATCCCTTACGAAGGCATCTGCGCCCCGAGCCAGTGGTTCGGCCCGAACGTCTCGCCGAACCTCCTCTCGGCACCATCGTCCACAATTTCCACCAAGGCTGCCGTGGGAGGCTCGGGATCTTTGCCTGCTGCCGAACCTGTGGCCGGGGAGGCTGGGAGCAACTGCTCGTTCGGCGGGGATAGTGCTGCTGTGCTGTGCAATCAGGGGTTTTCTTGCCTCGTGGAAGCTGAGAAACGCACAGTGCATCACCCACAGGTGTTTGGAGTGTGTGTGAGTGCGGAACTCTGTGATCCGTACCTAGAGGAGAAGATCGAGGATGCAGCTGGGACTGGCAGCTCGGGAAAATCTGCAGGTCCCCAGACGAGGTTGCCAGGCCTGGGAGGATCTAGGCTTGGGATTGCTGTACTCCTGTTTGCATCCTTCTTTTTCCTGTAAAGGGCTTCCTAGGTCCACTCAGGCTTTTGTGAGGTGAAGGCTGATGGAGCCACCTAGGGTTGTGGGCTAGTTGAACTTGGCTTGACCCTGCAAGCTAGGCTGTTGCTTCATGCTGTCGTTCCTCCTTGCTATTGCCTCAGTAGATGCTCTCAAGCTATAACCCTCTTATGATTGTTTTCCAAACCAATATTACTACTTGTACCTATGATGAAAAACAAGGGGTTGGCTGGTACCGTAGGTAGGAACATGAACAAAGCCTGGCCTGCTCTAGTGCCTAATGTCTTGTAGTGTATCAATCAACCTCCCACTGTTGATGTACTCTTAGCAAACCATGTGAATCTAAAAAGCAGCTGCGCCTAATCTGCACTGATGCAACAAAGAACACTCTACCTACCGCCAAGGGTGCCTATGCAGCTTCTATCAGGTTCCTATCCTGCTGATGTTCTGTGCTTTTCCAGTGATCCTTCAAGTGTACGTGATACCGTCTCTATTGTGCTCCTCGCCCCATCCACCCCCATCTCCTTATTCACAAACTCTTTACACGTCCTCATCCTCTTTCCTAACAACTACCTCCCCTCCTGTCCCCCTCAGCCCCTCTGCTGCTGCAACCCCCTCGCTCTCACTCCCCCCCACCCCCCTTGCACTCGTTCCACCTGCTTCCCCTTCGTCCCTTTCTCCCGCTTCTTCCCCTCCTTTCTTTCTTCCTTCTTCCCCTCCTTCCCCCTCCCCCCCTTCCTTCCCCTCAGCAGCTTCCCCTCTTCCCTTCCGCAATCTCTCCATCTCCCTTTCAGCCTCTTCTTTCATTCTCAAAGCTTCTTCTGCCCGTTTCTCTGCCTGAGCAGCCCTTTCTTCCGCTTCACCTGCCCGTTCTTCAGCTGCCCGCATCCTCCCAGTCAGCTCATCCGCCTCACCAACCAGCGCCTCCGCCCGGGCAACTTCCTCAGATAGCCTAAACTCTGCCAGGGATACCCTATCTCTAGCCCCCTCAATCTCTACCTCTAAATCCGCACACCTCAATCTCATCTCCTCCAGCTCAGCTTGCAAACGTGTCACAAGGTGATTGGCCCTATTTTCCACGTCAGCCACCTCAGCTTTGGCCAATTCCACCTGTCCATCTGCTTGCAACGCCTGCGCCCTCAGCCCCGCCGCGTTTTCCTCTGCTTCTTGAAGCTTCCACGAAAGCAGCTCCCTCTCCTGTTTCTCCACCTCCAATTCTCTCCTCAGCTGCCCGGAAATCTCTTCAGCTGCCCGCAACTTCTCTTCCAGGGAGTTTACCCTCTCCCGGGCAGCTTTCGCCTCCCGCCTCTCCTCCGTTGCGCGTTTCTCCGCTTCCGCCGCTGCCAGCTCAGCTTCCTCCTTCAGCTTCCGCGATTCCCGCGCGTCCCGAAGCGCTCTATCAATCTTGGATTCTAGCGAGTGGTTACGCGTAACGGCCGCCTGCAGCTGCGTCTGTAGCTCATTCACCATATCTACTTGCGGAGGAGACGCGGGCGCTGGAGCCCGAACCTCCGGCTCTGGTTCGGCATGCGATCCCAGCTCCCGGACGTCCGAACCTGCTGGTGGAGGTTCCGCGGCGTTGCGGGAAGTGATGTGCGGCTGCGCAGACGCGATGCTGTCCGAGCCGCCTTTCTTCCGCCATCGAGACAGCATCTTAACGGCGTCCTACAGGCTAACTCCTTGAATACGTCAGAGATGGCTAGACCGATTTCTCGGAATCGAACGTATTCAGGCTGAATCTTCGAGACATGTGAGGGTCTTGCGAAAACGAAAGGATCGATCGGTGCTAAGTGCGAGGTCGGAGCTTCAAAGCTCAAAAAGTGGTAGTCATAATCAGCAGCCAATACCGAGTCATGTAGCCAAGACAAGTGACCGACAAGCGGGGTTGCAAAATTGCTGCCTCTATGAGAGTAGAAAGCAAGAATGATCAACGCCAGGCAAGGCGGACGACGCAGTGGAAGAATAAAGGACGCGTGCTGGAAAACTATGACAGGGGAAAGGCATGACGTGCAGTACTAGCCGTTGTGACGGGGCGAGGTGTATGCTCGACGCCAGCATGAGGTGGAGAGATACCCGCTATAACGAGCTCCGCTCGCGTGCAAACTCAGGTGATTTTTTTGTGATATGAGACAAGGCAAGCATCGGGGAAATTCAAGAACCTGTTTTTCCCCCAACATTAATCGTGGAAGAAAGTGTATGGCATATTGTTCTACGGTATGGAACATGCTACGGTATATGCAACAATACATTATTGAACAAGCAATGCAGGTCGGTGAAACTACCATACCCTGGAAAAGCTAACCCCGAATTGAACTAAATTAGTGTGGAATCCCCTAGTTTTGCTTCAAACTGTATATCCCCTCTAGTGTCATTGACCCCTCGCTGAAATCTTCACGTGGCGACAATGCCACACAGATACCCAGCTCCACATGGCTAGTCCTACGTGGCAAAACCCTTCCACGTGGCAACAATAGCACTGAGCATGATCTCGTGTGCTTCCTCATCCGTCTGTGTCATGGGGTATGGCATGGCATGGGATGGCAAGACATGGCATGGCACGGGCCAACCGGAACAAGCACGGGCACATGAACAAAAGCGGCCATGAGCAATGCGAGAACACGCCAGGAGAGGAATAAATTGGATGAAGCAAAGCTGGGAAGACTCCGCCCCCACAGCTGCCAGCTGATCTTCACCGCCCTCTCCCTCAGCTCCTCCCGCATGCCCCCAATCCCCTTCCCCTTCCCCCCCATTCCGACTCACCTCGCACTGCATGCGTATTGAAGCAAAGCTGGGAAGACTCCGCCCCCACAGCTGCCAGCTGATCTTCACCGCCCTCTCCCTCAGCTCCCTCACCCTCAGCTCACTCTCTTTCCCACATACACATGCAATCCCTTCTCTTCCCAGTCTCACCTCACACTGCATGCGGATCGAAGCAAAGCTCGGCAAACTCCACCCCCACAGCTGCCGGCTGATCTTCACCGCCCTCTCCCTCAGCTCCTCCCCCATGCCCCCGATCCCCTGCCGATGCACATACAGCAGCAGTCTCGCAATAAACCGCACGTTATCCGTATGCCTGGGCCACCTATAGAACACCCGGGCAGCCATTCTTGTCGCGACAGCCATTAACAGCTCTGCCACTTCTTTTTCTTTCGGGCAGACCACGGCTACAACCTGGTCGATCCACGCGCTACAGCCGATGAGCATGCGAGCACGAGAGGCTGCGGCAGAGGCTTGGGGGAAGAGGCGGGGCGGGGGGATTGCGGGTTTGTGAGAGGGAGTGCGAGGAGAGGAGGAGGAGGACGGGGAGGAGGCGGAAGCAGGGGAGGAGGAAAGTGGAGGCTTCTTGGCAGCGGAGGGGGTAGAGTGAGTGGTTGGATGGGATTTGGAAGGTGATTGTGCAGGGGAGAGGGCGGACGAGGAGGAGGAGCGGGAGTGGGATCCTGACTGGGACTGGCCTTGGGATTTGAAGGCGGAATAGGGGGAAGAGGAGGAGGAGGAGGAAGAGGAGGAGCGGCGGTGGCGGTGCAGGTGTTGGCGGGGGTCAGCAGTGGAGGCGAAGGAGATGAGGAGGCCCTCCAGGCCCCAGTCGAATAGCTCGAGCAGGAAAGGGTCTGGGGGAGTGGTGTCTTGTAGAATAGCCTGTGATGGGGAGAGAATGGGGAAAAAGGGGTTGGCAGGTGTCAAGAGGCGAAGGAGATGAGGAGGCCCTCTATGGTTGAGGAAGTGGACTGCTTTTGAGGCGCCTCAAAGGTTGAGCAAGTGCAGCGCAGGCAGCGGGGAAAACAGGGAGACCCCCCACCCCATCCCACCTCTCACTCAGCATGCACCTTGAGAGGCATTGGGACAACTCAGGAAACACCTAGAAGCTTCCAGAGGTAGAAAAAGAGATACAACACAACGCACCTTGAAGCTTCCTCTCACGGCCTTCGCCCACATGGGCACCAGTGCACGGTGCTCCCTTCTCTCCTCCTCCAGCAGACTCCCAATCGCCTTCCACTGCGCCCAACCCACCTCCACCTCGGGATACTCCACCTCCCTCGCCCACCGCGCCACCGCCTCCTCTTTCCTCGCAGCCCTCTCCCTCCTCCTCTCCGCCCTCCTCTCCCTCCGCTCCTCCTCCACCCGCTCTGCGTCACTCGCTACACTGCGGGGCCCCATCCCCCCCACCTTGACGACTTCGTCGCTTTCCCCGGCCTTCACGGGTGCTTCTGGGACCACCACTGACAGTCTGTGCCGTGCCTTGGACCCTAACGCCCTGCTGCCCTCCCCTCTCCCTTCTCCCTTTTGGCCCTCTGCCCCCTCTGCTACCTCCCCTGACGAGCCATGGTTGCTCTGCCCTGCTTCCTCCCCCTCCTCCTCTGCCTCTTCCTGTATCCTCCCACACCTCTCTCCTACCCCACTCTCCCTCTCCCTCACACGCACACTGCTCTTCCCGCCCGCACTCCCTCTCTCCTCCTCACTCTCCTCACTCTCCTCACTCTCCTCACTCTCCTCGCTCTCCCCACTCTCTAACCCATGCATCAGCAGCGGCTCTATAGACACGCGCATGATCACCTTCGCACACAGTAACTTCGTCTCTTGCAATTCCTCCTCCCCAACTCCCCACCTCCCCTCCTTCCCCCCTTCCTCCTCCTCATCCTCCTCCTCTCCCTCCTCTCTCTCCTCCTCTTGCTCATCTTCATCCCCGGGCAGTTTAAACAAAGTACTTAGCTCCAGAAACCCATTCGCCAGTTCATAAGCCCATGGATACTCTAAAATCCGTTTTCCCAGTTTCCTCCACCTCCTCCTCCTCTCCCTCTCTCGCTCCTTTCTTCTTGCGGCACTACTCCCAACACTACTTAACCCCCACACCCCCTCCTTCTCCCTCTGCTTCTCCCTCTCCCTCGCCCATTCCTTCCCCTGGATCGGCTCCAGCAGGGCCGAACCAAACACCGAAGCAAACTCCCTCCTGGCCGAGCCTGTCCGTGCCCGCAGCAGCGCGAACCTAGCAGCTGCTAGAAGCCTGGCAATCCGCTTCGGAACAGGTTCGGCACCATTAGGCACCAAAGCCAGCCGAACCGTCTCCCTCACCCCCTCAGGGTCATCATACGTCGAAGCACAGGCTCGGATGCGGATCCGAACCGAAGCCTCGCCGAGCCTAAGCTCCTCGGACCGGTCTGCCAGCAGCCAGAGGTCGTCCGGGGCTAGGTTCGGCAACCGAGCCGCCTCGGTAGCTATGAGGAGAACCAAAAGCCCCGGACCTCCAGCAGAGGAAGACACCAACACTCCATCTAATTGCCGAAGCTTAGGGGGACTGGCGGATTGTGGGAGGGGCACTAAGAGGGGGTGACTATAATGAAGGTCACTGTCGAAATCCATACTGGGAGTTCGGCTTGAGCTGGTGGCAGCAGCAGGAGCAGGCATATGTGCACCAAATGCACCTGCAATGCTGGAAGATGATTGGAGGATGGAGCGGAGAACTGCCAGCTCAGCAAGCTCGACCAATGGAGCGGGACCAAACCCGTCCACCCCAGCAGCTGCTGATGCAGCAGCAGCAGCGTCGAACCGGGCTTTGGATGGTGGAGGCACGACGGGAATCGGGCAGGCACTCACGAAACTCCTCTGCCTGCGATGCTTCTTTTTCTGCCCGGACGGGCTGCTGGGAACCAAAGAATCTGCCCCCATGCCATGATGACTATTCCCCTGAATATTTCCCTGAATATTCCCCTGAGTATTCTCCTGATGATTCGGATCCTCCCCAAGCAGTGCCACCCGCCAAGCAGCTTCCTCCAGCCCCCCTCCCACCTCACCCAACCACTCCCCACCCCCACTCACCGCATTCCCGGTCCGGCCCTCTCCAATCCCCCCCTGCACGTCCCCCCCAATTCCCCACTGCGACCGCTTGTTGCCGGTAGGGGAATGACCCATAGCCCCAGTACCAGCAGCGCCAGAGAGTCCCATGATTCCGCCACCAGCAGAGCCAGCTAGAAGAGCAGCGAAATCCTCGTCTCCCCCAAACGACTTGATAAACGACACCTGCCCCGTGGGGGTAGGCGCAGCCACAGCATCCCCATACCCCCCAAACCCCGCATTTCCACCATACCCACCACCATAACCACCACCATACCCACCACCATAACCACCACCATACCCACCATCATAACCTGCAGCATAGCTCGCACCCGGTCGCTTCCTAATCTGGCACTTGAGAGCAACCGCATCTACCATATCTAACAGACACTGCAGCACAAACTCCCGGCACTCCTGCGCTTCACTCGCGTTCTCCCATTCCGCCACCGCCCCTCCCGTGGCCGTCGACCCTGCCCCGTCCCCACACCCGCTCCTTCCCCCCGCCCTGCTCCCCCCGGCTCTGCTCCCCCCGCCTGCGCGGCTCCCCCCTGTTCTGCTCCCCCCAGGGCCGAACCCCCCCTCCGTTCTGCTCCGAGGGCCTGTTCCGTTGGTCCACCCACTAGCCATACTCCCAGGACTAAGCGACTCCTCATCATCATCCTCCGAATCCTCCTCCCCTTCGTCGGAATCCGAGCCTCCGTGATCGCCTCGGCCGCCGGGCCTGCCGTGCCGAGCCTCCAGCTTCTTGCCGTACCGAGCCTCCCAGTCCTGCTTCCCGAGCCTGTCCAGCAGCCGGAGCACGCAGACAGCTGCGGTGGCAGGCTGGTGGCCCGCCGCAGCTGCTGCCAAGCCTAACAATCGAACCACATCCACATGGAGCGGTGCTGGGTTCGGAACTTCCTCCTCTGCCATCACCGAGCCTCCCGGCCCTGCTGCCATAGTCCCCGCTACCAAGCCAGGAGCCAAGCTGACAGGTCCGGCCGAGCCAGGCCCCGAGGCAGCACTACTTTCAGAGGACATACCCATCCTACCCATCATACTTGTAATCATATCGGGCTCTCTCACACCCACTCCCACACTGAAACTGCTAACAGTACTTATAGTACTCACTGTGCTGATACTGCTCCCAGGCCCTCCCCACAACCCACTAGCATCACTGCTGCTGCTGCTACCGCTGCTACTGCTGCCACTGCTGCTGCTGCTGTTGCCACTGCCGCTGCTCGCCCCATCCGCTCCTGCTGCAGCAGCACCTGTGTAACCAATGCCACCCCCGTTTTGGATTCCATACCCACCACCGCTGCTGCTCAGCACAGCAGCTTCGGCACAAAACCTACTGCTTCCGAGCCTCCCAACGTTGCTTCGGCTTTTCCGAAACTCCCGCCCATCCTTTGCCAAACCTCCCAGCCTTTTTTCCTCCTGGCTAATCCCACCGGACCCCACCCCTTGAGATGCCTCCGCACTCCCTGCCATCCCTGCCCCTGCTTCTCCTCCTCTCCCCCCTGTTGCAACGCCCCTTGCTCCTGCTGCAGCAGTCATATGCCCAGGGGTTGCTACAGTAATCTGCCGCCCACTGGAAGCTTCTAGAATCTCTTCCAGCAGTTTGTCTTGTAGTTGCCGCCCTGCTTCGGCCCGTAATGCGGCTTCAAACGCCGAGCCTACCACCGAAGCGCCACCCAAACCTGAGCCCTCGGTATGGTAATCCTCGCTATAGTGATACCCGTTCATTATAGTCACATCCTTGTCTTCTGCACCTGCAGGGTCTTCAATCTCTAAAGGCTCAACAATCGACACCATGCGATCTCGCTTCGGCCGGCTTCCTTCGTCCGTTTCTGTCTCAATGTCGTCACTGTTCCCACTGTTGTTCCCACTGTTGTTCCCGCTGCTGTCATTCACACCGGAGGAAAATCCTAGTACCTTCTCCCCCTCCCCTAAATCAAGATCCCCAAACTCCTCCTCCTCCTGTATCGCCTCCACCCCACCCCACAGCCCCCTCCCCCTCCCCCTCTCCCCGTCCCCACTCCAATCACTCACTCCATCCTTCCCACCCCCCCCTTCAGCTCCTCCCCCGTTACTATCACCATCGCCCAAGTCAACCGAGAAAAAGTTTCCCACATCTACAGTATCACTTTGCCCTATCGAATCAAGCGAAGGCAACAGGTGCTTCCCTCCCCGTCCACCCCCCCCATCCCCTATCACCCCTCCCCCACCCCCTCCTTCCCTAAACGACCTCCCCCCGTCTTTCAACGACCCTTCCTTAAACGAGCGTTCTCTAAACGAGCGCCCGCGTTCCTTAAGCGACCGAGCCTCTCTCAAAGACCGGCTCTTGCTCATCGCCCTGCTTCCCGAGCGACTCAACGCTCTTCTTTGCGCGAAGCTTCCTGTGTTCTCCGCGTGACTTGTGCTCCTAAAGCCCCCCTCCCCGCCTCTTCCGCCGCCTATTCCGCTGTCACCCCCACCAAACGTTGCGCTACGAAAGCCCCCAGTACCCCCTCCGCTAATCCCCGCCCCCACTTCATGATTCCCGAATCCTGAAACGAAACTTTCCTCCTTGACCGGACTCCAGATCCCCCCGTTTCCCCCGCCTGTTCCCCCTCCCCCGACGGGGGACTCCAGCCCCAGTCCGCCATGGCCCTCGAGCCCGCTTCCGCCGCCGCTGCCCCTTCTGCCTGCGCCCACTCCTCCGCCAGTGACACCTAATCCAGTTCCGCCTGCCCCGTGCTGCACAGGCGGCTTCCCCCACTCCTTCCAAAACTCCACCCACATAGCCAGCCCCAATACAAACACTTCTTCTACTTGTAACGGATCCAACCCTACCGGAGGCAACGGGCCTACGTGCGCTAGGGTTTGCTCGGTCGCGCCTGCTCCACCGAACGCCAGCGCACTCAAGCCCGCGAAATCAAACCCTCCGAAAGCGCTCTCCCCTTCCCCTTCCCCCCGCGCCTTCCTCCGCGCGCGACGTCGCGCTTCCGCGGCTGCTACAGCTGCGGCGGCGGCTGTAGCGGCTACAGATGCGGAGACCGTCTGAATAGTCGCCACGAGCCAGTCGTATTCCGCGCGAGCGAGGCGGAGTAGCGCCGCTTCTAGAACCTCCTGCGCTTCCCGCAACTTCACCTCCCCCGCCCGCTCCACCGCCAGCGCCACCAGCCGCCGCGTGGATAGCCGCTTCAGCGGCCCTTGCGGCACCATCTGGTCCTGCTGGAGCGCCGCGGGCGCCGGCGACGGCGCCAGCGGCGCCGGAGGTCGGGGCGGGAGTCCCGCTCCGCCGAAAAGGTAGCTGCTTCCGGTGGTGGCGAGGACAGGTGCGGGGGAGTGAGAGTCTTGAAGGCGGAAGGGGGAAGGGGAAGCGGAGGCGGCGGAAGGGGAGGTGGGGTAATCCGCGAAAGGGGAGGGCGTGGCGTTATACGAGGAGGGCAGCGGGGAGTTCTGCTGAAGATCCGAGTTATAATCGTCGCCATCTTTATGCTCGCTATCCGCGTCGCTCCCCTCTTCGTGGTCTTGTTCGTCAGCAGCCGTGAGATCTGACGTGGCGACGACAGCGGCGCTGGAGATCTTCTCGACGTATTGCGTGAGGAGATTAGAGACCGCATCGTGGACCCAGTCCTCCTCGGTTAGGAGCTTTTCCAAGCTTGCGAGCGAGGCTCGGGCTGATTCCGATTCGTTCAGATGAGGCGAGGAAGGTTGGTTGAGAGTTGGAAAGGAGGGTGCAGCGAGATTCGCTTGTATTGCGAAGTCCGGGTAGGGCCACTCTCCCGCTGTCGAATTCGCCTGACCCATAGCAGGTTAGGTCGAAAAATCAACCGCTACAGCAATGGAGAGCAAGTACGAAGAAAGGCGTAGTCTTGATAAGTTAAGAGCCTCCTCATACTTCCCAAAAGAGACGGGTAGCACGAGAATGGTGTTACCACCCCAAGGCTGCAAAACCAGCTGTTGGAAATGCTTCAGAGAGTGCCTTCGTCTAGATACATAGGAACCACCTCACTATACCTGCAAATCGGCGGCAGCAACGAGAAGAAAGCTACCTGTTGGAGACTACACAACCAGCAGCTAGAAACGCTGCACAGAATGCCATGTGCGTAGTTTAGGATCCGACAATGACAACCAAAAACGACATGAGCGAGTTGTAAAATCGCTGCTTGCAAACGCTCGGAATGGCTCACACGCCAATTCCGAACGGAAGAGCAAAAGCTACGATGGGGTGGGTGGTTGCGCGTCTGTTGCGCAGAAGTCCATTGTTTGGATTGCCGCGCACTCCCAACCTTCTGACGGACACAGTTACATTGTCCGTCAGCTTGCTGTCGTAAACACGTTGTGAGTTGCAGGGAGCCACACAATATAGTTCGCTCCGTCAACTCTGCCAGGCGATGCGGGGGTTTCTGGCGCGCTTGTGGAGGTGCTCTGACAGGGAATGACATCCCGCCATTTGGGCAAAAAAAGGACCTCTTTCGTCAAAAGTTTTCTTTGTGCGAAAGCAGGTAATTATTCCCGTTCAGTTACATTTTCGCTAAGTTCGTCACACCCGACAACTACTCGAGCGGGTCTGCGGCTTGCGCAACCAATCAACCGAAGTCCGCCGAAGCACCAGGGCGGGAAACGGGGACAGAATGGTGCTTGGTAGGCCATCCATGCATGGCGGTGAATGGTGTGTCTCTGAAGGGTGCGCGGAATTCATCGTGCGCGCGTAATCCTCAAGAGCGCACCGCACGGCATGGCAAGCTCGAGGGCTGATGTTCGCGCGGAAACCCCAGGTGCTTTGCCCAGCAGCACACGCCAGGGGAAGCTCGAGGGCAGCAGACTCCAGGCCTCATCCAACCCAATAGCCATGACAAGCTCCAAAACTGGTAACTCTTGTGTAACCTTTTCAGGAAACGAATCCAGACCGTTGAATTAGATGTTTTTGGCTAAGCCGAAACTATCAAATGATACAACGAGATAGACAACTGGAACACAATCCCAAGGCCTTTTTACCTTCCGTCAGTCTTGCTCTCCTCAACAGCTTTGTCCTTTGTAAGGCCTCAAGCCGTTTAGGTCCTTCCGTTCGGTCCTCTAGCCGTTTAGGTCTTGTCGTGGCTCTAAGGTGCCTGGCTGTACGGAACGACCGCGTAGATGCGTAGGGAACGCAACGCATGTTCAGTTAGGCCATAGACGCGATACGGATGCGTTTCCTGAAAGAGCGAGCCTCGTTGCAATCGAGGGCATTTAAAAGCCTTCGTCCTCATGCACTTGTTTCGAGAAAATAACTATAACTCTCTATTTCCACAGTTCACTTCCAGTTCTTAAGATCAACCCTCTCTTTTAAGAACTTAGGGTTTATTTTTAAGAGCTAAGATGGAAATGGAGGACGGGGAACCGCCGCGTATCGCACCTGCTTACACGCCGTGCGCTTTCGAAGGGGAGTCTCCGGGCCCCCGGTGCGGTCACACGCTTACCGCCGTCGCGCCTGTCGGAGAGCCCGGCAGCGCGAACTACATCGGCCCGCGGCTGATTCTATTCGGCGGAGCCACGGCTCTGGAAGGAGGCGCAGGTCCCGCGGCAGGAGCAGCAGCCGGAATACGTAAGTCAGGAAGCGTGGGGAGGTCTGTCGTTAAGCGGCTGCTGGAGCGGTTTTAAGCTGACACTTCGTCGTATAGTGTTAGTCGATTTCGCGACAGTGTCCGCTTCCATTAAGCTTAACAGATACCAGCATAGAAATGCTGGTTACCGATCGTGCTTTAGAATGTGCGTACGCTTGCTGATGACAAGCACTTCTTCTCTCTCTTTATTTATCCTCCTTAAATACCAACTCTCACACCAACTGCCGGCCCCTGCCGGCCAAGCTCTCTCCTTTCTTCCCGCTGCGTCTTAGTTTCCCTAATTCTTCAGTTTATTTCCGCGTAGCTATCTCCAGGAGCTGCTGCAGAGTGGGCTGTTTAGGCGTCACCGCTAGGCTTGGGAAGCAGCGTAACTTGCCTTAAGAGCTCGCATTGTCTGCAGCGATCCACTTTCAAGTTTTCGAACTCTCTTGCTGCTTCTTTCCGTCGGTCTTTCAGGTCTGGCCGGAGCCACGGCGGACGTGCATTGCTTCGACGTCAACTCGCGAACATGGAGCAAGTGAGTGCGCGTTATCGCTCAGTCTAGCGCGGTTTATTCGAGAGTTACGGACGATTGATTGCGCTTCGTCTGTTTCGGATAGAAACACGAAGAAAAATAAACACCAGATGGTGTAACAGAGGCCTATCCGCGCAGTTCGTCTGTCCATCTCGTCCGCAAATCTTCTCACGTCTCGGTATGTTAGGGTTGTCAGCCGCATCTCGCCATACTTAACTACCTACCTAGCATCACTTCCGCCTTTCCCTTCTTCTCCCAGGCTAATACTGGGTATGCGAGCCTCCTTCTGCGAGCTTCCTTCCCCGCAAGCAGCACGTGCACTTATGAGGCGCCTAAAATAATTCCCCTTATTCTTCCAGGCTCTCTCCGGTGGGCGAGCCTCCCTCCCCGCGAGCGGCGCATGCGGCGACGGCGGTGGGGACGATGGTGGTGATTCAGGGCGGCATAGGGCCAGCAGGGCTCGCCACTGACGACCTGCACGTGCTGGACCTCACGCAGGCTCGACCCAAGTGGCACAGGTGCGGCTTGTACTGTTGTGAGTTGTGACTGTTGTACCTGTTGCGCTTTTGCACTTTTTTACTATTGTGCAATTGTACTGCGCACAAGCACACGAGCAGCATTGAGAGAAGCAGCTTTCAGAGGACTTGCTTGCGGTTTTCGTCACACAGCGTTGTGTTTATGTAAGAATGTTACGATGTTGCTGATGTTGATCGGCTTGCGTTTGTGACGAGATGTTCTGTTGCTGTTGCTGTGGATGATGGCGTGTGCTTGTAACGAGCAGAGTGGTGGTGCAAGGAGCGGGCCCTGGGCCTCGATATGGCCACGTCATGGCTCTTGTGGGGCAACGCTTTCTGCTCTCCATCAGCGGCAACGACGGTGAGAGGGATGCGCGAGTTTTTCTTTTGCTCACTTGCTTGAGACGAGGTGTACATTGACGCGTGTGCTGTGCACAATGGATTTGTCAGTGGTAACGCATAATGTAATATGATGGATCCCTGTAGCTCATCACCTCCCCAACTTTCCCCACTTTCCCCTCCCCCCTGGCAGGCAAGCGACCGCTGTCATACGTGTGGTCGCTGGACACGGCAGCAAAGCCGTACGAGTGGAAAAAGCTAGACCCGGAGGGGGAAGGCCCGCCGCGCCACCCTGCATGTGTCTTCGAGTCGACCAAACATCCCCTCCTCTGCATTCCCCCCTTTCTCCCCATGCCCCCCTCCATCCCCTCTTCGGCAGGCAAGCGGCCGCTGTCGGACGTGTGGTCGCTGGACACGGCAGCAAAGCTGTACGAGTGGAAGAAGCTGGACCCGGAGGGCGAGGGGCCGCCGCATGTATCTTTGAGTCGACCCAACACCACACCCCCCTCCTCCCCTCCCCTCCTTCCCCTTCACTCTGCAGGCAAGCGGCCGCTGTCGGACGTGTGGTCGCTGGACACGGCAGCAAAGCCGTACGAGTGGAAGAAGCTGGACCCGGAAGGGGAAGGGCCGCCGCCCTGCATGTATGCCACGGCCAGCGCGCGGCACGATGGGCTGCTGCTGCTGTGCGGCGGCAGAGACGGCAGCAGCGTGGTGAGTTGTGTTGCACGTGTCACGTCACGACTGTGGTGTCCCCTCTACGCACCATTACTTTGCCCTGCTCTCTCCCAGTGCGTCTCTCCTACGCACTGACCCTGCCACTTCCCCTCTCCCACGACTTCCCCTCCCCCACTTTGCACTGATTGTTCCATACCACACCAGCCTCTACCCGGGGCGTTTGGCTTGGCTCGGCACAGAGATGGCCGGTGGGAGTGGGCTGTGGCGCCTGGGGTGTCTCCCTCGGCGCGCTACCAACACGCTGCTGTGAGTTTCTTCATATTATGCCTGAGTTTCTTTACAGCAGCGTGTTTTTGCGAGTCTCCTTACACGAGACTGTAACTGTGTGTGTGTGGGCGTGATCGTCCCCGAACCTGATTCCCCTGCCCTGAACCGTGTTCTGAACCGTTATGCGCGCGCAGGTGTTTGTGGGGCTGCGCCTGCACGTGTCGGGAGGAGCGCTGGGGGGAGGCCGCATGGTGGAAGATGCCTCCAGTGTGGCCGGTGAGTGTGACTATAGCGAGGCCACCTGAGCATTGTTTTCTATAGCCAAGGTGCAGGGGAAAGATGCACATCTTCACCCTCTTCCTCTTCCTCCCCCCTGCTCCTCGAACCGCTCTTTCTTCCGCACATAGCCCTGGACACAGCAGCAAGCGTGTGGTGTGGCATGACCCCAGCCATTCTTTCTCCTCCACCCTTCAACCCTCCCCCACGCCACTGTTCCTTGCACGCACACACACACAGTCCTGGACACGGCAGCAGGCGTGTGGTGTGACCGCAAGGGCATGGTTCATGTCTTCCCACCTTTCCCCTATTCTCCCAACCCTTTTCGCTCCCCCCTTCACCGTTTTTACTCCCGTGAGCAGTCCTGGACACAGCAGCAGGCGTGTGGTGTGACCGCAAGGGCATGGTATCGGTTGCCCGCACCGGCCGCTACAGTGCCGATGCTCCGGGCGGCGACGCGTCCACCGAGCTCACCCGCCGCTGCCGCCACGCCGCCGCCTCGGTGAACGATATTATCTTCGTGTACGGCGGGCTGCGGGGCGGCATTCTCTTGGACGATCTGCTCATTGCGGACGACACGCCGCCCGAGCAGCCGGCCCTGCCGGCCGCGCCGGCCGCGCCGGTTAAAGAGGGTGTGGCTGGTTCGGCACGGAAGCCTCCCATGCCGCCCAGATCGGGCGAGGGGCGGCAGGGCGTCGCGGTGGCTTCGGCTGTTGCTGCTCCGGATGACAGAGAGGAGGATATCGGGGCTGAGCATGCAAACGACCACCTGCACGAGTGAGTGAGGGGAGGGATAAGAAGGGCGGAGAAGGGAGAGCGTTTGGGAGGTATGGGTTGACTGGATGGGTTGACAGAGAGGAGGAAATCGGGGCTGAACATGCAAACGACCACCGGCACGAGTGATTTTTGAGTTTTGAGGCGCCTTAGGTGTTGCTGCTCCGGATGACAAGGGGGAGGACATTGGCCGGGGCTGAACACGCGAATGACCATTTGCACGAGTGAGTGAGGGGGGGAGGGATAAGAGGGAAAGCAGAGAGACGCATGGGTGCCTGCATGGGATGACAGAGAGGAGGACATCGGGGCTGACCACGCGAATGACCTCCTGCACGAGTGAGTGAGGAGGGAAGAGAAGGGCAGGGATAGGGTCAGGGAGAGGGGTGGGCTGTCTTTCCCTTGCATTTAGACGCTCTGTTCCTCCTTCTTTCCCGTCTATGCCGTCCGCCACCACCAATACAGGGTGGACGAGGAGGCATCAGAGCAGCTAGCGCGGATCAACAAGGAGGAGATGGAGGTGGCACGGCGAGCCATGGAGAGGGGCGGCAGTGGCGACCTGACAGGGGACGACATGGACGAGCGGCGCTACGGGGGCACTCCGCCTCCCCCCACCGCTGCTAGCCTCGCCAGGAGCGCGCTGGACGATGGGCGCAGTGAGACGCCTGCTTTCAAGAATGTGACCCTGTACCGCCGCGCTGTGAGTGGTGGTCAAGACACTGGGGGGGATGGGGTGTGGGAGGAGGGGATGAAGGGTAGGAAAGGGAGGGAGGGGAGGAAGGGGAAGGATGAGAAGGGGGTGTCTTAAAGCAAGCATGGCATCGGCGACCTGACAGGGGACGACATGGACGAGCGGCGCTACGGGGGCACTCCGCCTCCCCCCACCGCTGCTAGCCTCGCCAGGAGCGCGCTGGACGATGGGCGCAGTGAGACGCCTGCTTTCAAGAATGTGACCCTGTACCGCCGTGCTGTGAGTGCAGGGTGAAAGAAGATGGGTGAGGGGGGGAAGGGAGGGGAGAGGGGGAAGGAGGGGAGAGGGGGAAGGGAGGGGGGGGTGGGATCAAGGACCTGACGTTTGAGGTACTTCAAACAAAGCATGGCAGTGGCGTGGCGACCTGACGTTCTCAAAACGTTTTTCTTCCTCCTCTCCTGCTTTGCCCGCCACTTCTGCAGGTGGTGGTGGCGGCAGACCCTGCTGCGGCCGGCAGTCTGGGCGGGCTGGTTCGTCAGCTTTCCATCGACCATCTGGAGAACGAGGGGCGGCGCATCAGCTTCGGGCCTGAGGGTGGTGCCGGGCCGCCCAAGCTGCTCAACCGACAGATGTCCATGCAGGGCGTGCACAAGAAGGTGAGAAGGCAGATGCTTATGTGGGGACTATCAGTATGGAATGCATGGTGGGTGGGTGCACTGGGTGGTGCTGGGCCGCCCAAGCTGCTCAACCGACAGATGTCCATGCAGGGCGTGCACAAGAAGGTAAAGATGCAGCTTTTATAGGAGTCGCTTGCTTAAATGGGAGCTGCTAGTATGGAGGATGGATAGGAAGTGGGTCCACATGGTGGTGCCGGGCCGCCCAAGCTGCTCAACCGACAGATGTCCATGCAGGGCGTGCATAAGAAGGTGAGGAGGGCACTAGTATGTGAGCTGCTTATTTGGAGGGTAGTGGCTTGGCAAGCAGGGGGGCGCCCGAGGGCGGGGCTGGGCCGCCCAAGCTGCTCACTTGACAGATGTCCATGCAGGGCGTGCATAAGAAGGTACGAGGGAGCGGCTTTTGTGGGAGCTACTGGTATGGGAGCTGCTTGTAGCGAGGATGGATGTTAGGTGGGTGCAGTGCATATGGTGGTGCTGGACCGGCCAAGCTGCTCAACTAGCAGATATTCATCCAGGGCGTGCATAAGAAGGTACGGCAGTGGCTTGTATGGGAGTGGCTTGTACGGCAGTGGCTTGTATGGGAGTGGCTTGTACGGCAGTGGCTTGTATGGGAGTGGCTTGTAAGGCGCAGCTTGTTTTGCTGGTACTAAAGCCCTGCCCGCCTTTTCATCCCCCTTTTCCCCACTCATTCCCTTTTTTCTTGTCCGCACCTTGCCTTTTTCCCACCACAGGTCCTGCAGACGCTGCTGAAGCCGCGGGCATGGAAGCCGCCCACCAAGAGGCAGTTCTTCCTGGACGTGCATGGGGTGGTGGAGCTCTGCGACCTCGCTGAAAACATCTTCAAGAACGAACCGTCTGTGTTGCAGGTGAGCTAACCAAGAGTGTGAGGTAAGACTGGGAAGGTTGATGTGCTGACTGGGGTTGGACGTGCATGGGGTGGTGGAGACACGTAGCCTGACCTCTCAATCAGTCCTCTTCCTCATCCTCCTCCGTTTCTCGATCCGCCAGGTGCGGGCGCCACTGAAGATCTTTGATAATTTGCATGGCCAATTCGACAATCTCATGCGCCTCCCGGTTGCCCCTTGTGTTGCCGCTCGCCCTTCTGCTGTTTCTGGTGTTTTGTTGCCTGATTCCTCTCCCACCCCCACCGCCCCTCAATCCGCCAGGTGCGGGCGCCAGTGAAGATCTTTGGTGACCTGCACGGCCAATTTGGAGATCTCATGCGTCTTTTTGACGAGTACGGCTCGCCCTCCACTGCCGGGGACATCGCGTGAGTGCTCTCCCACTCCCGCTCTCTGTCTGCTTCTCGCTTTCTGCCTGTCACTCTCTGCCCCTCCCAATGTACCCCTCGCTCTCTACCTCTCGTGCCCTCGCTACCTCTATGCATCCCCGTCTCCTGCGGTGCGACATCGCTGCGAGTGCACAGAGGCGCGCACATCGCTGCGAGTGCACAGAGGCGCGCACATCGCTGCGAGTGCACAGAGGCGCGCACATCGCTGCGAGTGCACAGAGGCGCGCACATCGCTGCGAGTGACAGAGGCGCGCACATCGCTGCGAGTGCACAGAGGCGCTGCGAGTGCACAGAGGCGCGCACATCGCTGCACCTCTACTGTCCCCGCTTCACTCCCTCACTGGCCTTATCTTTCCCCCCACCCCACCTGCGCAGGTACATAGACTATCTCTTCCTGGGCGACTATGTGGACAGAGGCGCGCACAGCACTGTTCCTGTGCTCTCTCAAATTATTATCCCGCTTGCCTGATTTCTCCCTTCCTCCCCCCCCCCCCCCCCCCCCCCCCCCCCCCCCCCCTCCTTTTTTCCCGTTCCCACCCCCACCAGGTACATGGACTATCTGTTCCTGGGTGACTATGTGGACAGATGCGCGCACAGCCCCAATGCTCCTTTTCTTCCCTCACCTTCTCTCTGCTTCTCCCCTCTTTCTCCCCTGCCCCTCCATTCGCCTGACCCCCACCAGGTACATAGACTATCTGTTTCTGGGGGACTATGTGGACAGAGGCGCACACAGCACCGTGCCTTTGCTCTCCCACTTCACTCCCTCACTGGCCATTCCCCTCCCCTCTCGCCCCCACTCTCCCCCCTCCCCACCCCCACCAGGTACATAGACTATCTGTTCCTGGGGGACTATGTGGACAGAGGCGCACACAGCCCCAATGCTCCTTTTCTTCCCTCACCTTCTCTCTGCTTCTCCCCCCCTGCTCTCCCACTCGCCTGACCCCCACCAGGTACATAGACTATCTGTTTCTGGGCGACTATGTGGACAGAGGCGCACACAGCCTCGAGACAATCATCCTGCTGCTCGCACTCAAGGTGGGTGAAGGACTTTTTATGGCGGGCAAAGAAATAGACATTGGATCACTATGACGTAAGATGATTCAGGATCTGAATATGGCACCTTCATTTCATTCCTCTATGCCGCCTTATTTTGTCACCCCCCACCCGCTACCTGCCACTCCCTGGCAGATAGAGCACCCACGCAACGTGCATTTGATCCGAGGCAACCACGAGGCGGATCTGAGAGGCAGGCAGGCACATACTCCCCTTTACTTTCGCCATGCTGCCATACTCTTCCCATCTTGCATGGCAGATTGAGCACCCGCGCAACGTGCATTTGATCCGCGGAAACCACGAAGCGGCAGACATCAACGCGCTGTTTGGGTTCCGCATAGAGTGCATCGAGCGCATGGGCGAGCAGGCGGGCATCTGGGCGTGGCAGCGCATCAACCAGCTCTTCAACTGGCTGCCGCTGGCGGCGCTGATAGAGAGGAAGATTATCTGCATGCACGGGGGGATTGGGCGCTCCATCCAGCACGTGTCGCAGATCGAGGAGCTTCAGAGGCCCATCAGCATGGAAGCTGGCTCGATGGTTCTCATGGACCTCCTTTGGTGAGTCACTGTTTTGGCTCTTTGACTTATCTTTAAATTCTCTCACTTCAAAGCTCAACCCACACCCCTCCCCTCCCCTTGCCCCTTTGTGTGTGTGTAGCTCAGATTTTACAGAAAATCTAAAAGGTTCTCCGAACGGCCAATGACTGCGCCGGACCTTTATAACAAGCTTCAAGAGAAATCGAAAGGCGCTCACACGAATGCCATTTTCGCCCCTCCCTTGTTTGCTTTGCATCCAGGTCTGATCCCACAGAGAACGACAGCATTGAGGGCCTCCGACCCAATGCACGAGGACCAGGCCTTGTCACATTCGGGGTGAGTTTGCACCGCAATACTATGGTGCTGTTGCTGTTTTGTAACAAGGTTTCTTTCACAGCTGTTTGCTTTGCTTTTTTAGCTCAGGGATGTGCATCGGGTTCCAGACCCATCCCCTGTCAGAACAACGAACTGCATCTTATCATTCGAGCGCACAGTGTGTGAGGATCAAGTGTCCTCTCACACTGTTATCTCATCCATCCCACTACCTTGCACTTTCCTGTTTCCCTACTGCGCAGCCTGACCGCGTGATGGAGTTCTGTCAGAACAACGACCTGCAGCTCATCATCCGAGCGCACGAGTGTGTGATGGACGGCTTTGAGCGCTTTGCTGCTGGCCACCTCATCACGCTCTTCTCCGCCACCAACTACTGCGGTGAGTCTCGTCGCTAGCTTGCTCACCACTGCTGTCAGTCGTGCTAATTGGGTGCTATTGCTGGGAGCTCCACTCATGGGTATACATTCTAGGGCCGGCCACCTCATCACGCTCTTCTCAGCCACCAACTACTGCGGTGAGTGCTTCAGCTGTGAGAGCTGTTGTAGTTAGTGCTGGTGCCCATAGTCACATGAGCAGGAATGCTAAACGTACTTTGCTGCCGGCCACCTCATCACGCTCTTCTCCGCCACCAACTACTGCGGTGAGTGCTATTCAACAGTGAGTGCTATTCATACCCGCAGGAATGCTAAACGTACTTTGCCGCCGGCCTCCTCACGCTCTTCTCCTCCACCAACTACTGCGGTGAGTGATTGTCACAATTACAGGTCTGCTATGAGTAATTGGCATTCTTTCAGCAGCACAAATCCTCCACCTTTTCATGCATTCTTTTCGGGTGCACTCACAACCCTGCTGATGTGCCTTCAACTCGTTTTTCTCCTGTGCGCCTCATGCAGGCACGGCCAACAATGCGGGTGCCATTCTAGTGCTGGGGAGGGACCTTGTCGTCTTCCCCAAGATGATCCACCCGTTGCCGCCCACCGGCAACTCGGGCGGCTCGTCGCCGGATTACCAGGATGAATGGATGCAGGTGAGCCTCCTCACCTCCCTCCCTTCAACTTCTTCCTTCACTATGTGCCCCCCATGTCAAACCCCACTTTACGTATTGCCCGAGTCTCCGTTCCCTTGTGACCTCTCTGATGTGGATTGTTTGGTTCTCTGTGTCCTTCGATCACTCTGTCCCCTGTACACAGGAACTCAACTCCCAACGACCACCAACACCTACACGTGGCCGCCCACAGCCAGCCAATGACCGCAACTCACTAGCCTTCATTTAAAAAGAGTCTCCCTTCAGTGCATAGGATGTTGATGATTGAACACATATCAGGGAATGCAATCCTCCGTCACTGTCTTGCCGAGAGGAACATTATGGGTTCATTGGTTGTGCTGGAAATTGCTTGGTGGTTGAGACGTTTGTTACTGAATTGCTGTACTGTATTCTGTTCTGCTGATATTATCGCCATTCATCCATGTCTATCAATCTCGACCAGTGCTGAGATTTTTTCCCGTGAAAAGCACCGTCCTACTCAAACCAAAGAGATAAGAGCGTATCTGGTTGGCTCCAACTTGGCGGGCTTCTGATGTGTGGTTGGGGAGCACAAGACTGCGTCGACCAATGGTAGCGAGTATGCACTTCCGCGTCATTCTGACCTCAAGCAAAGAACATGGCCCAAGGTCCTCCCAAGCTTTTTGACTGAATTTCCGGGGTTTGAACAGGTGGCAATCAAAGGTCGGCCCACGGTGCTCATCGTGCAGACGTGTCAAACTATTAGCCGTGTGCAATGCCGTGCTGCGCTGTACTCGTTACAGTGTCGCGACTCGATCATTTCCCTGATCGGCAAGCCAGGGTACACAATTGCAGCTGCGAGTTTGTGATTGTGCCCTCGGAAATTCCCAAGGGAGAGGGACCAATCCACCAGCCCGAGAGCAGGCAACCACCCATCCATCATCCAATCCATCTCAGGGCTCCCTGCCTTCTTGTTACGATCGGACGGTCAAAATCATCGCATTGGGGATGAGTCACGTGGTCCCGAGATATAAACGTAGCATTTTAGGGCACTTTGGATTTCAGACTTCAGAGAAGCACACAAAGAAACTTCACGGATTGGTTTGAATTGAGCTTCGTGTGGCTTCTGATCCAGTTTGCTGAAGAACGATCACAGTTGGGTCAACGAAGCCACTTCTGACAGTGGTTTTGCAGAGACTTTCTGCTGCGGGAACCACACCATGGCTGCCTCTACAGCCTGCAGAACGGGCCTCAGCTACGCTGCAGGCCTCACCACAGGCAGCAAGACCCGCCAGATCGCGTCTGTCAGCCGGATCGGCGGCCTGAAGCTCCGCATTCCTGAAAAGGCTGCATTGGTGAAGAATGCTCGTCCTCAGATCAGCATGGTGCTGGCTCCGCCGCCTCCTATGACCCGCGGCGACGACCCCAAGGAGCCGCAATCCAGCCTAGACTTTGATGCCTCCGCGCCTCCGCCGTTCACTCTGGCGGATATCCGCGCGGCGATCCCGAAGCACTGCTGGGAGAAGGACGCGCTGAAGTCCATGGCGTACCTCGTGTGGGACGTTGCCGTGGTGTTTGGCCTGGCTGCTGTCGCTCAAGCGGTCGACCAATGGTGGATCTGGCCTATGTACTGGATTGCTCAGGGTACCATGTTCTGGGCTCTCTTCGTCATCGGACATGACTGGTACGTTTTGGAAGGAATTTGCCGTATTCACACTATTTAGCATTTTGTGAAGGGAATTGAACACTACATTGAGGTTTACGCCAGAAAATTGATCAATTAAGCTTCGCATCTGCAATGTACGTTCCGTTTCCACAGTGGACATGGAAGTTTCTCCAACAACAAGGCTCTGAACGACTTCGTTGGCCATCTAACTCATTCCTCGATTCTCGTGCCGTACCATGGATGGTGAGTAGATTCATCGCTTTTGGTAGCTGTGCAGACATTGTCGTTCGTTGAATTCTTGCTTGATCTACTCACTCACCATTGCCCTTCGTGTTTACAGGAGAATTAGCCACCGTACACATCACGCCAACCACGGTCACGTGGAGAATGACGAGTCCTGGCATCCAGTAAGTACTTGACCAGATTTTTTGTAAGTACGTAGATTGTTGCTGTTTCCACAGCTAAGCTGTGGATTGTATTGGCGACGCGCAGATTTCCAAGGACAAATATGACGAAATGGAGTTTTGGTCCAAGGTTGGCCGTCTCAAGTTCCCGTGGCCTCTCTTCGCCTACCCATTTTACTTGGTACGTACCAACTCTTGTCTTCTGCACGCCAATCGTGTGTCCTTCGACTCGCTGGGTTTTGACTTATTTTTTTCTTGTTTTTTCAGTGGAAGCGAAGCCCTGGCAAGGTCGGTTCGCATTTTGACCCGAAGTCCGATCTCTTCACTCCTAATGAGAAGGATGACGTTACGACATCTGCGACTTGCTGGTGGACCATGGTGGGGATCCTGGCCGCGCTCACTGTCTTCATGGGGCCCGTGTCAATCTTCAAGCTTTACGTCGTTCCGTACTGGGTAAGACTCGCACAGATGTGACCCTGATAACCTGCTTCATTTACCGTATCTCGCATTTAGCCTTATTCGTTGTATGCCTGCAATGTCTATGTGATTCGTTATGCAGATCAATGTCGTATGGCTCGATGTCGTTACGTATCTGCACCACCACGGTTATGACAAGAAGGTTCCGTGGTACAGAGGCGAGGTAAGAAATTTACCAGTACCTAGCTTTTGTCTGCAAAATTCTACCTCATGCAGTCCCTTAGTTCACTGAAACACGACTCACCAATTGCTCCATAACCTTGCAGGAGTGGAACTACATGAGGGGTGGTCTGTCTACCATTGACAGGGATTATGGTATCTTCAACAAGATTCATCATGACATCGGAACACACGTGGTTCATCATCTGTTCCCTCAAATTCCCCACTACAACCTTTCAGAAGCGGTGAGTTGCCTGAGACGTCTGAGCCTTTTCTGTTGATGCATTGCGAGCATCTATCTCACTACCTTATTTTCTTGTTCATGCAGACGGAGGCGGTGAAGCCAGTTATGGGAGAGTACTACCGCGAGCCAGAGCCCAGCCCTGGCCCGATTCCCTTCCACCTATACAGGCCTCTCTATAAGTCCTTCAGCGAGGATCACTATGTCCCAAGCGAGGGTAACATTGTGTTCTACGAGAAGGATGAAATGTTGTAGAAACCAGTCATCCTTTTTGTGTTGCTATTTGATTCATGCCTCAGCTAACTCGGAAGGCTGAGGGCCTCTCTTCAATTCTTTGCTAAATATAATTTGGTTCAATTATCCATCCCAGCGAGCAAGTGGGATTATATTGGCACTGCTTGTACCACCCCATACTAATTCATGCTCTCTGGGTTAAAACATTTACTGTATGACTGTGAACCTCACAGGGAAGGTTCAGAACAGAAGCAATAGACTTCTGCACAACATCCAGTAAAAAGCACAGGGCTGACTCGAGTTGTAAATTTCACCAAATTTGGCTAGCGTGTGATGCGTAAATTTGTGACTTGTCTTGTCCTGAAAGTACCCTCATACGGTTGCACAGGATAAGCCCCCCTTGAAATTGTAAGAATCCTTCATTACAGGCCCCTCTCCCCCCCACCCCTACAAAGGCCCAGAAAAACTAGAAGCCCGCTAGGGCTTGTATTTGGGGGAATGCGGTATCCATTTTCCCAAGCAGGCCTTCTGTCACTGCCAGGAATGTTATTGAATCACATACGGTAACAATGCATCTACAATGAACTCTCTTGCCATCAGCACATGCTGCAAAAGCCAGGGTAATTTGCTACCGTACTACCGTACTTCATCCTGCCCCACCCCCAAGAGTAGTCAAAGTTATCGTGGCTGGATGGACACTTCCACCCCTACAGCCAAATTATTACTTTGCTCCCTTCCCATCGTGGTGTTCTCCTATCTATCCTTGGTACCAAACCAGGACAAATCAAGTTACTGTGTCACCATAGCTTCAATCATTTCACTGGTTCAAAGCTTACCGTTGAGGGACATCACAGCATGTACTGGTAATAAATTGTGTGTAGTTTATTGTGGTACCGTATTAAGGTTCAAGATACACAAGCGCAACCCGGAATTCCCAACATCTACTTAAATAATCGGGTTGCGCGCTCTTCCAGGCTGACGATGTTACAAGCGGGCATACCAGGTTCGTAGGTCAAGCCTCTGACGTCCTCAACTGGACCACAGCCTTACAGCTCATGGCTCTTCTGGTAGAAGACGATATCTCCTTCAGATGCCACAAAGTGGTCCTCACCAAAAGACTTTACCAAAGGCTCCAGAAGATGGAAGGGGAAAGGGCCCTTGCATGGCTCTGGTTCACGATAGTAGTTTCCAAGAATAGGTTTGATGGCCGCCGTCTGGATGAGAACACAGGAAGAGAAGAGGTTACATAAGCAGCTCCGCAAAATGAAACTAAGGGGAACAACGAATTTAGTGCAAGAGGCTGCACTTACCGCTTCTGTAAGGTTGTAATGGGGGATTTGGGGGAACAGATGATGCACCACGTGAGTTCCAATGTCATGATGAATCTTGTTGAAGATTCCATAGTCTCTGTCAATAGTTGACAGACCTCCCCGCAGGTAGGACCATTCCTGTAAAGCAGAAATTCCACTTTCAGCACACCACGAGAATTGTGCAAGAGCTAATGGTTCAGTCAAAAGAAGTCACATACCTTGCCCCTGTACCAGGGAACCTTCTTATCGTAGCCATGGTGATGAAGGTAGGTGACCAAGTCGAGCCACATCACGTTAATCTACGCACAAGAGAAGCAGGTTCGGTTAATGTTCACTTATTTGACTTCCTTAAGGGTTCATTCATTACGTTGGTGGTTCGCTCACCCAGTACGGCATGAAGTAGAGCTTGAACATGACGAGGGGGCCGAACGCGACAGAAAGAGCGGCCAACAGAGCGACCATTCCCCACCACCACGTTGCCGAGGTGACAACGTCGTTGTATTCGGCCTCCGTGAACAGGTCGCACTTGGGGTCGAAGTGAGATCCCTTCTTTCCTGGAGTGCGCAACCACTGGGAAGGGAGCACATGTCAGCGTGTCAGTGTCAGATTAAAATCTCAATAAAAGCGGAAGCAGTTGCAGAGCGGAACGCGAGAGCGACTGATCTGACAACGGAACGTACCAGGTAAAACGGAAAGGCGACGAGGGGAAACGGAAATTTGAACCTCGCGAGTTTGGACCCAAGGTCCATTTGCTCGTAAACCTCCTTCGTAATCTGAATACGAGGCCACGACGGGAATGGGTGAGTGACGTCAATGAGAAATCGCTCGACATCCAAAAAAGGATCTACGGTTGCGAAATGATGCAGTCCTTACCGGATACCAGGACTCGTCGTTCTCGACGTGGCCGTGGTTAGCGTGGTGTGTGCGATGGCTTATCCTCCTGCAAAATCATAGCGAACGCAAATTAAGATTCGAGACATACAGCACGGTTTCCATTGTAGCCTGAATGGCGCACTCACCACCCGTGGTAAGGCACGAGGATGAACGCGTGGCTGAGATGGCCAACGATGTCGTTGAGACTGCGGCTGTCCGAAAAGCTTCCATGACCACTGCATTGGGGATAAAGCATTACAAATGGGTATACCGTGAGACACCCAGATCTCGAGATCAGCGCAACTAATCGATGATCAAGCGACATACCAGTCGTGGCCGACGACGAAGAGAGCCCAGAACATGGTTCCCTGAGCGAACCAATAGAGAGGCCACAGGGTCCATGAATCAAAGTACAGCGCCACGGCACCGAGGGTGAAAACAATAACGAAATCGCGAACGAAGTACGACAGCGATCGCCAGGGGTTTTTCACCCAGCAATGCTTCGGAATGGCGTTGCGTAAATCGGACAGGGTGAAGGGGGGAGGAGCAGAGTAATCGAACTCCTTGGATTTGAGAGGAGCGTCGGCTTGCCCATTGGCAGCCATGGTGGATGGATCTGCTGTCATTCTGCAGAGTCCCGGTTCACGGGAAGAGCAACTGATGTTAGGAGGAACCAAATCCAACAGCTACCTGCACTTGAACCCCCCCCAGCTTTGTTCAGGAGGAACCAGGGACTCGCAACAACATGAGCAACCCTCGCAACATTCCGCTCGGAACAACTCCGGAAATAGTTTCACACAGGATGGCCAAAAGCGGGACCACTCTGGGCTGATCACCAGGCCAACTCAGCGAGGCATGGACCATGGGGATTCGTTTCGAGTGGACATGGACAGCTACGAGATGGGACACACACACGCCGCCAAAGCGGGGAAACTGGTGGACGTGAGGGGGAGGTGGAGCGGAATTTGTGGGCGAGGCCTCGACTGCTAGTTTGGCGTTCAGTCTTGGCCAATTGGGTCAAGCGCCGAGCCAGGTGATCACGGGCGATGATTCGTCGGACGTTACATACTAGGTGTTTCACTATGTTCCCCGATGAATCAGTGCGGCCCATTGGGAAACCTGACCGCGAAGGTATTTTTCTGGCAGAGCAACATTGATCCGTACACTGCGGAACTGTGAGTCCATGACCAACGAAAAACGCTGGGAAATAAGATATATGTTTTCCTAAAATCGTTGAATGGGTGAACCCGTGGAAGAGCTAGCTTACATGGTACATACCCAGGGTGCCCAGGGTGAACACCATGCCAGATGCAGCCATGTTTTTCACGGTCCAGATGCGTCGGTCGAACCGTGAAGTGTGCAAAAGGATCTACGCTATTGAAAATTCGTTAACGACTCCATTGCATTTTCTACTCTCACATACACATCAACCAGACAACTCACCAGGAATTCCCCTTTCACGAGATTTGTCTGGTTACCCGATACGCAACAAACTAAATATCTCGCTTCTGCGACGCGCCTTTTAGAGAATCTTTCTCCCGCCGACAAATCTGCAGCTCACACGTGCTCAGCTCATCCATCGACGGCCCTGTGGGAAGCTGGTCCTAACCGACCTGATCGTACCATCGACAGTTGCTTCATGATGGTCCCTTCCACGCCCGCACCTACCCTTGCCCAGTCATCCGCGGCCCTTGAATAGTCCTAAGGGTCAGCCCCTCCACTCCCATTTTTCTTCTGCTCGGACATTCCTACCTTGCTGTAGCTTTCCAGAAACAGACTTCAGAATCGACCATTCTCGCCAGGGCTTCACATTCTAGCAAGAATCCACATGCACTGTCACATTCTAGCGTAAAATATTGAAGCTATGGTCTCTTGAGGACTTCACATGGCAATGCCACCACGCATACACACTACATACAGTTCCTAAGAACTTGTCTTCCTCAGGGCCACGCGCAATAGCTATCAAGCACGTTAGTGTCGCATATGGCACGTGACCTAGTTTCGCTCACGCACTCAGCGCGTGGAACCGCCGGCGTAAGGTTCGACCCGACATTACAAATCTCTTGCTTATCGCCTTCAGAGTGCTGACTTTTCCCGTCGAAATCTAGTGACCATCGCAGGCGTGAGCGATAGTAAACCGTACTTGACGAGGCTCGGAGCCTTTACAATAATCGAACAAGGTAATAGTGACGGGCTCTTTGGGCTATTCACATGCGCAGAGGAGTGAAGCAACGCATCTGAATCTGAAAACTTAACGGCCCGAGGAAGTTCTCGCGTGGCACCATGAGCAGCAGCAATGGGCTTCCGCCCAACTGCCCGCCTGACGGTTTCGGCCTTCCACGTAAGAAACTAACAGCAGCACTCCCACGTACACAGCTTTTCGTTCTTCCCGAGTTCCCGTTTCCAATCTAAGAACCGCCATCATGATCCTTTTTTCCCGCTCCCCCACCCTCGGCTCCCCCCAACCTCGGCTCCCCCACCCTCTTCGGCTCCCCTCACGCCGCTCAGCGTCCCCCCTGCCCTCTCCATCCCTGTCGGACAGAATATTTTTACAACAACTCGGGCAGCTGCGCGCAGCAGACGTCGTTTTTTGCCGGGCAGCCCGTGCTTTCGGTGGGGGTGGGTTACGCCGTGGTGCTCGGCTTTGGCGCGTTCTTCGCCGTCTTCACCTCCTGGCTCGTACGGCACAACTCTCTCCTCTCCCACTCTCACTCGCTCGCTTTCTCATTCTCTCGCTCACATGCCCACTCCTCGCTCGCTTGCTCACTCACACTCACTCACTCGGAGAGTGGTGCAAATCCATCCCATCCCCACGATGCTCGTTCTGTCCGCAGGTGTGGCTGGATAAACGATACGTGGGCACACAGCAGAGCAGCGAGTGGTGCGATCCACTCCAGTAGAGCAAATCCAACCCATCACCCCATCACCCCATCCCCACGATGCTCGTTCTGTCCGCAGGTGTGGCTGGATAAACGAAACGTGAGCACGCGGCAGAGCAATGACTGGTGCAAATCCACATGAGCCACCCTCCTCACTGTTCCATCCCCACTCACCACCAGGTGTGGCTGGACAAGCGGTACTTGGGCACAAGGCAGAGCAGCGAGTGGTTCAAATCCACCCCATCACCCCACTCACCCCATCACCCCATCGCCACGATTCTCGGTCTGTCTCTGCAGGTGTGGCTGGATAAGCGGTATGTGGGCACGAGGCAGAGCAGCGAGTGGTTCAATACAGCCGGCAGGAATGTGAAGACGGGGCTTATAGCGAGTGTGATTGTATCGCAGTGGACATGGGCCGCCACCATCCTGCAATCCTCCAATGTCGCCTTCCAGGTACCGTGCTTTACCGTTCTCGACCGCTCACTTCTGTTCTGTACTGCACTGTATCCCATTGTAAAACGCCTTGTTGAGCCGGATCGTCAGCTCTAACATGCGACACCGTGCGACACCGTGCCTCACCATGTTGGACCATGTCACTCCTACCATGCCGTGGCTCACAGATGCTCTCACACACCCGTGCCCTCACCCACACACTCCCCTAAAATGCGGAGTGATGGGGCCATTCTGGTACGCCAGTGGAGCAACAGTGAAGGTAGTGCTGTTGGCTATCATAAATTTACCCTGACACATCCATTCCATGCCCTCCCTTCACACACACTCCACCAGAACGGAGTGAATGGGCCGTTCTGGTATGCCAGTGGGGCCACGGTGCAGGTGCTGCTGTTTGGAATCATTGCAGTGGAGATCAAACCACATGCCCTCTCACGCTCATTTCCCCCCCACCCCCCCACACACAACCCCCCCAACAGAATGGAGTGAGTGGGCCGTTCTGGTATGCCAGCGGGGCGACGGTGCAGGTGCTGCTGTTCGGCATCACTGTCTGCGAAATCCACGCTCTCTCACACTCATCCATGCCCCTCACATCACGCACACGCCCACCCCCCAACAGAACGGAGTGAGTGGGCCGTTCTGGTATGCCAGCGGGGCGACGGTGCAGGTGCTGCTGTTTGGAATCATTGCAGTGGAGATCAAACGCAAGGCGCCCAACGCCCACACTGTCTGCGAAATCGTCCGCGCCAGGTGAGGCCAGGTGGCTGTTCAGGTTCAGGTGATGGTTCAGGTGATGGTTCAGGTGATTGTTCAGACCATGTACCAGATGATTGCTTTGGCAAATGTTTCGGTAATGTTTGAAGTGATGGTTCGGGTAATGGGTCAGGTGACGGTACAGGTGATTATTCAAGTAATGGTTCAGGTGACGGTTCAGGTTGCCACTATATGCTTGCATGTTGTTCAGGGTAGGGCATTTTGTTGAGTGCTATTGCCCTACCCTCGCTATTGCAAATGGTTTCACTTTTCCCATCTCGTTATTCCCGTCTACTCCCCCACTTGCACCCACCCAATCAGGTGGGGCACAGCAGCGCACATCTGCTTCCTCTTCTTCTGCTTCCTCACCAACACCATCGTCACAGCCATGCTGGTGCTGGGAGGAGCAGCAGTGGTCACGGCCCTCACGGGTCTCAACGTGTACCTCGCCTCCTTCCTCGCACCCATTGGAGTCATCTTCTACACTCTCGCTGGTGGCCTCAAGGTGAGTCAGACAAATGTGCCTCTCGCCCGTGCCCTTCTGCTCCTCCTTCATATCACTTCCAATCCAACGTATGCTCCTCCCTAATCCCACCGCAATCTTCACCATTCCACCTTCCTGATGTCATACATCCACAGCACCTGCCATCGCACATGGTATCCTTGTAACCTTCCCACCATGTGCACGCCACCATGTGCACGCCACCATGTGCACGCCATCATGTGCACGCCACCATGTGCACGCCACCATGTGCACGCCATCATGTGCTCCCTTATCCCCTCCACCCTCCCTGCCATTCCACCTTCCTGGCGTCATACACGCACAGCGCCTGCCATCCTCGTCACCATCGTTCTGCTCTGCATGCAAGTCTATCATACCCTTTCCAACCTGTTCACACTTATCTACCCCCCCACACCCACCAGGCCACCTTCCTGGCGTCATACATCCACAGCGCCATCGTGCATGGCATCCTCGTCACCTTCGTGCTGCTCGTCTACTGGTTCAGTGGCCACCTCGGCTCCCCTGCTGCTGTGTTTAACGGCCTCGAATTCGCCGCCAGCCCAACAAGGGATTGCCGCCTCACCAACCCGGGGCAGGTGAGGCATTTTACGCCGTGCAGCTCTGCGTTTGAAGTCCTTGGGGCTGCATTGGAAGCCGTATAACATCACACTTTAACCATATAATATCACACTCTAGAGCCCCTCTCTGGCCTCGATTCGCTGCCAGCCCAACCAGAGACTGCCGGCTCACCAACCCCGGGCAGGTGAGGCCTTAAAGCCGTACAGTCTGCATCTGAGGGGCTTAAAGCCCCTCCCTCGGTTCGCATGCTGCTGCCTTTAACATCCTCGAGTTTGCTGCCAGCCCAACATGTGTACGTGCGGCGCCTCATTCCTTTCCCCAACCCGCCCATCACCACGTGTGCGGGCCAGTGGAGGAAAATTGCGAGCGGTTGTAGTAGTAACTCACAATGCTCTCCCCATCTGGCAGCTTATGAGTATCAGAGGACAGCTTATGACTACCAGAGGACTTGAGTGATCTTTCTCCCTCCCGCTCTCTCACACACACACATGCGCGCGTGCATGCCCCTTCCCCTGCTCCTTTCACCCCGTCTTCAGGTGTGGAGGTCGGTAGATGGCTATTACGAGGGGTCATACCTGACCATGCTGTCACCGGGGGGGTTCATGTTGGCATCACAGTGCTGCGCTGCTCTTTCTCACTCCCGCTCACACACCACTCACATCCCCCTTCCACCCCACGAAAACACCCACACACACGCTATACCAGGTGTGCGGGCCGGTGGATGGCAACTACGAGGGGTCATATCTGACCATGCTGTCGCCTGGGGGGTTCATGTTTGGCATCGTCAACATCGTGGGCAACTTTGGTGCCGTCTTCCTTGATAATGTGAGACCCGTGTGTTTTCAATCAACGCATACCATCAATCACAGCTCTTGTTGCTGTTGCTGTCGCCTGGGGGGTTCATGTTTGGCATTGTCAACATCGTCGGCAACTTTGGTGCCGTCTTCCTTGATACTGTGAGGCCCATCATTCCGGATTCAGTTGGGGTTTAGGGTTCTGATTCATTCTTCTCCTAAGAATTCGGGGATGTGATGAGAGCAGCCAGTGTGTGTGTCTCTCCCTCCTCCTCTCCCCCCCACCCCATACCCCACCCCTCAGGGATATTGGATGAGTGCGATAGCATCGCGCCCCTCCTCCACGCACAGAGGCTACATTCTTGGAGGCCTCGTCTGGTTCGCCGTGCCTTTCTCCCTCGGGACCTCCCTCGGCCTTTCCAGCCTCGCCTTGGGATTACCGGTCACGCTAGAGGAAGCTTCCAGAGGCCTCGTTCCCCCTGCTGCAGCAGTGGCTTTAATGGGGGATGCAGGGGCAGTGCTTATCCTCGTTATGGTGTTCATGGCTGTGACTTCTGCTGGGTCTGCGGAGCTTTTAGCGGTTTCCTCGCTTATGACTTATGATATTTATCGGACGTATATCAACCCGAGGGCGACCGGACGGCAGATTTTGTTTTACTCGCGGGTTTTCGTGCTGACGTACGGGCTGTTTATGGGTGTACTGGCGGTAGGGCTTAGCGAGTTGCGGGTTTCTCTAGGCTGGATGTACCTTGTAATGGGCGTGCTTATAGGCAGCGCGGTTATACCTGTAACGAACCTGCTTCTATGGAAGAAGGCGAACGCAGTGGGGGCGATAGCTGGGTGCATTATAGGCATGATTTCGGGTGTAGTGTCGTGGATTACTGTAGCAGCAGTCATGTACGGGAATGTGGATCTGATTAGTACGGGGGAAGAGGCGCCGACGCTGACTGGCAACCTGGTGTCGCTCTTTGTCGGCGGCATCGTGCATGTGGCTTTCAGGTGGGTCCTTACTCTAAATGGTCATGTACGGGAGTGTGGATCTGATCAGTACGGGGGAAGAGGCGCCCATGCTGACTGGCAACTTGGTCTCCTTGTTTGTGGGCGGCATCGTGCATGTGGCTTTCAGGTGGGTCTTTGCCTCATCATGCATGTGACTGCCTCTCCGTGGTTCTTCTCGCCCTCTGACCCTTTGTCTTTCTCCCTCTCACCCCCTTTTCTCTTCCTCCCCTTACCCTCTCTTTTTCTCTTCCCTTCCCGGTCTCAAGTACCCAGACGATTACGACTAAGCGAGCACGAGGGCCACAACTCTGGTATACCGAGACCGACACCGGCACTGCAACATCTCCCCCTCACTTCCCAGCCTCGTAAACCCTCCCTTCACCTTTCCGTTTTCCACTTATCCCCTTTTCCCCCCAGTCTCAAGTACCCAGATGACTACGACTATGCCAGCACCACAGCCATCATGCTGGTGGACCGGGATTGGCACTCCGACATTCTCTCCTCAATTCCCACTCCCTTGCTCTTGTCCTCCTCCCCACTCACATCCTTGCTCCCCCAGCCTCAAGTACCCAGACGACTATGACTATGCGAGCACGAGAGCCATAACCCTGGTGGACAGGGACTGGCACTCCGACATACCCCATTGGGAGCATGACGAGGCTCGCCTCAAGCAGGCCCGCCACTGGATAATCCTCTGGGGGGTCTGCCTCTCCGTCGTTCTCCTAGCCCTCTGGCTCTTTGCCTTTCTCCTCACACTCCTTTTCCTCCTCCTCTCCTTGCCCTGTCGTTTTCTGTTCCCTTCCCAGTCTCAAGTACCCAGATGACTACGACTATGCCAGCACCACAGCCATCATGCTGGTGGACAGGGACTGGCACTCCGACATACCCCCCTGGGAGCAAAATTGGTCTCTGGCTTACCTTTTTTTCTCTCTCTCACTCCCATGCCCCATCCCAGTCTCAAGTACCCAGACGACTAAGACTATGCGAGCACGAGAGCAATAACGCTGGTGGATAGAGACTGGCATTCCGACATACCCCACTGGGAGCACGACGAGACGCGTCTCAAGCAGGCGCGCCACTGGATAATCCTCTGGGGGTTTGGTCCGTTGTCATCCCCCCGCACTTCCCCCTCACTTCCCCTTCACTTCCCCCACGCCTTACTTCCCTCCCTTGCTGTTGTCCCCTCAGCCTCAAGTATCCTGATGATTATGACTATGCCAGCACGAGAGCAATAACCCTCGTCGACAGGGACTGGCACTCAGACATACCTCACTGGGAGCATGATGAGACGCGCCTCAAGCAAGCGCGCCACTGGATAATCCTCTGGGGGGTCTGCCTCCCCGTCGTTCTCCTAGCCCTCTGGCCGCTTGTTTTTCTCCCTTAACACTCCCTTTTCTCTTCCTCTCCTCCTTACACTCTTCTCTTCCCTTCCCAGCCTCAAGTATCCAGACGATTATGACTATGCGAGCACCAGAGCCATCACGCTGGTGGACAGAGACTGGCATTCCGACATCCCCCATTGGGAGCACGACGAGACTCGTCTCAAGCAGGCTCGCCACTGGATAATCCTTTGGGGGGTCTGCCTCTCCGTCGTTCTCCTAGCCCTCTGGCCGCTGCTTGCGCTCCCTGCGGGGGTATTTTCCCTGGGGTATTTCACTTTCTGGGTCGTGATTGCGATCACGTGGGGCGTGGTTGCGTCCGCGGTGATTATTTTCCTGCCCGTTTACGAGAATTGGCGCGGGTTATGGCTGGTTCTAGACGGGTTATTTACGAGCGATATCCTGCAGGAGAAGGTTGATGATATAGGGCTGAGATTGGCTGCGATCATGGCTACCATACCTGAGGCGGAGGCTCGGTATCTACAGTACAAGCGGGAGATCTACGAGCTTCGGCATAGAAGCTCGGGAGTGCCTAGCAGTAGCGAAGGGAAGAGCCCTGAACAAGGTGCAGGGCAGCAGCAACCGCTTCAGCAGCAGCAGCATCAGCAGCAGCCGTTTCAACAGCAGCAGCAGCAGCAGCAGCAGCAGCAGCAGCAGCAGCTTCAGCAGCAGCAGCAGCATCAGCAGCCATTTCAACAGCAGCAGCCTCAGCAGCAGCAACTGCAGCATCAGCAGCAGTTTCAGCAGCTGCAGCAGCAAGGGCAGATACAAGAGCTACAGCATGAAGGGCTTTATGGTCCATAACTTCCCTGCATGCGCATTCCTCGTACCTTGCTAATAAAAATGTATAGCAAGGATTGTTCTAATATTGGCTTGTGAACTCCGTTTTTTTTTTTCTCATGAAACTTCACCATTTTCATCAGAGTAACAGGATGGCTGCAAGCGAGCACCATTTACCTAAGGGAGTGGTGCAGAGTAAGCAAATATGTCCACGGGTTTATTTGGTTGGAGGATCAACAGGGGTTCAGTTGAAGCTGTTGAAGCCTAGGGTCCGTAATTAGCAATTTTTGGTAGGTAACGTCACGCGCGGGTCTACAACGAGAAACTCGGTTACCTGTCGCCACGGTGCATTGCGGCTAGAGTTCGTACGTCGACGATTTTCGCCGACTGTGATTGCCCAAGCCAATAGTGACCAGAGCATTCAAGTTCATCACACATCAGGTCGCTTCTTTTCAATTCAATGGTAGTAGTTAGAGCGCGCCGAGTCGCCGATAAGATATAGTCAAACCTAGTCTTCGTCCGGCCGTCATTTTAGTCGTTCCTATCGTGGCGCGTCGAATTGTGTTGTCCCGATGCGAGGAGGACCAACCGCGTCGTTCCTATGGACACACAAGCTCCGCCAATGCGTGCCGCTGACGTTAGCTGCGGTCATCATTGCGCTGCAAGTGGGCCTGCTTGTCGTTTTCCTCCGTCTCCTCCATTCCTCCCCTCCGCCCGACCTCCTCCCGGGCTCTCAACTCTTGCGCTCCCTTTCCCTCTCCGCTTCACCCGGCGACTCTACCAATTCGGAGTCCCCGCATCAACATATCTCAGTTGATTGCTGTACTAAGAACAGCAGCAGCAGCAGCAGCAGCAGCAGCAATGGCACGAGTAGCTCATACAACGGTATCGAAGCCGCTTCTAACGAGGAAAATCCTCCGCCCTTTCATCCACCGGAGCGCGCCATCGTGGCGTGGTTCGCGCGCCGCTATTGGTCCGCCATGAACGCAGCAGCGGCGCGCTGCGGGTTGAAGCGCAGCCGCCAGGTGGCCTGGCATGATTTGCGCGCGGGAGTGAGCAATCAGGATAGGGTTACCCGCGCAGACTACCCCGGAATCTCAGGGGCGTATTTCGACACGGCTTTTGACTTCAGATTCGTTCGGAACATGTGAGGATGGTTAAGCTCGGCATCTTTGCGTGGTTACCTGCTTATGTGTCACCCTCTTAGCCCTTGCATTCTCCCTGCTTTTCCCCCTTCCCCTCTCCTCCCTCCTCAACCCCTTTCTTCCTCACTCCATGCTCACCCCTCGCTTCCTTTGAGAGTCCATCATCCCTTTTTTCCATCCTCCCTCTCTCATCTCCTAATCTCCCTTTCCTTTCCTTCTCGTGCTGCACCGCCTGTCACTCGTGCCGTTTCCCCATCTTCCGCTTTTCCTTTCCTTCCCTTCTCTCCCCACTTCCCCCTCTGCCCGTTCCCCCCCTTCCCCTACTCTCCTCCCCTGCCCCTGCGCCTCCCCCGTCTTCCCCCCGCCCCCCCCCCTCTAACCCAGAGCGCGTCAGCCTTTCACTAAGAACCCTGCATGTCGGCACCTGACTTTTGAGTCGAGTCAAAAGTCTTACCCCACTTCCCCCCCTCCCCCCTTCCCACCTGACTTCTCCCCCCCTCCCCCCCTCTAGTCCAGAGCGCGCCCGCCTTTCACTAAGAACCCTGCGTGTCGGCACCTGCGCCGCGGGTGTGCCTTCTCCCTGCTGCGCCAGCTGCCTCTCGTGCACCTGCCGCCCAGAGAGCTGCAGCTGCCGCCCAGAGAGCTACAGCTGCCGCCCAGAGAGCTACAGCTGCCGCCCAGAGAGCTACAGCTGCCGCCCAGAGAGATGCAGCTGCCGCCCAAAGAGATGCAGCTGCCGGCCCGGAAGCTGCAACTGCCACCCAAAGAATTGGGGAGGGAAGGGGGCGGCAGCGGGGTGGGCGTGGAAGGAGTGGCGGTGGATCCGGATTTGAAGCTCATTGCGATTGTCTTCCCACAGGTGATGTGCGGTCTGGTGGGGTGATGTGCGGTATGATGGGATGAACATACGGTGCAACAGGGTGATGTGTGGTGTCGTTGGGTGATGTGCGATGCGAAGGGGTTCAGAGCATGAGTGCGTTCCTCGCCGTCACTGCAAGGGATTGAACAAGCAAAGCCACATCACCAACTCTCCTCTCCCGTTGCCGGGCTCCGTTTGTTCCCCTCCAATCTTCCATTTGCCACTGTTCCTTCCCCAGTTCCACGCGTGCAGGGAGAATGATGAGTTCTGGGGAGTCAATTTCACCGAGTGGGACAATGTCAAGAGAGCATACTTCCACCCCACCACCTTCCGCCCTGTCGCCCACCCCATCGGCCCCTCAACTCCTCCCAAACCTCCCCATACCGCTCTACACTCCCACTCTTCCCCCATCCCGAATGCACTTCCGATCTCCCACCCCCTCTCGCACCTGTCCGGTGGATACTATAACTTCCTCTCTCGCTCCCACCGCCGCCGAACCTCAGCTCTGGCCCGAGCCTACGGGTTCCATGGCCTGTGCTACCACCACTACTGGTTCGGGTGCCGCCGAACCACCCTCGCCGAGCCTCTGCTCCGGATGCTAGAGGACGGCGAGCCCAACCTCCCGTTTTGTCTTATTTGGGCGAATGAGCCGTGGACAAACCGGTGGGACGGGGCTAAAGGGGGAGGGGAAGGGGGGGAAGGAGGGAATGGTGTGTTGCTGGAACAGACATATGGGGATGAGGAGTGCTGGAAGGAGCATTTCAACTGGCTACTGAAATTCTTCAACCATCCAAACTACATCAAGGTGTGTTGTGCAAACGGCTTTTATGTAGCTAGCTTGGTCTCAACCATGCCTTTCCTGACTGCCTCCCTCCGTTGGTTGCCGCCCGCTCTTCGTTCATCAAGCTACCTTTCTCCTTAAGGGCTCCTTTTCCCTCATTCTGCCTTTTTCCCTGCCTTTCCTCTTGCCCCTTCTTGCCCTTCCTCTTGCCCTTCCTCTTGCCCTTCTTCCTGCCCCGTGCCCCTCTCCTTTTCTCTCGTCTGCTGCAATTTTCCTCCCTTTTTGTTTTCTCTTCTGCTCTCACTCACACTCCGCCTCATCTCCACCCCACCAGGTATCAGGCCGGCCTATGTTCGGCATTTACCAACTCGGCGACATTCCCGAACCTGAGGCTCGGGGGATGTTTGACCTCTGGCACGGCCTGGCTCGGCAGCAAGGCTTCCCGGGCCTGCATTTGTTTCAGTGCCTCATCCACACCAACAGTACACCGAACCAGCACTCCCTTGTGCAAGCCGTGGCGGAATACGAGCCTAACTACCGCAAGTTTAGGTTCGGCGAGACCCCATCAGTAGTTCGGCTTCATCCGAACCACTACCGAGCCTCGTACGTGGCCTGGGATAACTTCCCCAGGCACTCGACGGACCTGTCATGGAGGCTCGGGGATGTGGCAGAGGACCCGATCCACTTGACAGCAAGAATGGAGGCTCGGATGAGGCTGGCTCGGCAAGATGTGGCTGAGGATCGGGCAAGGTTCGGCAGCCCAAACGGTTCGAGGGCTCGAGAATCTAGCCTAGGTCAAGTCCAGAAACGTTCGGAGAAAGTGCAAAGAGGTTTGGACCAAGGTGGAGTTGAGAATGAGTCAGAGGAGGTGCAAGAGGGGGTTGTTAATGGGACAGTGCAAGAAGGGGTTGCGAACGGGACGTTCTTCTTTGTTGCGGCTTGGAACGAGTGGGGTGAAGGCAACGCACTCGAGCCGAACCAAATCTTTGGGTTCGGAAACCTCAATGCTGTCGCCCGAGCCTATGCCCGCAGCAGGCGTCCAGCCACCGAGCCTCAGCTCGTGCTTCGGAGATTAGCCGAAGCTGCAGTAGCGTGCGAGCTTTGTCTGGATGTGAGATACTATGTGGATATGGATGGTGAGCTGTATGAGGGGATGGAAGGACGTGTGAGACGGGAGGGAGGACGCATAGTGAAGCACTTTATAGAGAAGGGGTTTCTGGGAGGGAAGCAATTCAGGCTGAGGCGAAGGCATCAGGGGGAAAGGGAGTGGGGAGGGCAGGGGGGAGGGCAAGGAGGAGACCAGGGGGAAGGGCAGGGGGAAGGGCAGGGGGAAGGGCAGGGGGAAGGGCAGGGGGAAGGGCAGGGGGAAGGGCAGGGGGAAGGGCAGGGGGAAGGGCAGGGGAAGGTGAATAGAGGACGGGAAGGAGAAGAGGATGGTGAGGAGGGAGATGGGAAGGGGGAATGGGAAAGCGAAGCAGCTCAATTGGAAGGATACCATGAGCTCAATTGCTTCACGAGGGGCTTTAAGAACATGACAGGTGGTGCTGCTGCTGCTGCTGCTGCTGATGCTGCTGATGCTGCTGCTGCTGGCAGGGAGGGCTCAAGATTGAGAGGGGGCGCTGACTGCAAGTGGTTGAAGCTGCCTCTAGACTTTGTAACAGTTGCCTATCTTGTAGAGGAAGAGCTTATTTAACATTCTTTTACTCGTTTTTGCAATCAGCTCAGCCTTGCCAACAAAACAGATTGTTTTTTGCAGATGGGAAACCACATTGCTAGCAGAGCAGGACACGCCGTGTAGCCAGCAAAAGCATTTCACCTCAACTGTCTATATGTATATGCAGGGGGGTGCGTTGCGTTGCATGCAGGGGGGTTGCATGCAGAGGGTTTGCCCGGTCGCATTGCATGCACGAGGGTTGCATGCAGTGGGGGCCCATGGGGGCCCATGGGGGCCCATGGGGGTCCATGGGGGTCCATGGGGGCCCATGGGGGTCCATGGGGGCCCATGGGGGTCCATGGGGGTCCATGGGGGCCCATGGGGGTCCATGGGGGCCCATGGGGGCCCATGGGGGTCCATGGGGGCCCATGGGGGTCCATGGGGGCCCATGGGGGCCCATGGGGGCCCATGGGGGCCCATGGGGATCCCTGGGGATCCCTGGGGGTCCCTGGGGGTCCCTGGGGGTCCTTGGGGACCCTAAACCCTGCTGATGCTGCAGGTGCTGCCGCTGCTGCTGAAACGGGTGCTGCTGCCTGCACCTTGTTCAAGGCTCTTCCCTTCGCTGCTACCTGCTGAAGTTACACGGTATGTGCTTCTGGCAAGGTATTCGGTCTTGCTGGCAAGGCTTGGTTGCAAGAACGAGCTAAATGACCTGCTGATTCCTGAACGAGACAAAAGGACCTCTAAATAAGCTCCTCCTCCACAAGGTAGGCGACTGTTGCATAGTCTAGCGGCAGTTTCAACCACTTGCACCCCACAACAGCTGTACTCTTTTGAACCCCCTCCCTGCCATCATCGTCAGCAGTACCAGCAGCAGGAGCAGCCGCAGCACCACCACCACTGCTGCCAGCAGTCCTGTTCACGGCCGTGCCTTTGGAAAAGCAGCTGAGCTCATGGTAACCTTCCAATTGAGCTGCATTGCTTTCCCAAACCTCTTTGCCATCACCCTTTTCCCCATCTCCCTCCCCATCTCCCTCCTCATCATCTTCATCCTCCCCATCTGCCTCCCTCTCCTGCTCCCCATTCACCTTTCCCTGCCCTTCCCCCTGCCCTTTCACCTCCGCTCCCCCCTGTCCTTTCCCCTGCCGCCTTCGCCTCAACCTGAATTGCTTCCCTCTCAGAAACCCCTTCTCTATAAAGTGCTTCACTATGCGTCCTCCCTCCCTCCTCACACGTCCTTCCATCCCCTCATATAGCTCGCCATCCATATCCACATAGTATCTCACGTCCAGACAAAGCCCGCACGCCACTGCAGCCTCGGCTAATCTCCGAAGCACGAGCTGAGGCTCGGTGGCTGGATGCCTGCTTCGGGCATAGGCTCGGGCGACAGCATTGAGGTTTCCGAACCCAAATATGTGGTTCGGCTCAAGAGCATTACCTTCGCCCCACTCGTTCCAAGCCGCAACAAAGAAATACGTCCCGTTCGCAACACCCTCTTGCACCTCCTGTGGCCCTTTTTGAACCGCACCTTTGTCCGAACCTCTTTGCACTTTCTCCGAACCTCCCCGGACTTGACCTAAGCTAAGACCTTCAGTCCTTGTGCCGTTCGGGCTGCTGCCGAACCTTACCCGGTCCTCAGCCACGTCTTGCCGAGCCAGCCTCATCCGAGCCTCCATCCTGGCTGTCAAGTGGATCGGGTCCTCTGCCACATCCCCGAGCCTCCACGACAGGTCCGTCGAATGCCTGGGGAAATTATCCCAAGCCACGTACGAGCCTCGGTAGTGGTTCGGAAGAAGCCGAACCTCGGATGGGGTCTCGTTGAACCTAAACTTGCGGTAGTTAGGTTCGTATTCTGCCACGGCTTGCACAAGGGAGCGTTGGCTCGGTTTACTCTTGGGGCTCGTGAGGCATTGGAACAGGTGCAGGCCCGGGAGGCCGTGCTGCCGAGCCAGGCTGTGCCAGATGTCAAACATCCCCCGAGCCTCAGGTTCGGGAATGCCGCTGAGTTGGTAAATGCCGAACATAGGCCGGCCTGATACCTGGTGGGGTGGAGATGAGTGCGAGAGGGAGCACGTAAGGAAAGAGGAAAGAAACACAACATCGATATTTGGAGACATAAGAAAATAGAAGGATACACACGAATTGTCAGTTAGGTTACGTTAAAGCTATCAGTGGAGGGAGGCAGCTGGACAAGCACGCGGGCGAGACCAAGCTACCTACCCAGAAATGCTTTGCACAGCCTTGCGGGAAAATTGCACACCTTGATGTAGTTGGGATGGTTGAAGAATTTCAACAGCCAGTCGAAATGCTCCCTCCAGCACTCCTCATCCCCATAAGTCTGCCCCAGCAACGTTCCATTCCCTTCCCCCCCCCCTCTTGCGCCATCCCACCGGTTTGTCCACGGCTCATTCGCCCAGATAAGACAAAACGGGAGGTTGGGCTCGCCGTCCTCTAGCATCCGGAGCAGAGGCTCGGCGAGCGTGGTTCGGCGACACCCGAACCAGTAGTGGTGGTAGCACAGGCCGTGAAACCCGTAGGCTCGGGCCAGAGCTGAGGTTCGGCGGCGGTGGGAGCGAGAAAGGAAGTTATAATACCCACCGGAGAGGTGCGAGAGGGGGTGGGAGATCGGGAGTGCTTTCGGGACAGCAGAAGAAAGGGAGTGAAGAGCGGTATGGGGAGGTTTGGGAGGAGTTGCAGGGCCGATGGGGTGGGCGACAGGGCGGAAGGTGGTGGGGTGGAAGTATGCTCTCTTGACATTGTCCCACTCGGTGAAATTGACTCCCCAGAACTCATCATTCTCCCTGCACGCGTGGAACTGGGATAGAGGAGGAGGGGGGGAGCAGCAGAAGGCACAGGTTTCAGATCTGTCCCGTTTTGTGGAAGTCACGCCCAGAAGAGACTGTAAGAGATGGCCTGTTCTCCCAGTATGGATGGAACGAACGGAGGGGAATGGGAGAGGAGGAGAGTAGGTGACGTGCCTGTGTGTGCCCGATCCTATGCGATTATGGCAAGGCAAGCATCCATGCTCTGAACGTCTTTGTGCATACCTCGTTCATTAGAGGGAAGACGCCCACCCAACGGCACCACACCTCACCCCATTGACCCATTGCACCGCACTTACACCCCGTAAAACCGCACATCATCCCACCAGACCGCACATCACCTGTGGGAAGACAATCGCAATGAGCTTCAAATCCGGATCCACCGCCACTCCTTCCACGCCCACCCCGCTGCCGCCCCCTTCCCTCCCCAATTCTTTGGGTGGCAGTTGCAGCTTCCGGGCCGGCAGCTGCACATCTCTGGGCGGCAGCTGCACATCTCTGGGCGGCAGGTGCACGAGAGGCAGCTGGCGCAGCAGCGAGAAGGCACATCCCCGCCGCAGATGCCGGCACTCCGGGTGTTTAAAGAAGGGCGGGCGCGCTCTGAAGTAGAGGTGAGGCGGCGGGGGGGAGAGGGGGAAGGAGCCTACTTTTGAGGCGCCTCAAAAGTACACGCGGGGTCCTTAAAGACGGCCTTCTTTAAGGCCGGGTCTCTATTTCAGGGCCGGGCATGCTCTGAAATAGAGGGACGGAGGCGGGACGGGAAGAAGATGGGGGAGGTGCAGGGTGAGGGGGGGTGGGGAGGGGGAACGAGAAGGGGGGGAACGAGAAGGGGGGGAACGAGAAGGGGGGGAACGAGAAGGGGGAAGAGAAGGGCAAGGAAAGGGGAAATGGGAGATGGGGAGAGGGAGGATGGGAAACAGGGGTGATGGAAATGGAGGGAAGAAAAGTGGGGACTGAGGAGCGTGGGGAAAGCATGGAGTTGGAAGCAGGTGGGGGGGAAGAGGGAGAAGGAGAGGAAAGGGGGAAAGCAGGGGGGAATCAGAAAAGACAAAGAGAGTGATGACAATTATGTAAGCACCTTCACAACCTTCACAGACAATGCAGAGGACTACCCTCACAACCTTCAGATGACCACCATCCTCACGTGTTCCGGACGAATCTGAAGTCAAAAGCTGTGTCGAAAAACGCCCCGGCAATTCCCGGGTAGTCTGCGCGGGTAACCCTATCCTGATTGCTCACTCCCGCGAGCAAATCACGCCAGGCCACCTGGCGGCTGCGCTTCAAACCGCAGCGCGCCGCCGCTTCGTTCATGGCGGACCAATAGCGGCGCGCGAACCACGCCACGATGGCGCGCTCCGGTGGAGGGAAGGGCGGAGGATTGTCCTCGTTAGAAGAGTCTTCGATGCTGCTGTTGCCGCTGTTCTTAGCGCAGCAATCAACGGAGACATGCTGATGAGGGGATTCCGAATTGGCAGCGTCGCCGCCTGACGCGGAGAGGGAAAGGGAGCGCAAAAGTTGAGAGCCGGGGAGGAGGTCGGGCGGAGAGGAGGAGTGGAGGAGGCCGAGGAAAACGACAAGCAGGCCCGCTTGCAGCGCAATGATGGCTGCATCTGTCGTCAGCGGCACGCATTGGCGTAGCCGCTGTGCCCACAGGGATGAGCCCATCCTAAGGAAACCTTGGGTGAAAAATTAGCGCGGGAATTTCTTGGGATATGGCCGTCGGCCCTCGCGGAACACTCCGATAAGACGTGCCTCGATCGGCTAAAGAAACGGCATCTCGTAATGGGAACAACAGCCTGGTGAAGGAAGGATTGCGCTGATGAGATTTTCTTCGTAACCCTTGCGGCGTCAATAGCCTTTCAGAGCCTAGATTGTACCGTATTCACCAGCTTACCGGATTCCCGCCAAATGAAGGCCCTCGGGTCCACCATACGGGTTGGGGGATTATATCAGGTGGTGCGCAGATCAGACCCCCGCTAGGGATGACGGGTTTAGAGATCCCCCGTTTTTCTTGTTTTTCTCTCTTCCCCAACTCTTGTCAGCCAATCACGTCGATTTTGTGTCAGTGCTGGCGTGGTTTTCTCTGCCGCCTGTAATGTGCTTCATCATGCACCCGACTCGAGCCGACCCGAGCCGGCGCACCGCCAATCCAACCGACGGATCTGTCAGGTGATCGTGCCGTGCGGGTTGGCTGTGTACGAGGAAAGTTTCCTCGTTTGTAAACAACTCGATTGTACAGAACACGTCTAACCCAGATTTCCTAAAATTATTCGTGCAAATGGGTTACAACCCGGGTCTTCCCCCACATTTTCTGGAACTTATCACAAATTTCTGGAACTTATAACAGCATCTTTCCACCATCTCAAACACACTTCCGGAGCAGGCCAAGCCATTGCTCGCCTTTGGGTCGATAGGCAAGTTTCGTCAGGCGGGTCTTAGTCTCAGGCACGCTCTTTTTGGCACGTACTCAGCGTAGTTTTGTGCTCTTCGGCGCTGTCGGTCTTGCACAAATCATTCATTTGCGTGTGGTCGTGACGTGCAGTCCACCCGCGCGGGAATCACGACTAAGCAGCCGATTCGATGGAGGAGGTAGGTTGGACTTTCGCACAAAATTCATTTCTCGGAATGTTTCTTCGGAGCAATCACTGTTTCATATCTTTCTCGATAAGCACGCCTCTCGTCACGTGAGCCGTGCTTCTGTATCATGATCAATGGCATGGTAAACCGCGAGAGCGATATAGGTCCTAGCACATTAGAATCTCCATGTGAAAGTTTATCCTGGAATTTATCTGCTGTTTCTGAATCTAGGATGATTTCGAGTTCGAAGGACCAGTCGATTCGCGAGTCGCGGCCACCAACGGTCAAGAAGCTGCCGCCGCCGCGCGCACGACGATATCGACTGACCGTTTGAAGTCTGGCGGTGCGGTCTCGACGGGATCCGATGGGGGAGGCGGGGGAGGGGAGGTGGAGGAGGTTGAAACGGAGGAGGAGGAGGTGGAGGAGGTAGAAGAAGAGGTGGATATATATCCTATGGATGATGAGCAGGTGGGTTTTGTTGGATCGTGGTGTGCGAAGTTGGGGAGGAAGAGGAGGTGGAGGTAGAAGAGGAGGTGGATATATATTCTATGGAGGATGAGAGGTGGGATTGTTGGTTGGTTGGTTGAGTGCGTGGGGGATGCTGCTGCTGGTTGTGGTATTGTGGGTGTTTTCAAGGGTACTACCACTCGAATCACTAGATGTATGCCTTTTGTTTTTTGTGCTTCTCGATTTCTGTTGAAGAGTTATGATGATCCCTGACCTGATGCCTCGTGCATGATGCATGGTGGATGGCGCGTTGTGATTGGTGGATGGATGGATGATTCGCAACGTATGCTTTGTGCTTCGTCATCCCGTGTGTCTCTCTCAGGCGTCACTCCCAGCTGCCGTGGCTGCAGCAGATGACCATGCCACCACCACCATTCTCACCCTCCGTGCATGGTGTGTAAAAATCCCTCGAATGTTTAGGAAGGAAAACTGAACTCACCATGCAAGAAGGGTGAATATGGTGGTGGTGACATGGTTTTTGAGGTGAATGAAGAGTCGTTTACTCCCTGTCCGCCCTTTGCTCTGCCTTTACTTTGTCCGCAAAGGCTGTGCATGTACAGAAACTGACTGACCCTCTCTCACTGTTTCTCTGCCACGTGTCACCCTCTCTGCCTGTCTCTCTGCCACGTGGCAGCGTGGAGGAGAAAGACGCCACCATTAAGAAGCTGCAGGTGCGTTTTCCACGCTACTTCCTGCTTTCCAGGCGTCTACTCTACTCCCACGCACCACCAATCCCTCAGCACTACACTTCAAACATTTGTTTCTCTGCCTGTCTCTCTGGCACATTTGTCCTCATGACTGCTCCCTCCTGCTCCTCTCCGTTACAGTCACAATTGGATGAGGCGCACGCGGATCTGCACAAGTGGCGCACGGCCTTCCATCCCGCCAACATCCTTGCGCCTGAGACCACAGCTGGTAAGTTACCCTGCCCTGGCGTTTCACACGTGCTTCCAGTTCTCCTGCCTTTCCTTCCGTGCTTCACCTGGGGTCCGGAATGAGTGGCGCACGGCCTTCCCCCCAGCCAACATCCTTGCGCCTGAGACCACTGCTGGTGAGCTGCCCTGCCTTCCCTGCCATGCCCTCCTCCTCCTGGGGTCCTGAATGGGTGGCGCACGGCCTTCCACCCAGCCAACATCCTTGCGCCTGAGACCACTGCTGGTGAGCTGCCCTGCATCCCCTGCCATGCCCTCCTCCTCCTGGGGTCCTGAATGGGTGGCGCACGGCCTTCCACCCAGCCAACATCCTTGCGCCTGAGACCACTGCTGGTGAGCTGAGCTGCATCCCCTGCCATGCCTTCCTCCCGTGGGTCCGGAAGTGCCACGCGCACACGGCCTTCCACCCGGCCAACATCCTTGCGCCTGAGGCTACCGCGGGTGAGCTTCCCTGACCTGCCCTGCCTCCTCACGTGCTGCCAGGTCCCCTGCCTTCCTGCCCTCTTGCGGATCTGCACAAGTGGCTCACAGCCTTCCGCCCAGTGACCCTGCCAAATCTGTGTGCCTGAGACAACCGCTGGCGGGCTTCCCTGCCTTCTCTGCTGCCTAGAAATTCGGAATTTACTGGCGCACAGGCACGGCACGGCCTTCCATCCTGCCAACATCCTTGCACCTCCCTCTCATCCTCTATCCCCATCCCCTTCCCCCATTCCTTTGGCAGAGCCAGCGGCGGTGGTGGCGGCGTTTGAGGCAGTGCAGCAGGCAGAGGAGCAGGTGCAGGAGAAGCTGCTGGCAGCGCAGAGAAGGAGGCCACCTGCCCTTGCCTCCACCCGCCTGCCCTCTCTTCATGTCCTTCGTTTCCTCCCTCCCCCTCGTCCTCTCCCCCTCATCCCCCTTGACAGAGCCAGCAGCAGTGGTGGCGGCGTTTGAGGCAGTGAGAGAGGCAGAGGCGCAGGTGCAGGAGAAGCTGCTGGCAGCGCGGAGGAGAGAGGCAGCTATGCTCATTCGACTGGCGGGCAGGGAGCAGGAGGTGGTTGCCGTCAAGGTGGGTGGGTGGATGTGAAAACGGGTGTGTGAGGGCGGGTGTTCGTATCTGTGTGCATGCGTGTGTGTATGCGTGCTTGTGCTTTTTCGGCTGGCAGGCAGGGAGCAGGAGGTGGTTGCTGTCAAGGTGGGTTGCTGTCAAGGTGGGTTGCTGTCAAGGTGGGTTGCTGTCAAGGTGGGTTGCTGTCAAGGTGGGTTGCTGTCAAGGTGGGTTGCTGTCAAGGTGGGTTGCTGTCAAGGTGGGTTGCTGTCAAGGTGGGTTGCTGTCAAGGTGGGTTGCTGTCAAGGTGGGTTGCTGTCAAGGTGGGTTGCTGTCAAGGTGGGTTGCTGTCAAGGTGGGTTGCTGTCAAGGTGGGTTGCTGTCAAGGTGGGTTGCTGTCAAGGTGGGTTGCTGTCAAGGTGGGTTGCTGTCAAGGTGGGTTGCTGTCAAGGTGGGTTGCTGTCAAGGTGGGTTGCTGTCAAGGTGGGTTGCTGTCAAGGTGGGTTGCTGTCAAGGTGGGTTGCTGTCAAGGTGGGTTGCTGTCAAGGTGGGTTGCTGTCAAGGTGGGTTGCTGTCAAGGTGGGTTGCTGTCAAGGTGGGTTGCTGTCAAGGTGGGTTGCTGTCAAGGTGGGTTGCTGTCAAGGTGGGTGGCTGTCAAGGTGGGTTGCTGTCAAGGTGGGTTGCTGTCAAGGTGGGTTGCTGTCAAGGTGGGTTGCTGTCAAGGTGGGTTGCTGTCAAGGTGGGTGGGTGGGTGGGTGGGTGGGTGGGTGGGTGGGTGGGTGGGTGGGTGGGTGGGTGGGTGGGTGGGTGGGTGGGTGGGTGGGTGGGTGGGTGGGTGGGTGGGTGGGTGGGTGGGTGGGTGGGTGGGTGGGTGGGTGGGTGGGTGGGTGGGTGGGTGGGTGGGTGGGTGGGTGGGTGGGTGGGTGGGTGGGTGGGTGGGTGGGTGGGTGGGTGGGTGGGTGGGTGGGTGGGTGGGTGGGTGGGTGGGTGGGTGGGTGGGTGGGTGGGTGGGTGGGTGGGTGGGTGGGTGGGTGGGTGGGTGGGTGGGTGGGTGGGTGGGTGGGTGGGTGGGTGGGTGGGTGGGTGGGTGGGTGGGTGGGTGGGTGGGTGGGTGGGTGGGTGGGTGGGTGGGTGGGTGGGTGGGTGGGTGGGTGGGTGGGTGGGTGGGTGGGTGGGTGGGAAGTGAGGGTGCTTGAGTTTGAAGGTGAGGGGCGGAGCTAGGCAGAGGGAATGTATGTTGTTATAAGTCGGAACGTGCTACGGGTGGCATAAAAGGCGCAATTCAATTCGACCCTGTATTCCTGCAGTGTTTAGAAGCTAGACGTGCACTGATGAGTTCCGCAATCTCATGCGCTCCTCTAATTCAATCCCTCGCACTCCCTCCTGCACGTGTGCATTGCAGGAGCAGCTGCAGCAGGTGCTGGAGAGCATGCAGCCCGCCAACACGCAGGTGGGTATGAAAACGTCTGCTTATCAAGGCGGGTGGTAGAGGAACACCAATTCTAGTAGGGGGATGAGATTATAGGCTCAGTGGCTATGTGCGTGCACTGCTTGGCCAGCTTGCCCCATTTTGTTTGATCCTCATGCCAACTTTCTCAACCAATCTCCACGGTAACTTGTGTTGTTCGCACCACCTCTTGTCCTTCCACTCATGCTTTGCTATGCTACCCTCCCCTCGCGCGCCTCTGTCTGTGTCTCTCCCCATATCCCCCTCCCCTGCCTGGTGTGCACCAGACTCGCTCGCTGCTGCTGGATGCCGCCATACATGCCGAGTTCAAACGACTCAAGGTGAGGCATGCAGTCAGGGCACTGTGCAGGTGACGCAAATTGAATTGCGTTTGTGTGGGCCCTAGAATGGCCTCGCTGCTGCTGGATGCCGCCATACATGCCGAGTTCAAACGACTCAAGGTGAGGCGCACTCACTCATTCGCATGCCCATGTGTTGTATACCGAATACATGCGCTGCGCGTACCTGGTGTTCTTCATACCCCTTTCATCTGCGTGTTGTGACGAGTGAGGGAGCTGCAGGACGGGCTAGCGGCAGTTTAGTTCATCTTCCTGCCTCTCTCTCCACCCCTCCGCACCCATTCCCGCCCATATTCGTCCATGCACACCCGTTTTAACCCCCTTAGATTGAGAGCGAGGCCCTGGAGCGGCGAGTGAGGGAGTTACAAGACGACCTGGCAGCGGTGCAGTTCACTCCGCCCCTCCCCACCCATTCCCACCCATTCCCACCCATACCCAGACTGAGAGTGAAGCCCTGGAGAGGCGGGTGAGGGAGCTGCAGGATGACCTAGCAGCGGTGCAGTTCACCTTCCTACCTCTCCCTCCCTCCGATCCATACCCAGACTGAGAGCGAGGCCCTGGAGAGGCGGGTGAGGGAGTTGCAGGACGATCTGGCAGCGGTGCAGTTCACCCCACACAGCAAGAACGGCAAGATGCTGATGGCCAAGTGCCGCACGCTGCAGGAGGAGAACGAGGACATTGGCAGGGAGGCCGCTGAGGGGAAGGTGCGCCTGGGGGAAGTGGCATCTGGTGTGCAGTAGGTGAGGGCAGGTGGGTTCTTCCTTGGGAAAGGCAAGATGCTGATGGCCAGGTGTTGCGGAGGCAGGGAGGCTGCTGAGGGGAAGGTGAGTCTGGGGCAGGTGGTATTCAGGTACTGTGGCTGAGGTGCGGTGGGGCCTAGGGCAGGTGAGGCTTAGGGAAGATGATAGCTAGGGCAAGTGGGTCCTGGGACAGGACGCCTTAGCAGCAGTCCTAGGTAGTTGTGTTCATTTCTGCATGCACTCCCTTGCTTCTCCTTTGGTTCTCTTTGTGCCTGTCAGGTGCATGAGCTGGAGAACAAGCTCGCCCTGCAGAAGCAGCTCAACTCCGAGCTCAAGCGCGGCTACCAAGGTAGTACCTTCACTCTCTTTCTACCCGTTTTCCCACTCTGCAAGCTTGCTGCCTCTCGGTTCAAATCCATTAGTCCCTTCACAAGCTGGCTCTGCAGAAACAGCTCAACTCCGAGCTCAAACGCGGCTACTAAGGTAGTACCTGCACCCCATTTCTACCTTTTCCCCGCCCTTCATGCTTGCTGCGGTTCGAATCCATCAATCCCTTCACAAACTCACCCTGTTTCTGAGGCGGTTGGAAGACACACTTTGACCTGCCCTCTGCCCTCTGTCCCCCCGCTGCCACACTGCCCTCACTGCTCCACTCGCTCCTGGGCAGAGCTACAGGAGTATTGGATGAGATCAACGAGGAGGCGGAAAATGCTCTTTCTGAGAAGTTTGTTTCCTTGCCATCTTCCCCCCGTATTGGCGTGCGTCCCATGTGCCATGGGCAGAGCTACAGGAGTATGTGGATGAGATCAACGAGGAGGCGGAAAATGCTCTTTCTGAGAAGTTTGTTTCCTTGCCATCTTCCCCCCGCATTGGCGTGCGTCCCATGTGCCATGGGCAGAGCTACAGGAGTATGTGGATGAGATCAACGAGGAGGCGGAAAATGCTCTTTCTGAGAAGTTTGTTTCCTTGCCATCTTCCCCCCGCATTGGCGTGCGTCCCATGTGCCATGGGCAGAGCTACAGGAGTATGTGGATGAGATCAACGAGGAGGCGGAAAATGCTCTTTCTGAGAAGTTTGTTTCCTTGCCATCTTCCCCCCGCATTGGCGTGCGTCCCATGTGCCATGGGCAGAGCTACAGGAGTATGTGGATGAGATCAACGAGGAGGCAGAGAAGCTCGAGGAGACGGTGTACAAGCTGCAGAGGCAGCTGCAGCTGAGAGACACTTTGACCTGCCCTCTGCCCTCTGTCCCCCCGCTGCCCTACTTCCCCACTTGCTTGCTCCCTGGCAGAGCTACAGGAGTATGTGGACGAAATCAACGAGGAGGCAGAGAAGCTTGAGGAGACGGTGTACAAGCTGCAGAGGCAGCTGCAGCTCAGGGACTCAGAGGTGCAGGAGCTTTCCCGCTTCAAGGCAAACGTATTGGAGGCCGAGCGCTCCCAGCAGCACTTCCCCCGCCGCACTCCCAGCAGCAGCAGCAACAGCAGCAGCAGCCGGGACAGGGCATGCAGCGGGGTGGGTCGCTGAAACGAGAGAGGGAGCGAGAGCGGGAGCGGGATAGGCGGCAGGGGCAGCAGCAGGGGCAGGGTATGCAGGGATCGCAGGAAGGGTCCGAGGCTGAGGATCGGGACGGGCAGGGGTTTGTGCGGGAGGGTCGGGAGAGGCATGGGTTTAGGCGGGAGTTTAGCCGGCAGTTGTCGGGGCGGCAGCACCGGGGGCATGAGGAGGAGGATGAGGAGAGGGGCTCGTACGGGGAGGAGCATCATAGGAGGATGCATCACCATTTTGGGGGGAGGGAGAGACAGAGGGAGGGGTCGATTGGGGGTGGAGGGGAGAGTGGGGCGTACGGAGGGGAAAGGAGAGACGGGAGAAGGCGGGAGGGGAAGAGGAGCTGGAGGGATCGGTCCATGGAGAGGGAGATTGAGGGGGAAGGGAGGGGTCGCCGTGCACCGTCCCTCAGTCCGTGAAATTCTTCTAGTATAATTAGGGAGGGAGAGTGAAGGAATAGGCTGTGAGTTCACCCTGCGTGATTCTCTATTCTATAGCTGTATAGCTAGCTGAATTCAAATGCTTCATTGCACAGATTGTGCTACACCCACTCAACCGCTAGAAGCAATCTTCAGATGATGTGGGGCTGAGTCACTCACTTGTGGGCTTTGTCCCTCCAAACCTTTTTCTTGCTCCTGAAACCTTTTGCTGGTGCTGACAGTTCGCCAACACAGCACGGAGATCGCTTATTGGCCGCTCCTCCAACTCACGGGGTTGGAGTGTACCTTTTCACCCACCAACCTCGATATGGTCGTGTCAAGGCTCCGTGATTCCAGCTACGCACACCCAATCACTTCTCAGGTAATACCGCGCAAGCCGCTGCTGGCACCTTCTCATCCAATCACTAACCCTTCCTGATCAACAACCTCGATATTCTTTGATCCTTGGTTGGTCTGCTCCTTGGCGCGAGAATATCCCGATTCCCGAGCTCGCTTTCGAGTTTCGCGTCAGTCGGGCATTTTGGCACACACGCACCTGACAGAACTTCCCCTTGTTCCGCTCTTCAGCATTTTGCTTGCTTGACTCTCTCCCAGCCCAACCAGTCAGATCTCCTGTGTCTGTTCTCTCTCGGCTGATGCACGTTCCTTTCATACTGGTTCTTTTGCATGAAAAGCCTGTGAAACTGTGCTCCAGCTTCGATCTCATCTCATTTTATTCTCAAGAGCCTTACCTCCTGATCTGCTGTGCAAGCTCCAGATTAGGTTAAGGGTTAGAGTCCACTGCAAAATCATTTTTCTTACTTGAAAAGGAGGTCGGGTGGGCTCAATCCTGCTGCTCACGTTCTTTTTTCCGGCACGAGTTTTCCATGGCCCTCCGTGTCGTAGAATGTGGGTCCATCGCACCGCTTACCGATTCCACCAAGGGATTGGGAGTGGCAGTTCAGTTGAATTCCGCTACGGTCATGCAAATTCCCCATTCGACATTCATCAGCAAGAAAGATCCTGGCGGTTTCCTCTTACAAGAACGGGCTTGTCGATTTTCCAAAAAAGGCGAATTGCAACGTCGAAACGCGACAGGTTTGCGTCGGATTGGCGTGAGGGCTTCTAAAAACGAGTCAGGCGGAAAGGGCTGGTCTAGCGGCGTGTCTCGCGTGCTAAGCAGCGCGGATAAATGGTGGGAGAAACGGAAGAAGCAGCACAAGGAGCACGCGGATAGCAAACACGGGTACCAGGGTCACCACTCGCAGCACGCCAATCATTCCCACCATCTCCACCACAGATCCTCGAGCGATGAGGAATCCGACGGCGAGCATTCGTCCAGGCATTCGCATCACAGAAACCGACACGGACATTCTCACGATGAATCGCACCGCCAGACCATAGCCACAGCCATGGCCACCGTAGCTATGAGGGTGAGGAGCATCAGCACAGGAAGCACCATCGGCACCATGAGGAGGATAAATCCGCAATTCACCATCAGCACCACCATCATCACAAGCACCACCACGAGCAACATCATAAGCACAGCAGCCATCACAGCCAGGACGCGGCCCATCCGCATCATCATAAACCCCACAAGCATCATCATCAGCATCACCAAGAGAATCACAAGGATCATCAGCACGACCACCGTCACGACCATCACCACCATGAGCACAAGCATCATAAACGGCATCAGCACGAGGCAGACAGCCCGGACCACCATCACTCGCATCACCATCACGCGCGCCATCACCACCACCACCACCACCACCACCACCACCACCACCACCACCACCACCACCACCACCACCACCCCCATGGCCACCACCACAAGGGACACAAAGGCCACCGGCGACCAACAGGCGCCAAACTCCCGCAATCCATCGCCGGGATTCCTCCCGGGCCGCTCACAGACTTCGCCTTCTGGGTTCGCCGAACCTTCTTGTCCAAGGACGCGTTCGAGCCGCCGCAGCCGCCGCCGTACAGCATTAATCTCTCAAAGGACCAGGCCGTGCTGCTCCTTAATGTCCTCGCGTTCGGATACGCCGCGACCGCGGTGACCGTTAAGCTCATGCAAGAGCTCCACGGGGGAGGCGCGGGGGGAGATGTCGGGGGAGCGGTAGCCGGCGCGGCAGCTGTGACCGCCGCGGGGGTGGCGGTGGGGGAGGCGATTTCGACGCCTGTGGGGGAGGTAGTGAGCGATGTGATTGGGGGAGAGTTTTTTGGCGGACTTCTGGGGGAGGGTATGTTCGAGGGTATGTTCGGTTCAGGTGCCGCTGGTTATCCACTTTTTGGGAGTCTCGATACAAGTGTGGAATTCGCAATTCGATTTTTGTTCGCGACGATTGGGCTGGGCGGGTTCGCGCTGGCGAGACACGTGGCAAGGATACACCACGAGAGGACACACCAAAAGGAGGCAACTTGGGGCGAGAAGGTGCTCGGAAGCTTCCGAAACTCGTGGGATGCGGCGTGGGGCCTGTGGGGTAACACTGGGTTGAGCAACCCCATGACGGCTTTACTGGGGGAGGTCGCATCTGACAGCGGGGAGAGCGACAGCAGGGGCAGCAACGGCCGGGGAAAAACAGAGCCAGAAGGAGAGAACGGGAAGAAAAAGGGGAAGAAGAATGGAGGCAAGGAGGGGCTAGCGGCAGGGGTGTGGGAGTCGATGGTGGGCGGGAGCAAGAAGGAGCGGCGGGAGCGGGCGGCGATGGTGGTGGGGGGCGTGGAGCTGGGCGTGTGGATGTTCGTGACGTACGCCGGGCAGGCCATTGGGCTCGAAACCACCTCTGCGGACGACGCTGCTCTCATCCTCACCGTCTCGGTACGATCAATTGTTCCTTCCCACAACCCCCCAACACTAGCACGTAGATTTGGCATGAAATTGCTCAAAACGAAGTCACTCAGAGGGCGGCGATGGTGGTGGGGGGCGTGGAGCTGGGCGTGTGGATGTTCGTGACGTACCACCTCCACACGCCCAGATCCACGCGGGGCAGGCCATCGGGCTCGAAACCACCTCCGCGGACGACGCTGGCCTCATCCTCACCGTCTCGGTACGATCACAATCCCTTCGTCCCACCAACCTCCCTCCCTCCCTCGGTCCCCCCCAAAACCTGCGAGTGAATTTGCTTCCAGTCGTCTCAAAACAACGGTACTCAGTGGTCGATGCTGCAATTATCTTCGCAATCTCTGTATGAGACATGCCTTAAATACACTTCGCAAACCCCAACTCCCACAGACATCCCCTCCCCTTTTACCCTGCCCCGAGTGCGTCAATTCCTCGACTCCTGCCCTCCCAATTCTACTGTACATGTGCTGCATCACACTGCACCGCGCTGCACCACAGGTGGTGCTGGTTCCGTTCCTGGAGGCTCTCTCAGGCACGCCCATCAACCGCAGCGTGTGGATCGCCACACTCCTTGCTTGCACCGGTACGCTCCTAATGCCCTCCACTCTCGTAAAGCTTCCGCCTTGCTCCTTTCCTGCGTCCAGCGCCTTTCATGTGTGTGCCCCATACATCATTCCACCCGGCCCCTTGTCCCATCCCACGCCCAAACCCTCACTCACGCGCACACCCTCACTCACGCGCACACCCTCACCCACGCCCACACCCACACCAACAGGCATGGTGATGCTGGAAGGCGGGGAGTCTATCACTGCTGTTGCAGTAGCAGCAACGCCAGCTGAAGTCATCGCCAGCTCAGCATCAGCTTCCTCCAACGTCATCGCTGACACAGCAGCAGCAGCGCTGGCGTCGGTGCCGGTGCAGTGGAGCCTGCCTGTGGGCCACGTGTGGTGCCTCATTGGCGCTGTGGGCTCTGCCATCCACGTGGTGAGTGTGCCATCCACGTGGTGAGTGTGCCATGCACGTGGTGAGTGTGCCATGCACGTGGTGAGTGTGCCATGCACGTGGTGAGTGTGCCATGCACGTGGTGAGTGTGCCATGCACGTGGTGAGTGTGCCATGCACGTGGTGAGTGTGCCATCCACGTGGTGAGTGTGCCATCCACGTGGTGAGTGTGCCATCCACGTGGTGAGTGTGCCCACAACGACCCTCTTCTCCTCTCCATTCTTGCATCTGAGTGCACTCTGTATTCGCTATATCTCCCACTCTCCATTTGCTCCCCTCCCCTTCCCATCAGGTCCGCTCCGAGGTCCTCTGTGCGCGCTACGACCCGCTCATCCTCGTGATTCTCCAACTCGGCACCACAGCAGCCATCGGCGTGGTGTGGGTGCTGCTCTCACTGGCAGGCATCGCGCTCACAGCAGGGGGGAGTGCAGTGGCGGGGGCAGACGGCAGTGGTGCAGCAGTAGCGTGGAACCAGCTGCTGGCCGTGGCTGCTGCTGCTCCCATCGGCATGGCATTGCTGGCTGGGCCCTTCGGAACAGGTAAGAGAAGAGGGGGTTATGGCTGGTGGGTTGGGTGGGTGGGAGCGCTGTGCTCCCTGACACCCATCACGCTCACAGCAGGGTGAGGGGAGAATGAATCGGGGTTGGGGGTAGACAGCCGTGGAGAGGTGGTGCCATGGAACCAGCTTCTGGCCGTGGGCTGCTGCTGCTCCCATCGGCATGGCGCTGCTGGCTGGGCCACTCGGAACAGGTAAGAGTGGGGATGGGTGCAGCTGGCGGGTTGGTGCCTGTGTGTTCTACTGGGATGAGTTGGAGTGTGAGGCATGTTGAGCTCATTGGCTGTGTGTGTGTGCATCCCATTCCATGCATATACCATCCAGCCCCTCTCCAGGAGCAGCACGTGTCATTCTCCAATCCCTTCCACCCCTTCCACGTCCCCAACCCTTCCCAGCCCTTCGCTTTCCCTGGCTTCATTTCTCCTGCTCCTCATTCCTGCCCGACCCACCTCTGCCCCCACGTGCAGGCATGTGCGAGTGGCTGGAGATGGAAGCGCTGCGCCTCGTGAGACCATCCACAGCCACGTTGTGCTTATTGGGCTTTGCGTGTTGCACCATGCGTATGCCAAATGTGCTTCTTTATCACCGCACCATAACCTCCCTGCACTCTCCCTCCTCCCGTCTGCCTGCATTCCTCCCGCACGCTCGCTGTCCCTCACTCCTCCACCCTTGGTCACACCACGTGCAGGCATGTGCGAGTGGCTGGAGATGGAAGCACTGCGGTTCGTGCGAGCATCCACAGCCACGCTCATTCTCACCATGAGCCCCCTATGGGGCAGCCTCCTGGCCTTCTTTTTGCTAGGAGAAACACTTAGCACGTCCACTGCCGCGGGCGCCATTCTTATTCTGCTTGCCAGCCTGGAGGTGCAGCTCTTAGCGCCACATGCGGATGGGGAGGATGAGGAGGGTGAGGAGGGTTACGAGCAATTTGTCCAGGAAGGGAGGGGTGGGTGGCTAGGGTTTGGCAAAAGGTGGTGAGTAGAGTTGGAGAATATGGAGTTGATATGTGGGCTCATTATGGTTCTGCATATTTCGTATGAGCTTCCATTGAGAAAGTGGTTATATCGAGGAACTCCTCTGTCTCCAAGCATGTCCTATTTGGATTAGCTATTGTGCCCATCTCATTCATGGAACGACACCATGTTGTTCATATACAGTTCATGTTTCTTGGCTCAGGACGGTTTCACATGATGAAAAATGGTTATTGAGGTCTACCGTAATACAGTGAGACAAAGAATTTGACTGGGACTTCCTACCTAACCAAGCCCTTATTTTGAAGCTTCCGCATGGAAATGTATATGGATTACAGGAAACCCCCAACACCAGCAGCCAAAATCAACACACATCGACCGTGAGAGCCGCCCCACTCGTAGACTCTACAATCGAGTATGGAGTACAGAACATCCACCCACGGTGGGTCAATCATTTTCATGGTGAGATAGCACAGTGCTTAGAAGAGTTTTCCTTCTCTACCGCTTTTGAACACTGCGCACCCGACAGAAACCTTCTAATGCCCGCCCTCTACGACCGCGTTCCACGCAGCACACCTTCCGCATCAGCAGTTTCTCCGGCATCCGCCCGTCGGAGAACATGGCGGTGGCTTGAAATTCTTGGACCGCCAAGCAATGCCAAGCTGGACAGAATGTGGCTGACACGGCCACCGGGCCACACCACACACATGCTGCCGTGCTGTGCTGGCGGTGGTGGCGTGTCTGCCACATTTCCAAATCGCGGTGGATAAGCTGTCAATTGTGCTCCCAGGTTGAGTTGAGCTGATTCGGATCAGATCGGAACAATAGGTTCCAGACCACACCTGTGCTCCAACAAAACACCCTGAGACGACGACGAACCTGGAGAGAGATGGTGCTACAGAACTGTTCACATTGTAGGGTACTGTTCACCATCAGAACCCGCAATGTGACAAATGTCCCCAGACGGATCGCAACCTCGCAAGCTGCATGGCATCGCTTCTCGCTGGCGGCTGGTCTGTTGAAGAAATCCCTTCACGTAACGAATTCCCCTCCTCCAAGCCCAACCCAACCTACTACAATTGATGCCCGACCAGTGCACGCGAATTTGCCATGCACCGGATGGAAACGCTGCCCCCGAGCTCGAAACCCCTGCTTGCTGCTCCCACAGTACACGCACGTGGATGGCTGACTACAGTGCACGCGGCCTGGCCACCAATGCACGTGCATTCCACAACAAGGCATGCCGACCCATGTTTGCCTTGTTTCTAGGCCAGGAGTCAGACAGGCGAAACGAATGGACGAAACGTACGTGGTTTCGTGAACGCATTCGCTCACCTGCCCCGCCACCTAAGCGAGGATCATCGTGCATGTAACAGACATCTGGGCAAATTCACCGTGCCACGTGTAGTCTGCACTTGTGGGGTGCAAGCGCATTATCAGCCAGGCGTTGTTCGCCTACCCCACGTCAGTCGTTCGATCGTGTGGTTACCAAGCCACACTATCGAGCATGCAAGCCAGGTGCATGGAACGAACAACGGCCACACGAGTAGAACGAGCCATGCAGAACAGGCCCCAGCAAAGCACCATCACGGCCGCCAACCAAAGTTATAATCCGAGCAACAAATTCACTTCGGCATCGTTCTCACACACCCCAGCCTCCCACAATGCCGCGATTTAATCGTAGGGAGCAGCTCCCGCTCCATATCAAGCGCGCATTATGCCTTCACCACGTCGAAAACCCCCGCATGCGTCATGTTGACCTGGCACGCTGGTGTTACTCTCAGTACGGCTTGCGCCCGGACCGTTCCACTCCAGAATGCTCATCGGCTATGCACGCGCCGTGAGCGTGACGCCGCGCGACCTCTGCCACCTCTTCGACATACGCAACCCCATCATCATCGAGCGCATGGAGCGGGCAAGCCCCGCCTTTAATCCCAACATGGCCCCGCCACCCGTGCTCACACCGGGCGCAACGCCCACGCCCGACACCCCCCGTCCGCGCGGCCGTGTGCTGCCTGGCTGGATGACCCAGCCGTCCCGCCGTCAGCAGCTGCTCGACGCCGGTGTAGGCGCCGCGATGGGCGGGTACGTTGAGGCGGCTGAATGGATGCGCCTGTGAGTTGTGTTTGTGGCACCCTTTGCGTGCGTCGAAGGCATCCATGCTGTGCGGGAGTGTTCTCCCAACACGCACATTTGTACGTGTTTCGATGTGTGTAGAGGTTGGAGTTGTGGGGCCATGTGGGAGATGGTGATTGGTTAGGCTTTGTGGGTTAGATGTTTCAATCTAAGTTGGACATTTGATGATGCTGCTGGGTGGTTTGTTTTTGCTTTCGTGAAGTATCCAGTAACGTGCATTTGTGACAATGAGTGCCGACCGTCACTGTTCCGGAACAGACAAATCGGGTGGTAACCATGTTCAGGTTAGATGCACGCGCAAAGCCTGACGAAACGAACGAACCCCATACGAAATGTCGGTTTAGCATACAGACCCCCTTCACAAGGCAACCGGGAGGGGCTCTATCGAGCATTAGCTGTACTTCCCTCGATTTCCCTTCCACTTCGACTCTTGCTCTCCGCCTCATCCCCCGCCTTCCCTCGCCCCACCGAACTGTTCCGGCAGCCGAAGCATAAAGCAACTCCCATTTATCTTCATATCAGCTGTACGCACGCCTTAGTACTGTATCAAAACATTTATTTCCCCCCGTCCCCCCTCAACTAGCCCCCCACGATAACGCGCACTGAACACAGCAAAGTCCTTAGCGCTGTTTTGCGCCAAACCGTCAGTTCAGTATGACGACGACCGGCGGGATCAGAATCCTCCCTCTGGCATTTCTTCTCCTCGCGCTCTCGATTCAATCAACAGCGCACGCCAGGGGTCCCCCCGCGCCGCAGGAGAGCCTGGCGGAGAAAGCCGCGCGATTGCGCGCAGCAGCGGACAAGGCAGCCGCCGCTTTGGACGCCGCGCAGTCCGTCGTGGCCTCGCGGCTTGAGGCGGAGCAGGCGGCGGCCGCGGAGGTCGATGCAGCGCAATTGGCGGCGCAAAATGCGGCCGTGGCGTGGAGCACAGCGAAGCAGGCATCGGACGTGAAGAAAGTTTCCGCAACTAACTCACGAAAGAGCGCAAATGCCGCTAAGGCGAGCCTCGCTCCGATAAAGAAGAAGGTGGATTCTTACACCGCCGCGCAAAACAACGTCAAGACTGCGGAGAAAAACCTCGCGGACGCGACGACGAAGCGCCAGAACGCGGAGGCCGCCGCCGCCGCGCAGCAGAACGTCGCGACCAGCGCTTCCGCCGCCGCCACGGGCTTGAACTCGCGGAGCCCCGCGGCGCAGAAAGCGGCGAAAGAGCAGAAGAAAGCTGCGGAGCTTCAAAAGAACGTTCAATCCGCGACGAAGGAGGAGAGCAAGGCGTCTGCGGCGCTGACTAAGGCGCAAAACACCCTTGCTAGCGCCACGCTGACCCCGCAGGAGAAGGCGACGCTCGACGCGGCAAACGCGGCGGACGCTGCGGCGGCTCAGGCGGAAGCCGACGCGAGGGCGGCGGAGGCGGAGACAAAGGCGGCGGAGCAAGGCGTGAAAGCGGCCGCGGAGAAGGTCACCCGTGCGAAGAACAAGCGCGCCAAGGCGCAAGCTCTCCGCGTGGCCGCGGAGAAAGTGGCGGAGAAGGCGTCCGCAGATGCGCAGGAGGCGGAGGACCTGGCGATGGCGGCGGAGCAAGAGTGGGAGGCTTCGCAGACGCCCGCGCAGGGATCCGACCCCGCGCCTGGTTCGGACCCCTCTCCCCCTGGCGACGGTGGCGACGGCGACGGTTGCGGCGGTGGCGGCGGTCCCCACGGGGGGATGATGACGGCGATGAGGATCAGAACGAGGGGGACCACGGGCATGGGCATGGCGGGTGGGGTGGACAGGGCGGGAATGGCGGGAACGGATGGGGACAGGGCGGGAATGGCGGGAACGGATGGGGCAACGGCGGGCGTGGGGATCAGGGCCAAGGGCAGAGAGGTAACGGGAACGGGTACGGGAGGGGTGGAGGGTACGGGAAGGACTCTCTCGGGCTGCAATCCGTGCAACCGGGGCAGGCGACAGCGGGTGTAACGCCGTCTCTTAGCGCGGCAGTCCAGGCGACTCAGCAGCCGCAGGCCGCGGGGAGCCAGTCCCTACTGAGCTGGCTGTTCGGCTGATGTGATGATGGTCCGTGGTGTGGACATAATGGTGTTTAGGGCGTGGTCAGGTCATACATTACAGTTCATGCTTCGTGGCTCAGGATGGTTTTTTGTGGTGAAAAGTGGCTTTCGAGGTTTACTGTTTTGCACCGTGGCAGAATGATTTAGGCTGCAATAAGTACAGTGGATGTGCGACCTGACCACGCCCTTTCACGCTCAGCTAGATTGCAGATGCTGTTGGTGATTCTATCGTGCTTATAGAGTGCTCCCCTTGTGTTACTTGGAGAATGTTTTGTGTCAACACAACATCTACAATTGGAATACTCCAGCTAAGTCACCATGAAGTCTATCATGGAGCCCAAACCAAGCCAGTTCATGCTGCATTATGAAAGCTTACCATTTGGCTGCGGACTAGTCTAGCTGGAAGGTGCAGCCCACCCAAACTTGGTTCCATCACCACAAGCTGTTTGCTGCCTGGAGCCTAAAATTAGCGGCAATTGACATTAAACAGCGAGTAAGCAGGCTTGCCATGGGTCTTAGCTATCTGTTTGTTCAGTTATCAGCGGCATGGATATATTCCAGACACGCTCAGCTCATGGTCGGGGTTGTGACAGAATCTCCTTAGCAGTTAAAAATGTAGGTGTAACCGATTTTCCAGCCCGCCAAAGCAGACTGCTGATTTGTCGAGATTCTCAATCGAGGGACTCACCTGAGCGACCTGGGTGAAACTGTACCTTTGTCGCTTCATTGAGCTGCAGCTGACGTGGCCATGTAAATGTGCAGGTTCGACAAATAGTGCAATGCTTGACAAAAAGGACAATTTGGTCCCCTGGGGTCGGGGGTGAGAAAGGCCACCTGGCGTTTCAGTCACACTGAAACGTTTTTCGCCCATCTCGCTGACTGTTTCGTGAACCATTTTGTTTGCTATTACCACTTTTTGTTTAGTCGCCGATGCTTCTCGCCAATGATTTAGGCGAAACCAGTTCGCAGAAACCGTTATTTTTCGTTCCCCTCCAGTCCCCGTCTCCTCGAGCTCAACCTTTCTGATTCCTCAACCCAGTTTCGACCTATTCCAAGTCCAACTTTCTTGGCCCACCCCGCCTCTCCCGCTAGTTCTCCCCCCACCAACCTATTTCCTTGCTACCTTTTCGATCAGGCGTCATTGCAACATGTTGCTTTAGGTGGAATCTCTAATCAGATCTGGGCTTTTCCGGAATAGCAGTTTACAACGTTTAACAGCATTGTCCAATACATACTTAAACCACCCTCCTAGAAACCACAGCTGGCCCGACATGGGAACTTTACCAGTCCGACTCGTCACCACCTTCCTTTTAATCACCCTTCTAAGCATCGACTCGGCAGCGGCGTACGGCCGCTACGGAGCGCGTAAAGCTGAGACGCCCCTACAGAAAGCCGTGCGGCTCCGCGCAATCGCCGACCAAAAGGCGGCGCAGCTCGACGCGGCGGAGCAAATCGCGTCGCTGCTGCAGCAGCAGCAAGCCGACGCGCAGGATAATCTCGACACCGCGAAGACCGATGCGCAGGCGATGGCGGCATCGTGGGCGCAGGCGCGAACCGCTCTCGACAGCGCCAGGGCGGTGGCAGTGAGCGCGCGCAAGGCGGCTACCACCGCGCGGAAGACGGCGCCTGCGCCGGCGAAGAAGCGGTACGAGGGTTACTCCAAGGCGCAGGCGGCGGTAGCGGAGGCGGAGCGGAAATATAACGAGGCGAAGCAGAAGCGCGAGCAGGCGGACGCCGCCTATGCCGCCCAGCAAGATATCGTCAACCAGCTACAGCCGTCGAGCTACGGCTCGCAGGCGGGTTACGCGCAGGCGTATGGCGGCTCGTCGTCGTATAATAAGGAGCAGAAGAAGGCGAAAGAGTTGAAGAAGAAAGCCGACGAAGCGGCGAAGGAAGAAGCGAAAGCGGCGGCGAAATTAGCGGCGGCAAAGGCGGCGGCGGCGGCGCCGAGCGCGACGCCGACGCCGGACGAGCAGGCGCAGTTCGAGTCGATCCAGGCGGCGGAGGCGCTCGCGGCGCAGGCCGATGCGCAGGTGAAAACAGCGGAGCTAGAATTCGCGGCGGCGAGTCAGAGCATGAAGAAAGCCGCGGCGCAGGTGAGCGCGGCGAAAGAGCAACTCAAGGCGGTAAGCAAGAAGCGCGAATCCGCGGATAAGCGCGTGGAGCGCCTCGCGGCGGAGGCGCAAAAGGCGGACGAAGATGCCATGGCGGCGGAGCAGGAGGCGGGGATAAGCGCGCCCGGGTCGGACCCATCACCAGGAGACGACGATGGGAATGACGACGAGGGGGATGATAACGAGGATGGTGATAACGAGGATGGGGATTCAGAGGATGGTGAGCATGTGGGCGCGAATGAGTGGAAAGGGCTGGGCTCAGCTGCAGGTGCTACTGTAGCGCCGAACCAGGTGGGGCAGCCGTTGATGGTGCGGGACGTGCCTGTGCAAACAACGAGTCTGCCTGTAACGAGTACTGCTGCCGCCGAGATGCCACTAGCAGGACCGGAGCCCACACGACCCACGGCACCAAGCTATATGTTCTAAACGGGGGGGCGCAGGGAGGTGTGGGGGAGCGAGGTGACTTTTGAGTCGCGACTCGGAAGGTACTGCCGCCCAGATGCCTCAAGAAGGGCCGGAACCCACACGACCCACTGCGCCCAGCTACATGTCTAGATAGTTGGCGTGGGTGTGGGCATGGGGAAGGGGAGGGGAGGGGAGGGGAGAAAAAAACGGTAAATGTGGGGATGAAGGGGCGAGGACGGAAGGGTGAGAGCTGTGTGGGTGGGTGTTTTGGGGGCACCGTGGCAGGGGCACGAAGTTCTGTCCAGATTCCCAACCTGAGACAGGACCAGATTTTGTACAATGTTTTGTCTTGTTCTTTTGGTTTGGTTGATATTTCATCGAAGTGCATTGGCTGCATGGTGTGTACACGCTGCAAGTACATACAATCCATGTCTGTTTTTTGCTCTTAGTTTTCTTCTATTATTGGAACAGTTGTTGCACCTGCCACCTAGCCAGCCCACGATACTGTATAATCACTCAATCCTGCTGCTGCTCGTAAATCTGGATGTAAGCTTCAGAAAGAGCCACCATTTGAGGCAATGTCTCTGTCACATGCAGATCTTGCATCTCGTACCTGTGGGGTTCACATAGAGAGAAGAAACAGTGGAGGGAAGGCACATGCATGGTAAAGCTTGGGCATGTGTATCTGAAGTTACGTGTACCTCATGTGGGGAGAGACAATACTATTCTGTCCTGGTGAGGCCTGTCTCATCTCTGTAGGGAGACACCATGGTCCATCATGCCATGCACCACGGTTAGGTCGCGGCATGGCTTGTTCAACATGGCTCATGCAATACGGCATGTTCAACAAGACACCCACTCAGCAGTCTTCGTGAAGACAACTACTCACCACCACGCCTCCTCTGCACTGCATGAACACGCGGTACGAGCCCTACCCCGGCTTGCCACCACGCTGGCAATCAATCAGGCCACGGCTCGTTGGATACAGCTTGCCATCATGCACAATGCTGGCGATCAATCAGGCCATACATGCCTGTCTAGCACGACCCATTCAACAAGACACCCCAACCACTCACCATGCTTCCTCCGCTTTGCACGCACGAACGCACGGTAAGAGCCCTCCCCCGGCTTGCCGTCATGCACAATGTTGGCGATCAATGAGAGCATACCTGACTTGTTCAACAACACATCCGCTCACTCACCATGCTTCCTCCGCTTTCCGCTGCACGAATGCGCGGTACGAGCCCTCCCCCGGCTTGCCGTCATGCACAATGTTGGCGATCAGATCGTACTTGCTGCGAAGCTTCCCTCCCCCTTCCACCCCCTCCAGAGGCAGATAGTCCTTCAGCTCGAGGTTCTTCACCGGGAAGTTCACTGGAGGAGGAGGGAGGGGGGAAGAGAGCGGAACGAGGAAACGGGGAATGCATGCATAAGAAGGAGTTGTGTGGCACCCCCTCCACAGGCAGATAGTCCTTCAGCTCAAGGTTCTTCACCGGAAGTTCACTGCAAAGCGGGAAGGGTGGGAAGGGGGGAAGGGGAGGGGAGAAGGGAGGGAGAATTGAGGTGCCGCGCGCCGTTTTGAGCTATTTGAGATGGCAGATAGCCCTTCAGCTCTAGGTTCGTCACTGGAAGATTCAGTACAAACAAGTGGGGTACAGCACGGAACAAACGAGTACATGCGTACACGGACGAAAAACATTGCAGACAAAAATAAAGAGACAAACCCAGTCCAAAAAAAAAAAAAAAAGAGAACACGCTACGAGGAGGAGGGTCGCGTCGGACCAGGGAATGCTCACTCACCAAGCGTGGGGTTCTTCTCAATGAAGAAATTGTTCTTCTTGAATCGCTTCATATGGAGGATGAGGTACCGCGGTAACCGCGTGATCCGATACCGCATGCGGGCAGGATGCGGGCGCACCACCTCAGTCACGGTCTGCCCGTCAAACTTCTTCAAAATGTTGAACAGGGGAACCTGGGGAATAATATTCTTCTCCATTACGTCCTTAAAAAGCGGGGGAGGAGGCAAATCTAACCCCAGCATCAGAAACGGCATTCGGCTGACCTCCCTTTTCACCCCTTCCTCCTCCTTCTCCCCTTCACCCTCCCCCCCCTCCTTCCCCTCCTCCTCCTCCTCTCGTTTCCTCTTCTTTCCTTCCTCCCCACCACTGCTCTTCCCCGCGACCTCTTTGATCACCTCCAGCTCGCCCTGAAAGCACTCCTGGATTATGGAGCTTATACGATGCGCCTTTTTGCCCGCGGCTTTAGCTGCAGCAGCGGCGCTTTTAGCTAAGTCCGCGTGGAGAGTGTTTAGCAGCCAGGAGAGGAGGTCGAGAGGATCGGACTGCTGACCAATGAGGAATCGTTTCTTACTGGCGAGCATGATTGCTTGGAGGAATTCGTGAGGGCTGACCTGGCAGGACAAGAAGGGGAGAAAGGAGAGGTGCAGGGAGGGGTTGGGTAAGTCAAGGGGATTGGGTGAGTCAAGGTTGTCAAACAGCTGGCCAATGAGGAATCGCTTCTTGCTCGCGAGCATGATGGCTTGGAGAAACTCGTGAGGGCTGACCTGAAGGAACAGGACGGGAAGGGAAGAAGATGTGGGAAAGGGGGAAGATGTGGGGAGAGGAGGTCGAGGGGGTCGGATTGCTGGCCAATGAGGAATCGTTTCTTGCTGGCGAGCATGATGGCTTGGAGGAACTCGTGGGGGCTGACCTGAAGGGTAAGGGAGGGAGGGGGGAGAGGGGTGTAAAGGGCTGAGTCAGGGGGGTCAAACTGCTGGCCTATAGGGAACTGCTTCTTACTGGCGAGCATGATAGCTTGGAGGAACTCGTGAGGGCTGACCTGAAGGGTCAGAAGGGGAGAGGGGAGAGAAGCAGATGGGTCGGTCTGGGGTTTGGTGGACTGCTGGCCTGACCCATTCGTCTTATCCTCTGTGTCTGTGGCGGCCTTAGATGCGGCAGCAGCAGTTGGACTTCTCAAAATTCCCTCCGTTAGTCTGTCTGTACCCTCAAGGTCTTTGTCCCTTGAAGAGTTGACTTTTGAGTCGACTCAGAAGTCAACCCATTACACCTGTACCCTCCAGGTCTTTGTCCCTTGGAAACCTTTTCTGGTACATACCCCAGAGATACTTTTCCCTTGTACCTGTCCCTAGAAGGTCCCTCTGCCGTACCTGTGCCTGGTAAACTTCCAACATTGCCGTACCTGCCCTTTGACGTCTCTTGGGTGCCACACTTTGCGCACCAGCTCGCCAAAGCATCAAGAGATTGCGCAGCACTGTCACCGAAGGGCAGCTAAGTGAGAAAAGAGACGCCATTCAACGCACCTGCCCTTTGAAGTTCCACGGGTGCCACACCTTGCACACGTGTGACCAAGTGTGACCGAGTGTGACCGAGTGTGACCGAGTGTGAGACATAGTGATAGAAGAACACATGCTTTCAGTGTGCCACTACATGCACCGGTCATTTCAAGCTCCATTTGACGCACCTGCCCCTTCAAGTTGCGCGAGTGCCACACCTTTCGCACAAGCTCTCCAAAGCGGCGCACGAGGGCAGACGGCTGGGCGGCGGGCGAGTGGGAGGCGAGCTGAAGGTTGAAGGTATGTCTGCCGTACCCACCCCTTGATGCTCTCTTATCATTCGCACCCACCCCTTGATGCTCTCTTATCATTCGCACCCACCCCTTGATGCTCTCTTATCATTCGTACCTGCCCCTTGAAATTCCTCGGGTGCCACACTTTCCGCACCAGCTCTCCAAAGCGGCGCACGAGGGCGGAGGGCTGGGCGGCGGGCGAGTGAGAGGCGGGCGTGTAGTTGGCGGGGAGCAGGAAGAAGTTGCGGAGAGGCGTGACTCGCATGAGCGACTGGGTGATCACATTCACGTACCCCGTGTCCTTGATGTTGTTCAAGCCGACCTGGCGAGGGAGGGGTAAGGGGTGAACGGGGGGGGCAAAGGGAGTCACCAGAGAGGCGTGACTCGCATGAGCGACTGGATGATCACATTCACGTACCCCGTGTCCTTGATGTTGTTCAAGCCGACCTGTGAGGGTAAGGGGTGAAGGGGGGGGGGGCCAAGGGAGACACAGGAGGGAAGTGACGCGCATGAGCGACTGGATGATCACAGTCACATAGCCCGTGTCCTTGATGTTGTTCAGACCGACCTGAAGGGATGAGCGATGAGGGGAAGGGGGTACGAGGTAAGGGATGAGGGGAGACGAAAGATGGAGGAGAGGCGAAGGAGACAGAAAAAGCACCTCATTGCAAACCACCTTGAACCTTCCCAAAGTGCCACAGGAGGGAGGAGGAGCGAGGTGGAGTGGGATGCCCCAAAGGAAATGAACTCACCATGCCGGGGATGTAATTACTTTCGAGAATTCTCAAAGGGGAAGAAACCCACCATGCCGGGGATGTAGTCCGTGCCATCCAATGCGCGAGCCCACTGCTTGCTGCGATCAAACTGCTCTATCTGGGCGGCAGTGAACCTGGTCCACACAATAAACACCCACCACCACCTCTCTCCACCCCTCCTCACCACCCATCACCCATGTGTTGGACTGCACTCACCATGCCGGGGATATAATCCGTGCCATCCAATGCGCGAGCCCACTGCTTGCTGCACGGACATAGTCCTTTATGTTGCGACATGAGTTTTAAGCGCCTTCAAAGGACTCAGACTCACCATGCCGGGGATGTAATCGGTGCCGTCCAATGCGCGAGCCCACTGCTTGCTGCACGGACATAGTCCTTTATGTTGCGACATGAGTTTTAAGCGCCTTCAAAGGACTCAGACTCACCATGCCGGGGATGTAATCGGTGCCGTCCAATGCGCGAGCCCACTGCTTGCTGCACGGACATAGTCCTTTATGTTGCGACATGAGTTTTAAGCGCCTTCAAAGGACTCAGACTCACCATGCCGGGGATGTAATCGGTGCCGTCCAATGCGCGAGCCCACTGCTTGCTGCACGGACATAGTCCTTTATGTTGCGACATGAGTTTTAAGCGCCTTCAAAGGACTCAGACTCACCATGCCGGGGATGTAATCGGTGCCGTCCAATGCGCGAGCCCACTGCTTGCTGCACGGACATAGTCCTTTATGTTGCGACATGAGTTTTAAGCGCCTTCAAAGGACTCAGACTCACCATGCCGGGGATGTAATCGGTGCCGTCCAATGCGCGAGCGCACTGCTTGCTGCACGGACATAGTCCTTTATGTTGCGACATGAGTTTTAAGCGCCTTCAAAGGACTCAGACTCACCATGCCGGGGATGTAATCGGTGCCGTCCAATGCGCGAGCCCACTGCTTGCTGCACGGACATAGTCCTTTATGTTGCGACACGAGTTTTAAGCGCCTTCAAAGGACTCAGACTCACCATGCCGGGGATGTAATCGGTGCCGTCCAATGCGCGAGCCCACTGCTTGCTGCACGGACATAGTCCTTTATGTTGCGACATGAGTTTTAAGCGCCTTCAAAGGACTCAGACTCACCATGCCGGGGATGTAATCGGTGCCGTCCAATGCGCGAGCCCACTGCTTGCTGCACGGACATAGTCCTTTATGTTGCGACATGAGTTTTAAGCGCCTTCAAAGGACTCAGACTCACCATGCCGGGGATGTAATCGGTGCCGTCCAATGCGCGAGCCCACTGCTTGCTGCGGTCAAACTGCTCTATCTGAGCGGGGATGCAGTCACTGCCACATGGCACCCCTCACAACCCCTCAACGCCCCTGACAACTCACCACCCCCACTCTGTCTGTATCACAATTCACTCACCATGCCGGGGATGTAATCTGTGCCATCCAGCGCGCGGGCCCACTGCTTGCTGCGGTCAAACTGCTCTATCTGGGCGGCCGTGAACCTGGTGACGTCAGCATGACGTCACGATGAGATGCGGAGAGGGAAAAGGGCGAGAGGGGAAAGAGAGGGCGTGAGCAAGAGGAACACGTGTGGGATCAACCTTGGGACAAGTGTGCAACGCAGAGCAGCACTCAACAGAAGCTTATTACTTGCCTACGAGCACGTCACAACAGCACTCACCGTGGGTTGAGCACGCTTTTGATGTCATCCAGCGAGGGGTCCGAGACCTGATACCCATCAGGCAAGCAGTAGACCTTCTCGGTGTGCAGGTTGATGAACACGTGGTGGCCCGCGTCCACACTGTGCGTCACCGCGTGCGACGAGCGCGCGCGGCCCTGAAAGTACTTGCCGCACACCAGGCAGCCGTACACGTTGAGGTTAGATAAAGACACCGAGCAGAACTTCTCGAAATCAAAGTCCAGGAGCTGGGGAAGGTTGGGAGTGCACAGAGAGGGCAGCAGGGTCAGATAGCAGCAGTGGAAGCAGCGACGAGCGGCCCTCGAAGTACTTGCCACACACGAGGCAGCCGTACACGTTGAGGTTCGAGAGAGAGACCGAGCAGAACTTTTCGAAGTCGAAGTCCAGGAGCTGGCCGGGAAGAGGGGTTGGGGGTTGAGGGGTGGGGGACGGGTGAATGAACGGGCTGGCGGAATCGAAAAGCGACAGCGTGATTCTAAAACGGAGTTGTCAGAGTCCTTTCCTGGTGATCCGCAATTGTCCGCTCAGTGTGGAGAACTGACCCGCCGGTTGACCGTGTCGACATACCTGCCGGTTGACCGTGTCAAGGTACGGACACTCGCGTCGAACCTCCAAATGGCCTCGCCTTCCGCTCACGCGAATCTCGTCCCCCTCGTCGTCGTCATCCTCGTTTCTATCCTCCTCGTCATCTGCGTACTGCACAAGCCCTGAGTCTTTCGGATCGGTTTTGTCATTTGCGGATCGGTTCTTAGCTCCTTCCAGGTTGTGTGAAAAGAGCGACCTTGCTTCTGAACCAACCGCTGCTGAAACTCCGCCCAGACTAGCCAAATCTGCCATCAGCAACGAAACCGAGACGACAAACTCGTTGGTGGACGGAAAATACGGTTTCGTACGGTCGGGGGCAGCACTTCGAGGAAATTAGAAATTAGGGTTCACAAGCAGAGCTAGGGACGCTAGGACCGAAGTAGCTCCTAAATAGGAGCTGGTCGATGTAGATTCTTGGACTTGGAGAAAATCCTCTATATGGGCAAGATCGGTAAACTCTATTCCAGAGAGCTACATTTATTCCAGCACCTTCTAACATAATTCTATGTTTCGCCAGTTGGTGTTGGACAAAATTGTCGTCGATCATACGCCAGTTGCCCCACCTGAAGCTCCATGTTGCACCAGGCGCGGCGATCACCAGACCCGTTCCGCGGCGCTGGACCAAGCATGCCCAGGCCGACATATGCAAGGAAACTCGTCAGCTTGACCCGCTTTTGCTTAGGTGGCAAAATTTCATTGGCCTGAAAACTCACGTATGCGGGATGCGGTCGCACAAGGGCAGGTTCACCTCGGCCTTTTCAAACCTGACCAACAGCGAAAGAAAACCTGCGGGAGCTCTGCGCTTCGGGCTCTAACCTGCGGGACGAAAAGTCGCTCGCGGGCAAATGATTGGACAAGAGCTGCTATCCAGCCTGTCACGAAATCACGATCAGACATTGACGAAAGCTTTCCACGATCGCCAAAACTTGCTGAAGTTACTCAGGAAAGCAGATTAACGACTGTAAGTGCTCGAAGAACGAATAAACGGTTTGGATCTGCTATGATGTTCTCATTGTGGGCAAGAATCAAGGAACTGTTCTGGCACCTTGATGTTGGTTTGGGTTCCCCTACGCTGCTGCATCATCTCGTTGATCCCCCCTCCTCTCCTCTCCCTCTCCACCCCCACGTGCTTGGGAACTCACTACAGTACTGTCCCCGCAAGAATGCTGCTGAGCCGACCTTGAGCAGTATTTCCGAGCATGTTTGTTTATATGACTGTCTCTGAACAGCATGCCTGTGCTCATCCCAGCTTCTATCGCTGACTTCAGGTCTTCCGTCATCCTACCCCGAAGCTAGGGCGGAGCGCTGACGAGGTACTTATGTAGTCCCTTGCCAAAAAGAAAAAGAGCGGCATCTGCCTGGCTTTCTCACTTTCTCATGCCAAATTCCAAGGGATTTGTTGGCGGCAACCACCTCCGCTCTACGGCGTTCCCCAGAGCTATGGTGTCAAAGCCATGGCGAGGCTTGAGACATCTAGCTGTCGTCGTCACGCTCCTGCTCATGATAATCTGTCTCCAACAGACCGCATCGGAAGGTACTCATTATGGTCTCATCTTATATTCCTTTCTGCTGACATCACAAGTTCCTAGGTCAGACTGGTCCGGCATTCAGATTCTTTCTGCTTAAGAATCATGTTCCATACCCGTGCCAGCCTGTCATGTTTACCCATTCGTAGCTGAACTTCCTCCGGTGCATGCATGCACACGCAGAGCTCCCGCCGGTGGTGAGCGTGGAGAGCTTCGTGCACGCCGCGGACCACGACGGCGACGGCGAGATCGGCCCCGAGGAGGCCCACCAGGTGCGCGCGTCCGTCGCATCCGTTGCGTCCATCGCGGTCTTAATGATTCCGATCCCATTTCCAATCTCTGGTTGCACGGAAAGATGACATTTCTGGAAGTCTAATGCGATGAGGAATGTTTAGGGTTAAATTCGACATAGCTTGACGTTAATGAAAAGCTCACCCGGTTCTTTCGTCCCCTTTTTTTGGCAATAAATTATGAATGATGGATGATGGTTGATGGATGCTGGATGATGAATGATGGGTGGTGGATGATGGGTGGTGGATTACAGCTATGGGCGAGAGTGCTGGAGGAGGAGAAGCGATTCGAGGAGCAGGAAGCGGAGGCGGAGGGCGGAGAGCGCGAGCGCGAGGCGGGTGAGAACGAGGCGGGCGGCGGCGAGTCGAGCATGGCGGATCCCATGTCCGACCACCGGCTGGACATGTCGTTCAGCTATGGCGGCAGCAGCATCTCCACTGCCGAGATGAGCGTACGTTCAGCCATGGCGTGTAGATTCGTGTTAAGACGCGTCGAAGCGTATTCGAATGACGAGCTGTTTTGAGTCTGATCATGGCTGTATGATAGCATCACGTGCGTGTTTCGTTAGTTGCCACTGGAGTCACGTGGATTCCTTGTATTCCTTGTATTCCTTCATTCCGCGTGCAGGATCATCTGAGCCACATGCTGACAGGCGAGAAGGTGGTCGCGTGGATCATTCACGGCCTACGTCTCCCCCAGTACGCGGACGTCTTCAGGGCCAACTCAATCGACGGCCTGGATTTCCCCACGCTTATATCCGATAACGGAACGTTTCTTAAAGAGGACCTGGGGGTGAAAAGCGCGCTGCACCGGCATAAAATCCACACGGCGATTTTCCGCCAGGTGTTCGGCTTAGGGAAGGCGCCTGGTGCTCCCACCAACTTAGAGTGCGAGTCAGCTGGGTGTGGTGCCATTGCTGTTCAGTGGGACCCGCCAGCCAATCCTGGTGTGCCACCTGTCCACAAGTACCTTATCCAGAGACGCGTGGCAACGCGCGTGGCGTCGTGGAAGGACGTTGGGGACACGTCAGAAGACGCGTGGCTAGATTCGGCAGGATTAAAGCCGGGGACCGAGTACACGTATCGGATACAGGCGTGGGGCGGGCATGGGCCTTCGGAGTGGGTGGTGCTTGATCATTGTAGAGCGTTAGCTACTAGCGCGGATGGCTTTGCTTGCACTATGGGTGTGCAGCCGCAGCAGCAGCAGCAGCAGCACCACCACCACCAGCATCAGCATCAGCAGCACTCTTTGAAGTCTCCAGTTATGGAGCCACTTGGTAGACCCATAGCAGCAGGAGCAGAGGGGCACAGCCACCCGCATGGATCAGACGCAGTAGCCGTTTCTGGAACGGAGAAGGAGCAGGGATCGGTTGGGACGTGGCAGAAACGGTTGGAGTCGGTTGGGGGCACGGAGTACATCTTGAGCAGCTCAGCAGCGCAAGGACCAGGGGATAGAGCAGCAGTGGAAGTAGTACGAAGAGCGAGAGCAGGGGCGGCCGGACAGCAGGGCGGCGGGAGCGGAGCAGCACAGTCGGCAGAGCAAAGCGCGAAGGAGACGGCGCAGGAGGCGGAGAGGCAGGGGGGAGCGGGTTCTTCTTCCCCCCTCTGGAGTTTCATTTGGTCGGTCAACGGCGGGATTCTCGTGCTGGGGATTTTCTCCCGCCATAGCTTCTTCTTCCGCTTCGTCCTCGCGGCTGCCGCCTCCGCGCACCGCCTCCTCCGCCCGCTCGCCTCCGCGCTTTCCCCCTCCCCCGCCAGCCCCTTCCTCCTCGTCCGCGCCGCCGCGCGCGCCCTTCTGGGGCTCCGCGCGTTGGCTGCGCGCGCCTCTGCGCTGCTGCACCGCGTGATCGCTGTGCTGCTATCGCCTGGGGACGATGAGGGCGGGGAGGATTTTCAGCTGAGTCCGTTTCCCAGTGGTAGCAGAGCGGCAAGAAGGTGGTCTGACGGGTTGGGGGATCAGGCGGACGGGGGACTAGGAGCGGGTGAGGACAAAGCGTTGGGGAAAGCGGGGGAGGCAGGGGGACGCGGGGTTAGAGGGGGGTGGGGTGGCGGTGGGGGAGAGAGTTTGGCTGCAGGGGGGGGATGGGAAGAGGGCAGGGAATGAGGCGTGTGGTTCGGAACAGGTCGTACGATGAGCTTTCCGGGCGGCAGGAAGGAGAGGCGTCGTTTGGCAGTAGCGAAGGGGGTATGCCGCGGAATGGGCTGTTGGCTAGGGGCGGGCATGAGGGGGCAAGGGAGGCAGGCGGAAGGGCGTATCGTGCGGGTGAGTGGGAAGGGGAGGAGGGGGAGGGAAGCGGGTGGGGGGAGAGCGGGCGGGTTCAGGAGGTGGCATCAGATGAGGACACGGAATCAATGAAGGCTGTTAGCTTCAAATACAGGTGTAACGCGGAAGGCTGTCGCGTGCGGTTTGATCGCTGGTACACACTAGACGGGCTGAGGCACAGCATTCTGAAGCACTACTGCCGCGAGTGCCAGGGCGTGTACTGTGTGCGCCACACGCGCATCTCCCCCCACTCCTCCCGCACCCAGTGCGGGCTAGACAGCCACTGCCTCTGCTTCTCCTGCTACGCGCGCCTCCCTGCGGAGCTGCAGCTTCGGGCCGAACGCATCAACAAGCTTCGGGTGGGGCCGGCGGCTGGGAGTGGGAGCAGCAGCAGCGCCAGCTTGGGGAGTAGCTTCGGCGGCAGCGGAGGGGGCGGAGGGGGGCGCAACGGTGGGGGGAAGAACGGGGAAGGGGTTTTAAACAGCAGCGGCAATAGCAACAGTTTTAGCAGTTCAGGTTATGGCAGCAGTGGTAGTACTCGTGCTGGTGGCAATGGCGATGGAGGGAAAGGAGTGGGAGGGAAGATTTCTCCCTCTAGCAGCTGGATGACTCTTCTGGGGCGCCGGAATAACGACAAGAGCAGTGGGGCGGAGAAGAGCAGTAAGGAGAGGCATGTGGGTGGGTCGTTGCCAGAGAGTGCAAGCACATCAGGCTCGGATGAGTCTCACGGCACAGCTTCAGGTGGAGCAGGGGCAGCAGGAGCGACCGGGGTAGCAGGGGCAGGAGGAGCAGGAGGAGCGGTAGGAACGGGGGTGTGTGGTGTAGGCTCAGCAGCAGCAGCAGAAGCAGCAGGGGAGGAGCAGGATACGGGCATGGTGGAGCTGTCTTTAGCAGCAGGTGACGCAGCAGCACATGTTCTGACCTCTCCGCGACCTCTTAACCAGACAGGGAGCCTTAAAGAGAGGAGGAGAGGGGCGGGGGGAGGCGCAGGGGGAGGGATGGTTATGAAGAAATCGCTTTCATTGGCTGCTGGGGTGGGGTTCAATGGGGCTGCTGACAGGGCCGTGCAGGGAGATACGTTTAGGAAGGATAGCTTGCAGCCGCAGCAGCAACAACAACAGCAGGAGCAACAACAGGAGCAGCAGCAGGAGCAGCAGCAGCAGCAGCAGCAGCAGCAGCAGCAGCAGCAGCAGCAGCAGCAGCAGCAGCAGCAGCAGCAGCAGCAGCAGCAGCAGCAGCAGCAGCAGCAGCAGCAGCAACAGTCCCCAGCGCTGTTCTTTGTAGGCTCTGCAGCCGACCTCCTGCCCGCTGCCTCTCCCACCTCTCCAGGTCCCTCCAGTGGCAGCAGCAGGGCCACAAGCGAACCACACGTGGGGGGTGCTACCAAGAGCCCGGGAAGAGTAGCTTCCGGTGCAGCTGATCCCGGGGGTAGCCCGCAGCAGGGTGAAGCAGTAGCATGCCTGACTGGACGGGAGCCTTTGGCCAAGCCTGCTGTGTCAGACCCCTGCTGTGGCAGCTTGACTTCTGCTGCTCGTCCCGCCTCTAGTTTGGAGGCAATACCCGCTTGCAGTGATTCGGTAACAGAAGCAGGAGAATCAGCAGAAAAGGCCGAAGGAGTCGCAGCAGCGGGTGCTAAATTTGTCAAGTCAGAATCAACTTGTTCGCCAGGGGAGGGAGCAGGGAAGCGAGGTGAGGTCAGTGGAAATGGTGGTATCGACTGGGGGCGAATAGAACGCTGCCCCAGCCATCTCTCCCGCTCCCGCTCCTCCCGCTCCGCAGACGAGGTAAAGCGGTCCCCATCGCCGTTCTCCAAGGCTCTCTCTCCTTATAACGAGTTGCCTTCTGAAGGGGCGAAGATGGGAAGCCGGGGACGGGGAGATGGGACAGGGGGAGGGAGTAACTGGTTCTGGTGGTACAGGCATGGGAGGCATAGGCATGCGCACGGTCACAGGGAGGAGCTGAAAGGGTCTATGTCCCCAGCACTTGCCTTTTCAGGGATGTTCACTAGCAAACGGAAGTTTAAGGAAGGTGGGGGAAAGAGCACATTGGGTTCGGACAAAGGGAGGGGGGAAGGGGAGAGAGGGGGACAGGAAGAAGAGGGTGAGGTGGGAAGTGGTGGGTCAAGAGGAGAGGGGATAGAGAGAAGGCATACAGTGGAGGGTGGGGAGGTTATGGGATGGAGAGTGGTGGAAAGTGATTCAAGAAGAGGCAGGTACTTTTCGTCTTCGCCTGCACAAATGTTCCAACAGGGTAAACCACCGTCACCGCCATCGCCCACACTTCAGTATGCTGCTTACAGTGGCTCTGAGAGTGAAAGAAGCTGGAAGAACCAGGGAAGCAGATCGGAAGGGAAACTGGGAAAGGCTGGTTCAAGACAGTGTATACCTGAGCAAGAGGAGCTGCAGGAGGAGTTGCTCGGTAGAAGAGTGCAAGGGGAGAAGGAGCAAAGCGGTAAACATTCTAAAGGTAGGTTTGCGCTTCCGAAAAAGAAGAATATTCCTCACAGGTCCTGGCAAGACAGAAAACAAGCAGACATAAGTTAGTTGCTTGAAACGATTTCCTCCTTTATGATTTAGGTGGAATCTATTGTTGAATGCTATTATAGCTCAAGAATAAAATGCGCCATGCCTGTAGCTAAAATGCGCCATGCATGTAGCTTAGCCTCTATCACCATAACATAGGTTGGATGAGAAAGAGAACCAATTTTCTGTGGGTACATACATATGTAGGTGTTGGTGTAGTGGTGGACCCTTCACTGAGAAGCTTCTTCGCACCACGTCCCCCGCCCCGTCCTCCGCCATTGGTCACACCCGTGCGCCTCCCTCCGCCAATCACCTCCCGAGCCCCGAACATCCCCCGCAGTGCTGTGCAGCGGGCGCCAATCGCTGCCTCGTTCTCTGCGGACTCGCAGCTTCCGCCCTATTCCCCTTCTCCTTGCCGTCAGGCATCGCACTGCGATGGAACAAGTATGGTACTGGACTGCACCGTACTGCAAAGCACTGAAACCGATTGCAATACATTGCACTCACTGCACATGCCCGACCTGTCCCCCGTGCAGGCCACACAAAAATGATGCTCTGTGTTGAAGTCAGTGGCACTGCATGTGTTTCACTGTTAGTCCTTCACTCGCCCTAATCTCCCCTATGGCTGCCTGCCTGGCTGATCCTTGCACAGTTTTAGTTTACGCCTAGATAAGCCTGATTGTAGCTGTTGGCCGTACCTCTCACTTGTTGTGCGAGTCGGAGCTGCAGCAGGCGAAGTGTGGCGTAGCGCGCGGAGCGAGTCGGTAACATGCTTCGACCTAAGTTTTTCTTTACGGTTTATAAGAGCGTTCGCGCCGTGATAGCAGCCAGCGGGTCGCAAGCTCCTAGGCCGCCGTTAAGCGACTCGCAATCGTCGCAATTCCTATCTATTTCGTCGCACACACCATCGTTAGAGTCGTCCTCACCTGCGAATTCGTCACAACCACCGTCGCAACCACAATCTTCGCCACAACCACTGCCGCAACCGCAATCCCCAAGTGCTCCCGCCGTTCGATCCGGTGGGAGCGAGCCTCCTACCGAGACGCCTCAAGACGCTAGCGGGTCGTACGCACTATACAGTGCTCCGAATGCGGGGCCTTCCGCCCCTGGGAACGCCGAGCAGGAATGTACAGCGGCCCTGGGAGCTCCGGTTACAGTGTTACCACAGAACGAGGTTGCGAATAAAACATCGCAGAATCAGCAGATTGTGACAAACTCGCGCGAGCAGCAACCGCAGCAGACGCAGCAGGCGCATCGAGTGCATCAGACGCAGCAGGAGCAGCAGCGTAGCTTGCTCTTAGCACGCCCGCCATTCCAAGCAGCCATGGCGGCAGAAACCGCGGCAAGCAGAAATGCTCCACCAGCAGCGCTAGTAGCCCCATCAGTGGCCGCTATTGGCGGCGGTATTACCCCCCATCAGACCTCGCACCATCCCTCCGCTCACCATGCCTCCTCAACCTCCTCTGCCTTCCTCCCGTCCTTTCGGTCCCTCGCCTCCTCGTTTAAGAAGCTCTTTAAGCGCCGCTCGCCGGCCGAACCTGTGCTGCAGCCTCGGCAGGATGACGTGGCCGGTTTGGTTGCCGAGGCTACCCAACAGGCTCGGCAGCAGGCTGCAACCGAACTGGCTGCCGAGCCAAGCTCGCAAGAAGGAATTTTCAGCAGAATCAGCAGCGCCGCGGGCAATTTTTTTATTCATCCGCCCAGATCGCCGCAACTCGCTTCCAGCCTGGCAGATGCGACAGGCACTGCCGGCCGGAGGCCGCACGTGGGGGTGGTGGACGGGGGGCTGGCGCAACGTGCGGGGATGCAGCAAATGGCGGAGAGAGTCGCGGAGAGGATAGAGGGGAGGGCGATGAGCAGGGGAGCGGAAAGAGGGGAGGAAAGAGCGGGGTTGATGGTCTTCGATATGGTGCAGCACAGTGGGACGCGGGGTGTGGGATATGGACAGGTGGAGGGGAGGGGAGGGGCGGAAAGAAGAGTGGAGGCGGCAAAGAAAGGGCGAGGGCAGTGGCGGAAGAGTGGGAGCAGCAGCTCTTTAACTACTTCTAGTCATGCTAGTGGTAGTGCTGCTGCTGCTGCTGCCGGAGGTAGCAGTGGTGGTGTTGCTTACGCTGGTGCTCGTGGTGCAGGTGTCGGCAATGCAGTTTATCGTACTCGCACGCTCAACTTGTATGCAGCCCCGCCAACGCCTGCTTCAGGTGCTGCTTCAGGTGCTGCTTCAGGTGCTGCCTCAGGTGCTGCCTCAGGTGCTGCCTCAGGTGCTGCCTCAGGTGCTGCCTCAGGTGTTGCCTCAGGTGTTGCCTCAGCACCAGGTGCTGCTTCAGGTGCACCTGGGGCAGGAGTTGCGCCGCAATCTCCGCTCCAGCAGGGGTACAGGGGGGGGTATGTGCAGCACAGGCAGCAGGCGCAACGGGGAATGGCGCAGCAGGGAGTGGCGCAGCAGGGCATGGTGCAGGCGCAGGGGTCTGGGGGCGTGGGGCATGTTTGGCGGCCGGGGGAACACATTCCAAGGGGTGCTATTCCAACGCCACGTGTCCCAGCGCCACGTGTACCACCACATGTCCCAGCGCCACATGTATCAGCGCCACGTGTACCAGCACCACTTACCGCATCAGCACCGCCAGCAGCACTGATCGCAGCAGCACCAGCAGCAGCAAGGTCACCACCGGCAGCAGCAGCAGCATCACCTGCTGCTCAGGGCATCGCTGTTGCTGCTGCTCCTGCTGCTGGCCCTGCTGCTCGCGCTGCAGCAGGCGCCGCAGCAGTGAGAGCAGCGGGGCCGAGGGGAAAGAGGGAGGCGAGCAGGGAGAAGGACAGAAACATGGTGGCCTTTCTTCTCAGCATGCTTACATCGCTCCAACCTTCCCCGCCCTCTGCATCCGCCCCTCCTCCCTCCACTCCCCCCGTGCCCACTTCTCCTGCCTTCGCCCATCCTCACCCGACCAGTAACCCTGCTTCCCCCTCCTCGCTCCCTCCTCCTCCTCATCCTGCCGTCTCCCCCACTCACCTGGGGGTGCGGGACGGGCGATTGAGCATGGAGGAAATGTTAGCGCGGCTGCAGCAGCAGTGGCAGGCGCACCGAGCAGCAGGCACCGCCGCGAGCAGCAAAAACGGCAAGAAAAAGAGCAAAAAGAGGGCCGGAGCAGCATCAGCAGCAGGGGGGGAGATGAGCAGAAACGGACAACAGGAGCCAGCAGGCGTGCCTACAGGGAGCAATCCCGGTAATCCAGGCAGGAGCCTGGGGAGCGTGCGGACGTTTCACGTGTCTGAAGCGCTCAAACACCTGTGGGACGCAGACGCGGGTCTGGCATTGTTCCGGTGGGCCAAGGACGTGCAGGGAGTGACGCCGGACGCTTATGTGTACTCAACGCTCTTCGGGCTGCTGGGTAGGGGGCGGGACGCGGCGAATCTGGCGCGGGTGGCGCAGGAGATGAGGGAGGACGGGTGTGAGCACAATGCGGCCACGCTGCAGTCGCTGGCGACGGCGTATGGCCGTGCTGGGAGATGGGATGAGGCGCTCGCAACGCTGGCCATGAAGGGTGGTGATGGGCAGAGCGTGCCGCATGATCCCACTCTGATTGGGTGAGTGTTTGGTTTGATGTGCCATGACATTTGCAAACACGTGATATATACCTCTCACCTTCCTACGTTTCTGCCCTCTTCCCTTGTCTCGCCTGTCCCCTCAGCCCCCGAGTGGACGCTTTCTTCTGCATCGGCCGCTACAGCGACATCATTTTTAGACTCCTATGAACTTGATTAACACCTCTCACCCCCCCACTTGTCTCTCCTGTCACCACAGCCCCCGAGTGGATGCTCTCTTCCGCATGGGTCGCTACAGCGATGCCATCACAGATTCACTCCATATCTCCCCTCGTGTTTACCCTCTCACCACAGCCCCCGAGTGGATGCTCTTTTCCGCATGGGTCGCTACAGCGACGCCATCACAGCATTCACCGATCTGCGCAGCGCGGGCCACGTGCCTGATTCCTTCGTGTACAACACCGTGCTCACCTGCTACGGCCGCGTGGGGAACTCAGTTGGGGCAGAGGAGGCGTTCAAGGACATGATTCGCCATGGCGTGCCCCTGGATGTGCGGTGTGCCAACAGCCTCATGGATGCGTATGGGCGGACGGGGCGGGTGGATGATGCTATGGCTGTGTTTGACCGCATGTGCCTCGCTGCTGTTGCTGCTGGTGGGGCTGCTGTTGCTGCTGGTGGGGCTGCTGTTGCTGCTGGTGATGGGGCGAATCATGTGAACGGACGTGGAGGAGGGGGAGGGAAAGGGAGTGGAGGTGGGGAGGTGGGACATGCGAGGGATTGGGGGGGAAGCCGCAGCAACGCTCATTTGCCTGGTGCTGCTGCTGCTGCTGTAGCAGGGATACCTCCGCTGAATCCCCACGTTGCTGCTGACAATGCATCCACGTTACATGGGTCAGCAGCACGAGCTGTATGCACCAGCGCTGCTGCAGAAGCAACACCCATTGCACCAGCACCACTCTCCACCACTTCCACCACTGCCACCACCGGCACCATCACCAGCATCCCCATTTCCCGCGCCTTTGTATGGCCGGCACCAGATCAAATCACGTACAGCTGTGCCATCCACCTTCTCAGCATGGCCGGGCGGCTGACTGAAGCAGAAGAGACCTTCAATGCGATGCTTGTAGCGGGCATGCGTCCCGACAGCATCACATGGGCCACCATGGTGCAGATGTGGGCCAGGGAGGCGAATCCGGAAAGAGCGAGTATGTGGTTCCGGCGCATGGCAGCGGCGGGATGTCGGCCGGAAACCCCCGCGTACAACTCGCTCATGTGGGCGTTTGTGGGACGGGGCATGTTCGACGAGGCTGGGGAGGTGCTGAGGGCGCTCAAACACGGCTGGGACCTGCTGGGGCCAGCAGAGATGCTGCAGGGGCGATGGGGGGAAAACCTGCTGGGGCCAGGGGAGGAACAAGAGGCGAAGCAAAGCGGATCTGGCAAGTCAGTGTTCGGGTGGCTCAACCCAGGTGGAGCAGGCCAAATAGGCCTCGGGAGTGTCCGCAATGGTGCTGTTGCCGGTGTGGTTTCGCAGAGTAAAGCGGGGAGTGGGAAGCTTGAGGTGGCTCCGAACCTGATGACTTACACCACGTTTCTGAGCAAGTGTACGAAATCTGTCGCCCGCAGTGACGTGGCACGGCTGCTGCGGCTGATGGAAGAGACAGAGCATGTCGCCCACGCTGTGTTCCGACTGCTCATGGAGGAGCCGTTTGGGTCCACTCACACACTGCTGCCAGCAGGTGCTGAGAGGGATAGTGAGAGTGTTCCTTTGAGTGATGCTGCATGTGAAGCTGGGAGTGCTGCTAGTGATGGGGAAACGAGAAGGTGTGAGGGAGAGAGTGAGGGAGGAAGGTGTGAGGAAGTAGGATGGGCCGCTGTCCGTGGAATGATGGAGAGGGGGCTGGTGGAGGTGGAGGTGAGGGGGGTGGTGGGGGAGTGGGAGGAGGAGCGGTGGCAGGAGGTAGAGAGGAGGATGAGAGGGAGTGCGTTCAGTCAGTCAAGTGCCGAATCCCAGCGTGCCTTTGCCGATGCCTGCATTGCCTTCTTGCATAAATTCGGGCGGCATGAGCGGGCAGCCCGCATGTGGGACCTCTGCCACACGCGGCTAAGGCTCTACCCTTGCAGCATACAGCTGCCTGCAATATCCGGGCAGGGCGGAGAATGTTTTGTGGATCTTCACGGCATGTCAGCAGGGACAGCAGTGACAGTGACCAAGTGGGCGTTGGAGAAGATGCGGCAGGCTGTGGTGGCCTCTGCTGCTTCAGGAGCTGCTTCAGGTGCTTCTGCTGCTTCGTCCTCTGTTGCGTCAACCGTTGCTATTTCATCAACTGCTGCCAATCCAACAGCAAGTGGAGAAACTGTTGTAGGGGCAGTACAAGGAGAAGAAGCACTTGTAGAATCTTTATCACCATCAGAATCAGGAGCAGCAGAATCATCGCCTCTGCATGAATCAACACCAGCACACCGCTTGCAGTGGCAGCAGCCATTAAAGGTAGCGGTGGTGACGGGGTGGGGCAAGCGCAGCCGGGTGCAGGGGGCGTCGCTGGTGAAGGCAGCGGTGGAGGCGCTGCTGCTGAGGGACCTCACAGCGCCCTTCTCCCTCCACCGCTTCCACCCCGGCTCCTACGAGGCCCCCGGTGCTGACCTCGAGCAATGGCTGCTCACGCCAGGTGTCGACCAGCTACTGGCTGCTCGGGACGAGGGCTGAGAGGAGTTTTAAGAACAGTTAACCAGTCTGCAACCTCGCCCTCTTTGATCCCTAGTCAATCACCGTTTTGCATCAATGGTCGGCGTGACTCACGGCCCGGTGCCAGGCTCAGATCAGACGGCTCAAGTGCCCTTTGCGAGAGGAAGATTTTATTCTCAGCTGACCTGCTGCCACCATCGTGGAAGGGGTGATGGTAGAACGTTTGTAAGGGCAGAAGGGAAAAGCCTTGATGCCCAGAGGGTGTTTGTCTTGCTAGGAAAAGCCCTATCTGTGGATTGTCAATCTCAGCCCTTCATGTAAAAAGCTCAGCTTGTGGTTGTAACAGTTATATGTAGTCGCGCTTGTTCACTCGCTGAACAGCCATTTCCGCCAAAGCCAGTTCTGATCGCACTTGCATTAGCCTTCGCCAAAGCCAGCAGTTGTTGTTCATCTTCGCGGCGCGAATTCAGCCAATGCAGCAGCGGATCAAGGCTCGTGCTGCAGTGCTAGTAGGCTGGTAGCATGCTTCGGCCTAGGTTCCTATTCACGGTTCGTAAGGGCGTTCGAGCAGTCTTAGCGGCCAGCGGGTCACGCGATTCTGAACCGGCCTTGACCGACGCTTACCGGTCGCAACCCCTATCTATTCCGTCGCACCTGTCGTCGCTTGATCGGCTCTTTTCTGCGAATTCGTCGCACGGACGGCTTCCGTCGCAACCGTCGTCGCACTGTCTGTCGCAACGGCAATCGCAAGCGGAACACGCTACTGGCGATCCTCGTTCTGAGGCGTCCCAACACAATGATCGGCGGCCGTACGCGGTAGAGAGCGCTTCAGATGGCGGACTGGCAGGTGCGAGGGTGGCACCGGGAGTGGCGGCAGCAGAGGCAGAGACGAGCTATGGAGGGGCGACTAGGTTGCTGAGAGAACCTTGGGCTAGGGAGGGTTTTAGTGGGAAAGAAGGCAGAGCGCCGGGCGGGAGGGGAAGAGGGAGAGGGAGAATGGGAAGGGGAGGCATAGGCGGCATGGAATGGCAAGCAGAGGAGAGAGCGTTGAGGGAGAAGAGAGAGGCTGAGATCCCAGCACAGCGACAGGACGTATCAGCAGCTGCTGCTGCAGGGGAAATTGCGGGTAGCAGCGGAAGGAGAGAAGCGCAGCGGGAGAGGGAGAGCAACATAGTGTCTGTCATTCTCAACATGCTCAAATACATTCAGCCTCCCCCTCCCGCTGCTTCCCCTGGCACTCAAATGACAGGGGTGCAACGGAAGGGCAGAGGGGGAAGATTGGGTGTGGATGAGATGGTCGCGCGGCTGCAGCAGCACTGGCAGCACTGGCTGGCTCGCAGCAGCAGCAGCAGGGTGCGTCGCAGACACACGATGAGGAGAAGCAGAAGCAGCAAGAGCTGGGACGAGGAGGGCATGGGTATTAGAAACCCTCATTGGGACGAGGAGGGCACAGGCACAGGCACCAGCAGCAGTCACCGTGGAGGGTCCTTCGAGGAGGTGAAAAAGCCGCAAGGGAGGAGGGTGACGGCGTATCACGTGAGCGAGGTGCTCAAGGCTCTCTGCGACGCTGACGCGGGCCTGGCGTTGTTCCGGTGGGCGAAGGACGTGCAGGGAGTGACGCCCGACGCGCATGTGTACTCGAGCCTCTTTGGGCTGCTGGGGCGATTGAAGAACGCTGCTGGACTGGAGGGGTTGGAGGGGGAGATGAGGGAGGATGGGTGCGGGGAGAATGTGATCACGCTGCAGGCGCTAGCTGCTGCGTACGCGCGTGCAGGGAGATATGAGGAGGCGCTTGCGACATTGGATGAGATAGAGCACAAGGATGATTCGCTCAGCCCGTTCTCGTTCGGGTATGTAAAAGAACTGCCGGTCAGATATCCTAGCTGCTTGCAACGTACCTTCCTTACCTCACCAAAATGGATACACTCGCGCGCTCTTTCTCCATTGTCCTGCCTCTTCAATAGAGGGTGTATACCTATGAGGCGCCTGAGAAACATATGCTTCCTCGCCCCTCCCATATCCATCACAGCGTGCGAGTGGATGTGCTATACCGCATGGGGCGCTACCGGGAAGTGATCAAGACGTTCCACAAGATGCGGGAAGCAGGCTATGCCCCCGATGCCTTTGTCTACAGCACAGTGCTCACCTGCTACGGCCGCCTGGGGAACATCATTGGCGCCGAGCTGGCGTTGAGGGAGATGCTCTCCCAGGGGATGCCGCTCAGTGTGTTCTGCGCCAACAGCCTCATGGATGGGTATGGCAGGGCTGGGCGGGTTGATGATGCCATGGCTGTGTTTGACCGCATGTGCCTCGCTGCTGTTGCTGCCAGGGGTAGCGAAGGGAGGGAGGGTGATCAGGAGGAAGGGGTTCCTGCCGCTGCTGGTGCTGGTGCTGCTGCTGCTGCTTCTATTGCTGGTGCGCATGATGCATCTGGGCGGGCTTTTCTGAAGGCCCCAAATGGCTTGAAAGTTCCTGCTTCGTTACCTGGAGGTGCAACAGCAGCAGCAGGAGCAAGAGCTTCTTGCACCAAGGCTGCTGCTGAAGTGATGATAGCTGCACCAGCGCAACATCTCACTGCCACCACCACCACCACCTCTCCTCGTTCCCCTCCCTCCATCTGGCCGGGCCCAGACATAAGCACCTACAGTCTGGCGATCCACCTCCTCAGCACGGCAGGGAGGTTGTCCGAAGCAGAAGACACCTTTGAAGCGATGCTGGTGGCGGGTATAGAGCCGGACATCGTAGCCTGGTCCACCATGGTGCAGATGTGGGCCAGGGAGGCGAATCCGGAGAGAGCGAGTATGTGGTTCAGGCGCATGGCAGCGGCGGGGTGTCGGCCGGAAACCCCCGCGTACAACTCGCTCATGTGGGCGTTTGTGGGACGGGGCATGTTCGACGAGGCTGGGGAGGTGCTGAGGGCGCTCAAACACGGCTGGGACCTGCTGGGGCCAGGGGAGGAGCAGGACGAGAATCAAATCAGTATCGGTTCAGCTTATAAGAGGCCCGACAGCACTGATGGGCTGGTAGAAAGCAGTGGGAGTGAAGGGGCTGCAAAGGTGGCGGATAAAAGATCCAACTCCACGAACCTGCCCAATTCCGCGCCTGGCCTTGCGCCGAACCTGATGACGTACACGATGCTGCTGAGCGCATGCACGGTGTCTAACGACCGCAGCGAGGTGATGCAGCTGATGCGACTCATGCAGGCCACAGGGCATCCCGCCCACTCCGTGTTCCAACTGCTCATAGAGGATGCTATCGAGCATCCCTCTCATGCCATTGACAAGCTGCTTACTGAGAGCTCCTTCGAGTCGATCCCCAAGACGGTGGTTGAGAAGGCGGGGAGTGGTTTGGAGGGTGATGGAATGGCGAAAGAACCGGAAACGGGAATTGCTGAGACGAGAGGGGGTGAGAGGGCAAGGGAAGAGGGTGGTGATAGGGAAGTGGGGAGGAACGGAGTTGGAGGGGTAACGAAGAGAGGTTTGGTGGAGGTGGGGGTGAGGGGATTGTGGGGGAAGTGTGAGGAGTGGTGGAATAGGGTGGTGGGTGGGGAGGTTGGGAGTGGTTTGGAGGGTGAAGGTTCGGGGGTAGCAAGGAAAGGGGAACACGGTGACACGAGGAGATGGGGAGAGGGAAATAGTGAGGAGTGTGATGATAGGGAGGTAGGGAGGTGCGCAATTGCACGGGTGTTGGACAGGGGATTGGTGGAGGTTGAGGTGAGGGGAGTGTGGAGGGAGTGTGAGGAGGAGCGGTGGAGGGAGATAGAGAGGAGGATGAGGGAAGATTCGTTCACCAAGGCAGATATGGAGTGCCAACGTGCCTTTGCTGACTCTTCCATTTCTTTCTTGCATAAATTTGGGCGGCACGGTTGGGCAGCCCGCATGTGGGACTTGTGTTACACACAGCTGCAGCTGTACCCGAACAGTGTTCGGCTGCCCGCGATTTACGGGCGGCATGGAAGGTGTTCGGTGGATCTGCATGGCATGTCGGCAGGCACGGCAGTGACAGTGACCAGGTGGGCGTTGGAGAAGATGCGGCAGGCTGTGATGGCCTCTGCTGCTTCAGGTGCTTCTTCAGGTTCCTTTGATTCATCGTTGGGACCATCGAAGTCGACAGTCGCAGGAAAAACCGATTTAATGGCAGAGGCAACGGATTCAGAAGAGGAATCGGAGGATGATGACGAGGGAGCTGCATCAGGAGATATGGACCCAGCAGGGACATCGTTGAACGAATCACGGCTGACATGGCGGCGGCCGGGGAAGGTGGAGGTGGTGACGGGGTGGGGCAAGCGCAGCCGGGTGCAGGGGGCGTCGCTGGTGAAGGCAGCGGTGGAGGCGCTGCTGCTGAGGGACCTCACAGCACCCTTCTCCCTCCACCGCTTCCACCCCGGCTCCTACGAGGCCTCTGGTGCTGATCTTGAGGCCTGGCTGCTCACGGCAGGTGTCGAGCAGTTATTGGCTCCCCGGGACCAGGACTGATGCAGTACTGGGCCCGTTGACCAGTCACAGTAGCACGTGTGGGAGTTCTCTAGGTGCATTGCAGTAGCAGCAACCGCACAGGGTGATGCGTAGAATGAATGCACACAGCAACCACTTGACCAGGCCCCTAGATTCGTTTTGTTTGAGGCACCCTTATCGATCAGTGTGCACCCCTTTTGGAACTCTTTGTGTGTCAGCATTGCCTCAAATTTTTAGGCTGAAAATTCAGACTACACTATTATTTTAGGCCGAAGTTTCAAGAATAGCGACAGAACCTTGGGAGTAGAACACATTCCCTGCTGTGCTATTTGAGTGTATGCATAGCAATTTCCAGAGCCGACAAAAAGCCAGACACGCTGACTGCATGGTGTAGAATTAACTGTCATAACAAACAAACGCCCGTAGTCTGGTGCCTGTGCAGGGACACATTTTCGCGTCTGGTTCATGTGAAGAAGCAGGGAAGGTAGCCCAGGAGAAAAAAACACAAACTAAAAGATTCTGCCCGGTATCAGGGTACGTTCCTGGCTAGTGTCAAACTTCCGGTATTCCCGGGATGACACGAAGCTCGCCCCACAGCTCGCCCCACTTCGGGTCATCCCTAAAAAATTTGCCCCTGGCTCGGAAAACACGAAGTTTGGCCGGAAGTTTGACACGCGCCAGGAACGTACCCTCAGTACGAAGTTTCTTCTCGCATGCAGTTGCTGCATCTGCTCCAAAGGCACCCTGTATCTGCTCCAATGGAGGTGTTTCTGTTGCAGTAGTTTCCCGTTTCCCTGAAATCCGTGATGGATATAGTGGCAGCTTTAAAGTGCTTCTCTGTACTGAGGATGAGCTCGGTAGGGAGAGGCAGGATGGGAGAGGAAAACTCATGGAAAACGACAATGGCCTTCCATCCTTGATGCAAAGACAACGACAACAGATACTCTCTCCAAGTCACTCCTCAGCCTCAGAACCGCAATCTTATCCACTTGAAATGGGACAAGCAGTTACTTGGAACGGGTAACTGCTGCCAACGAACAACTAAATGTCACAAATCCCCTCTGCCCCATCGTTCTCCACCACTCACCACCACGTCCTCATCCACTCAAAACAGATAGCTACTGCCGAAGCCATCTGCTTCGTACATCCTCTCCCTCAGCTCTGACACCTGATGGATGGGTGGGTGGGAGTTAAAATGCAGAGAAGATGAGCTCTCACAGTACAGTTGCGTGGATGCAGAGTAGCTGCTACTGCTGTCAAAGCCATCCGCCTCGTACATTCTTGTGATTTTGACGCCTGCTGGGTGTGGTATGTGTATGTGAGTGTGTGAGTGAATGTGTGTGTGTGAGGGGGCGGGAGGGGGGTGTAAAAGAAGAGGGAGTGGCAAAACCTTACAATCTTCCAAACGTTTAAGCACTCGCCGATCATCCGAGCGCTCACCAATCGCTGGATAATCGTTCCAGTATATTCAATGATGAAATTTCCAGCTTCAATCCGCTCCAGAGACAGCAGCCTCCACCCGTGTATCTGACTCCTCACAAGCTTCAGATTCTTCCAAATGTTCCAGCAGCACTTGCCTACCCTCCCAGTGAACTCACAGATCGCCGAATGATGGTCCCGGTATACTCAGTCCCCTGCTTCAATCCAACAACTTCCCCCAACCAGCTTCCAAACTTCTAATCACTCACCGATCTTGAATGATGGTTCCCGTATACTCGATAACTAAGTCACCCGCTTCGATCCGTTCCAGAGACAGCAACCTGGCATGCGCTCATGCCCATCTCCTCAACCCTAAACGCATACCGAATGCATAATCCTTCTACTACGAGCCAGCGTCACACATCATTGCGCTAAGTCAGAAGTCTTCTAAGCGCAGCAAAAAGCGCACTGCGATGATAACTCAAGTCACAAAAAGGTACGAAATAAATAATAGGAATAAGGTCCTCAGCCTTCGCGTCGCCATAGTCCACGAGGAGTGGAGAGTCCGTTATTCGTCAATGGATTCAGATCGCCGTGGGTCGCGATGTAATCGCGACGGTATTATAGTAGAGAACGAAAGAGAGTTTAGTGGAAAGAGGACCCAACTTTCGCGATGATCCTAAAGCTGAGAGAAACTTTTGCTACTAAAATGAATGCTGCGATAAGCTTAGGACGCGGAAGCAATCTGTCACAGGCCGCTGCTGCAGCTAAAGTATTACGTATTCCGCATCTATGGTCTGGTGCACGCGCCGTGTAGTGTGGTTCTATGGCTGCCTGAACTCTGCCAGGGTTGGTTTCCTGCACAGCCTGAGAAAATGTTTGTTTTTTTGTTTCATTCCCTTGCGAAATCGTCTACCAGGCAAATGTGGATTCGCACCAGTCACTTATAGTCGTAAAGAACAGAGATGATTATAGAACTGTCACAGAGCTAGTGATTACAAAGTAGTGTCTAAGATCCCTAAGTGTCAACCACCGCATCTGCAGCGCAGATCCACAGCTTCGCCTTTCTTGGTTCTTGGTCTTCTTGACCCGTCTTGCAGCTTCGGGGCCTGTTGGAGAGGGAGGGGACTTTTTTACAGGGCAGAAAGGAGGAGGGGGACGGTTAAAATTATATACAGGGCAGCAAAATGTAACACCAGTTCCCGCCAGATTGACAACCGCGACGAAGAGAGGGAAGATCGATCCCAGCCAAACCCAACCACGCCTAACCAGACCTGACCGACCGAGTCTAACGTCATAGCTAGTCCGAGCCTAGGTCCAGACTAGCAAAGGCTAACGCGTGACCCAGATCCGAGCCTAGCTAAGGCTATCGCGTCGCGTCTCCTAGCTAAGCCTAATTCGAGCCTAACGATCTGACTAACGCTCCTACCGTTCTGGCTAACGCTCCTACCGTTCTAGCTAACGCTCCTAACGTGTACCAAGGACCCAGGCCCAGACCCACTCACACGGCTGGTTGCTCCAAGCTCGGCGCTCCAGGCTCCTCGATCCGCGCTTCCCCCTCGGCGCCGCGCTCCTCGCCCGCTCATGCTCCTGCCCACAAATCAAAACCAACAGAGAAGAAAGTCAGTGTTTTGAAAAGGAAGAAATTTATTGAAATTGACGCAACTTACCAGGAAAAGGGAGACCACTCAGTTTACCCCCTTCTTCAGCTCCCCATCCCGCTCCTTCTGCATTGGACAGAACAAAAAAGAGGAACTTAGTAAAGCGTAAAAGAATTCAATAACTGAAATTTACGATACTTACCAGAAGAGTGTTGACCCCCTCCGCCCGAGTGTTGCCCGTACTCCATGCTCCTCCTCCCTCTGCATTTAAAAGGCACGGAAGGGCAGGAAAAAGAGTTAGGTAACAGAAACAGATAGCCGCTGGGCAAAAACAGAAGACTGATGACGGAAAACGAGGTAAAACACTTACGAAACCTACCAAGAGAGGGAGACTATTCCGTTACCCCTTGCTCGCCGTCAGCTCCCATTGCTCCTGCATTAAGACAGAATACAAAAGAGAAACTTAGTCAAACGTAAACAGAACAGTAAGTGAAATTGACGATGCTTACCAAGAGAGAGACACTTCGCCGCGTGGTACCTCCCCCGCCCGCTCCAGGTGTTGTTTCCGCCCGCTCCTCCTCCCGCTCCTGCTTCACGAAGGCACGAAACTCAAGTCAGAAATCTCGAAAAAGAAGAAACCAACGGAATTCGACCGTGCTTACCAGCAGGATAGCGTTCTCTTCTTCTGTGCCTTCCTTCACGCTGTTGCCACGCGCTCCTCCCGCTCCTGCTTCACGAAAGCCATGAAACTCGACGTTAGAAACCTCGAAAAGGAAAAAAACGAAATGAATCGGACCGTGCTTACCAGGAGAGAGGGAGAGCGTTCTTTTCTTCTTGACCTCCCGTGATGCTCCCCATCCCGCTCCTTCACTAAGACACAAGACACAAAAGAAACGATCAGTAAAACGTAAACAAAATACAAGCTGAAATAGACGACACTCACCAAGAGAGGGAGTGCTCTCCCCGTGGGAGTCCCTTGCTCGCCGCCAGCTCCCATCCAGCTCCGTCTGCAGTACGACAAAGAAAACACAAGAGATAGTCAGTAAAAAGAAAAGAATAACTAGCTGAAATAGACGACACTCACCAAGAGAGGGAGTGCTCTCCCCGTGAAAGTCCCTTGCTCGCCGCCAGCTCCCATCCAGCTCCGTCTGCAGTAAGACAGAGAAAACACAAGAGATAATTAGTAAAAAGAAAAGAACAACTAGCTGAAATAGACGACACTCACCAAGAGGGGGAGTGCTCTCCCCGTGTGAGTCCCTTGCTCGCCGCCAGCTCCCATCCAGCTCCGTCTGCAATAAGACAAGGAAAGCACAAGAGATAGTAAAACGAAAAGAATATCTAGCTGAAATAGACGACACTCACCAAGAGAGGGAGTGCTCTCCCCGTGTGAGTCCCTTGCTCGCCGCCAGCTCCCATCCAGCTCCGTCTGCAGTAAGACAGAGAAAACACAAGAGAAAATTAGTAAAGAGAAAATAATAACTAGCTGAAATAGACGACACTCACCAAGAGAGGGGGTGCTCTCCCCGTGGGAGTCCCTTGCTCGTCGCCAGCTCCCATCCAGCTCCGTCTGCAGTAAGATAGAGAAAACACAAGAGATAGTTAGTAAAAAGAGAAGAACAACTAGCTGAAATAGACGACACTCACCAAGAGAGGGAGTGCTCTCCCCGTGAAAGTCCCTTGCTCGCCGCCAGCTCCCATCCAGCTCCGTCTGCAGTAAGACGGAGAAAACACAAGAGGTAGTCAGTAAAAAGAAAAGGATAACTAGCTGAAATAGACGACACTCACCAAGAGAAGGAGTGCTCTCCCCGTGAGAGTCCCTTGCTCGCCGCCAGCTCCCATCCAGCTCCTTCTGCAGTAAGACAGAGAAAGCACAAGAGAATTAGTAAAAATAAAAGAAAACTAGCTGAAATAGACGATACTTACCAGGAGAGGGAGGCTGAGATGAAGGGTGATCCGCCAAGAAAAGCGCCGCCATGCGAAAGCAGAAGGGTCGCCAACCGCTCCTCATGCGCCCGTGCGACGGATGCCTCTGTCTTCAAGCGCGTGCGAAGGATGAAGCAGGCCCACGTGAGAAGAAAGGTTATCTGCAGGAAGAAAGTAAATAAGTTAGAATTTATCAAGGAGTAGAGGAAAAATACGAAATTTATAAGTACCTCCACTCAACCAAGAAGATCGGTCCTCAAGAGGCGAATGCCGTGCGACATGTTGGTGTGCCGTGCGCCGTGCGCCTTGCGCCGTGCGTCGGGAGAAGCAGATCCGCACGACGAGAAAAGGGTCGTCCAACGGTAGAACCGCGTAGAGAAGGCTCTGGGCTTGAATGCGTCCAGTAGAGAAGAGCCAAGGCGTTTGCCTGCAGGATGAGAGTAAATAAGTTAGTTCTTGTCTAAGAAAGTCATGACTATTGCAAAAGACATGAGAATGGCGTTGCACTTACCTCCACTTGAAGGAGATGATAAACCGTCCGTCAGAAGTGAAGATCGTTTCCTCACTGCGACGAAGAAGCGCCGGGCGAAGCAGACGACCGCGTCTCACGAGAAATCCGACGATTCTGGCTTGAATTCTTCCGATAGAGATTAGTCGAGAAGCACCGAGGCGGTGGCCTGCAGGAAGAATGAGAATCCGTTAGAGCTTATCCAGTAAAACCGACGACATCGAGAAGAGACGTTGTAAAAGACGGCGTTTGCAAAAAATTGGACAGACATTTAAAGCCAGGGTCTCATGTACGGCGTTTGGGGTCAACTGCAAAGCACTTGGCGGGAGTGGTTACTTTGTGACTCAAAACGAAGAGGGGGTTGGGTTGGAAGCACAGAAACCGACCTTGCGACACACAAAACACAGCAAGCGACTTACGCACCAACCAAAAGGTCGCAAGCACAACCCGCCACTCCCACACACAAATGCAACTGCACAACAAGCAGTGCCTTACATGAGACTACGACTTCCGTTAGGGTGAGGCAATCACGCCTCCTCCCACGCGATTAGCACTTGCTACCAAGCTCATCAACTTCCGACGACCGTCCCGACGCGCACGCGTCCTGTCCACTACCCCGCGCGATAAGCGCAAAGCAAAGAGCCCATTCCGGCGCGCCCAAGCAACGATGCGAGAGGGGAGGCGCCGTAGGCGCAATGCCAGCGACGTAGCCCGCAGTCGCTCTGTGAACGAAAACCAGAATTCCCACGGTGGCCACGTGCAGGTACGCCCCGACACGACGAGCACTGAAAGTCAACGTGCACATGTAGCATGAGCGTACGCCACTCAGCGGAGGGAGTGCCCACATCGCGCAAAGCATGCATTGCGTGAGACAAACCTACAGACAAAAACCAAGACACGGGTGTGCAGTGCAAAAAGGGCGAGGCTTTCACATCTCGGACAACAGTGGCCGACCAAACACCTTTCGCTGCACGCACATGTGAACTCAGCGTGCAACGAAGGCCAGCGCCGCAGGCCTAAAGCGACGCGGGGCGCATATCAGGACACAGCTAAAAAAAAGCATAAAAAGCGCCATCCATACATGCGACCTGTGCCGCGCGTATGAGGGCAGCGCCATGCGCAGGAGGGCAGCGCCATGCATATGAGGGCAGCGCCGCGATAGTGAGGGAGGCGCCGTCCATGTGAGGGCAGCGCCCGTGCATATGAGATGAAGCGCCGCGCAGTTGAGGCCAGCGCCGCGCCTATCAGGCCACCGCGGCGCATATCAGGCCACCGCGGCGCATATCAGGCCACCGCGGCGCATATCAGGCTCCCGCGGCGCATATCAGGCCAGGAAGCTATGCATGTTGCATTGGAAGCGTGGGGGAGGGAGAGTGGAAGAGTGTAGGAAGGGGGAGTGGCGTAGTGGGGGAAGGAAAGTGAAAGCGTGGGGGAAGGGGAGTGAATGCGTGGGGGAAGGGAAGTGGAAGCGGGGGGAAGGCGGATTGAAAGCGTGGAAGATGCTTTGGGGAGCATAAGAGCAACGGATCAGCGGGCCGTGGGAGCAAGGGATCAGCACAACGGGGGAGCAGCGAGGCGCGGGTAGGGAAGAGGAGCATTGATGGAGGGGTTGCCTCCCTGACCGTCTCCCTAGGACCCCCTCACTTGGGGTTGTTACAGCCTCTTTTATAACTCCTTATTGTCACATTGAAGCGCCCGCCGACGGGCATTTCGATGACAGGCACCTCCTATCGTGTGCAGAGGGGATACTATTCGTTTTCGTTGGTGCTTGCTCGCCGAACTTGATTCCTACCCGTATGCGAGTACTGCGGTGAAGGGAGATGTGGGGTTGCGCCGCGCATGAGGACTGGATCAGACGGGGGCTGGATAGTTAGCATTCCGCGTAGTATGCATAGTGGGAGGGGTGTGCTCCTCGTAGAGCAATTTTGCCCCGTAACGGCCGTCGGAATGCGGTTTTGTAATTGCGCAGCCTGCCATGTGACGCCACGGTGCGGGCGAGTTTACGAGCATGGCAGTCGTCCCCTGATGTGAACTCGAATTGTGAGTCCTCACGCCGTGTAGCCCTAAAAATCACATCTAATCCGCAATTCCGGGTTGCGCTCATACGTTGCAGGTTGTGGCGCATGTCCGTCACACGTCGCAATGGGCGAGTAACTCCACATCAGCTATGAGCGTAATCGCACCATCATTTCGGCGCTCACGCTAACGTCCGGCTCATCGCCATTGGTCGCTTTCGCGTAGGTACATTTCTTCATGCGCAGGGCCAATGCGTGTCTCTGGCGTCACTACGTACCTCGGTATTCACATGTGCCTGTTTGTCGTCGCCTTACAACCAGCACCAGGTCCCGTGTGCGTAAGGTCTAATTAGGTCTACTGCTGGTGAGTAATGGTGTTTGTCAGGGATGTCTCAGTTCGAAATTGTGCAAAACAGTTGACTCAGCCCTGGGCTTGGCGTGCGACACCAGATCCGTCGTCACAGATTGTTTTTCCCATCCCCCTGCGATCGAGGGTAATGGGTTCGCGAAGATGTGAGGATTCATGTTGCGAAGTGCAGTTTCTTTGGCGAGTGTCGTTTTGACAGGACGTTTGTTCGTGATTCGTCAGCCAATCAGTCCAACCCTTTTTTTGTCGACTGCAAAGCACTTGCTCTACTTGAGACCCTGGCTTTAACTTACGTTTACTTGAAGGAGCATCTCCTTCGCCTTGGTAGCCGAGCCGAAGTAAGCGCCAACAGCGACGGGGAATGCTCCGTTGTGGTCTTGACGTGAAGTTCGTCGTGAGAAGATTCTTGATGATAACCGCGGTGAAGATAATGCGGTGGTAAACTTGCCGTGAAGATCTCCCAAGGTTCTTGCGGTGGAGTTGTTGCAGTGAAGATCTTGTCACCGATGTAGTTCTTGCGGGAGTTTTCTCGCGATGTAGTTCTCGACGCGAAGAACAGGGCGTAGTACAAGGTTCCGGCCAAGGCTTGCAAGCAGCTCTCTAGACTCTCTACCCACCCACCCCACCCACGACTCTAGACTCTACGCTAATTCTAACGCCTACGCGAACCTACGCGGACTCTAAGACGCGCTGCTGCTTGCCTTGGCCATTCCCTTGTACTAGCTTGGGTGGATTCATGATGTAGCATGAAGTCCACAGGTAGCCCATTGGGACGGAGCTCACTGGGTCGGAGGTCACTGAGAATGATTGAAACTAATTGAGACTGAGCTCCTCTGAAAAATCCTTCTGGCGGAATAACTGGGAAGGTTCAAATCCGAGAATGAAGTTGACGATAGGAACTTCTAGTGCCTCTGATGGAAGGGAAGGGACGATCGAACAAGGTGGTTGGGAGGAGGAGTGTGTCGGTGGAAATGACCATCCCTCTCGGAAACTTCTGGGCGCGGTGCGGGATGCTCAAGCGGCGCGGCGCGTCTCAAAATGTTTTCGGTGCGGATGCAGGTTCGTGAAATACGTATGGCGACGTTGATGATCGCCGCTCTGACTCAAGGTGCTGTGGGCGGTGCGGAGCAAACGCGGGATGGGGTGCGGCTAGTGCGAGTTTCAAGGCACAACAATGTGCTAAACGGATGGTGACGATGACAGCCACCACCAATGAATGGTAAATATTCTTTACCATAGAGATGTGATGTGATATGATGGTCGCCGCCACCATAGAAATTCCCCGCCTAGGAAATGTCGAGAATGTTTTTCCATGGGGACTTTCATCGCGACCCGAATGTGTGCATGTGGGCTCATCCCAAAGTTTTTGCTTGTGTCGGTGAAATTACAGCCGCTGTTATTTGCTGGGTGCGGTGCGTCGCGATCAAGCGCGGGACCTCTGGTATGGTGCAATGGTGCCGTTGCAATACCAAGGTAGTTCGTAAAATAGCGTACGGATACCACAGATCATCTCCGCCGCTGATGGACGGTGATAATTTGGTGGAGCGTGTGGTGTGGTGTCTAACGCCGCCAGAGCAACTTTCCGTCTAGAGAATGTCAGAGTGTGTTCCCGATAAATCGAATTTCGTGGCGGCCCAGAGTTCTCATTTGGTCTCATCTCAACGCGACCCGACATCGTGAACAAATTTGATATGTACAGTTCAAGGATGTGGTTTGGTTAGCGGTTTTCAACAGCAAACCTGCTGAGGGAGTTTATCGCTGTGTTGTGGTTTGACGGACACTCGAGTAACGGGTACAAAAGGTCGGCCTTTAGGAGGTGGTTGACGTGGCACATGTATTTTACATACATAGACCGACTCTGAGTATTCGCGAAAAAATGTGCGTGAATTGCGGGATTGCGTTGAAATGGGTACCAACAGATCGGGGCAGCTCACAGATCTTTTGTTCCTTGCGAACCTGATCGGGGCAGCTGAAAATGCCAAGTGGTGATTGGGAAAAAATCATGCGAGCCAATAGAAGTGGGGGGTGTTTCTCGCCCTCATCCGCCACCCTCCAGCTCATTCCCACTCCAGCTCGTCGCCGAGGCTGATGGGACTTCTTGGTTTTCGTTTCGCCAATGATACTCTCTATCAGTCGAGCTAAACGGTTCAATGTTTGCCGCTTCCAACTTCTAGTACCAGAAGCCGCTTTCCTTGTCTAGAAGCTGAGCAAGTGCTGGTCTCAGATCCGAGTTATATAAGCAGCCAGTAGTCGAAAGATCTAACGATTTCGAGGTTACAAGGCGCGGGAGGAATAGTAGCATCTATTTTCGGACGAATACATAGTGTCAATATGCGGATACTTTTCAGCGCGACTTGAGAGCGTGTCGGCATCGCGGCTGCAGTCGATCTCGTTAGGCAGGCGATGCGCAGGCGCTCTAATCTGAACTGTTGCGCAAGACATTAGTAACGGGGAACTCAATATGGAGCGGAAACGTGAGGGGGAGGGAGGCACGTGATGAACTTAATATGGACGGGAGGCATTAGACTGGCGGGAGGCGGCGAGGGCGGGTAAGGGAGAAGAGAGGTCCACGAGCATGTTTCACGATCTCGCGAATTTCGGATTTTGGTGACCATGTTACATGCTCTCTCGAATGTCGAGCTGACGAACGCTATATCAAAACTCCATGCCGTGTAACCCCTTTCTTTCCACCCTCTCTCACCTTCGCTCGCACATCTCTCCTCCCTCTATCCGCATCTCCCCTCGCTCTCTCCTCATCCACCCGCGCTCCCCTTGTTCCTCCCCTTCCAACTCCTCGCCTCCCCCCCTCTCACCACATCTCCCCCGCTCTCTCCTCATCAGCCCCCTCCGTCCCCTCATCTCCCCCCGCTCTCCCCTCATCTCCCCCCGCTCTCCCCTCATGTCCCCCGCTCTCCCCCCATCTCCCTCGCTCGTCCCCCATTCGTTCCAAAAAAGCATCCCTCATCCCCCTCCGCTCTCCCCTCATCTCCCCCGCTCTCCCCTCGTTTCCGCCCGCTTCACTCCCCCCTCCCCCCTCCCGGCTCTCCCTGTCATCTCCCCCCACTCTCCCCTCATATTCCCTTTCCCTTCCCTCATCCCCCCCCGCTCTCCCCTCCTCTCTCTTCCCAATCACCCCTCAGCCCTTCTCCTGTTTACCCCTCATACCCCCTCCGACCCCTTCCGCCTACCCGCTTCCCTTTTCTCCCCTACCCACTCACCCCTCATCTCCCCCCTTCCGCTCCTATGGCACGAGCTTGGAGCTGCATGGGCCAACCTTCTTATAGTTACCAAGGTGCAACCTGGGTAACCCCTTCCCCCTCTGCACTCCCCCTCCTTCTCTCCCCTACCCGCTTACCCCTCATCTCCCCCCTTTCCCCTCCTATGGCACGAGCTTGGAGCTGCATGGGCCAACCCTCTTAAAGTTACCAAGGTGCAACCTGAGTAATCCCTTCCCCCTCTGCACCCCCCTCCTTGTCTCCCCTCCCCATTCACCCCTCATTTCCCCCACTCCCTCCTTTGGCATGAGCTTGGAGCTGCATGGGCCAACCTTCTTATAGTTACCAAGGTGCAACCTGGGTAACCCCTTCCCCCTCTGCACTCCCCCTCCTTGTCTCCCCTCCCCACTTTCCTCTCATCTCCCCTACTCCCCTCCTTTGGCATGAGCTTGGAGCAGCATGTGAACAGCCTTCTTGAAGTTACCAAGGTTCACCCTTGGAACCCCCTTCCTCTTCTGCACTCCCCCTTCCGTCTCCCATGCCCATTCACCCCTCATCTCCCACTTTCTCTCCTTTGGCATGAGCTTGAAGCGGTGTGTGACAGACAGCCTTCTTAGAGCGATTACTGAGAATTTTCCAATACCGACGCCCACCTCTCTGGGGCCCCATTTCCCCCTCTGCCCTTCCCTCTCCCCACTTCCTCCCCCTCCCCTTCCCCTTCCCTTCTTTCTCGCCTATGAACTCGCATGGCTTTTGAGGCGCCTCAAAAGCCACCTAGCATGGCTGTGCATGTGAAGTCACATGCAAGGATTGGTAGCATACACGTGTACTGTATGCCCCGGCTTGTTTCAAAAGTATGGAAACGTGCTATGTAATGCATGAGCTTCAAAAGTACACCGCATGAGCAAGTGCATGTGTGATAGTCAGAGTTTGGTAAGGAGGTAGTACCACTCCTCAATCACACTATTGCATGTGCTCTTTTGCACCCCAACCTAACTGTTAGTAGCTGAAGCTGACTCATACCGTAAGCGGAACTTGAATGATGGCAATCAAAAGCTGGTGAAAAGCTGAACGTGACAGGTCTTTACACGAATTAAGAATTGTTATTTTCTTTTTTCTAGTGTCTCTTACCAGTGTTATTGGTGTTTCTTGAGCCAGACTTGCTGTTGCGATGCGGATTCCTGCTCACCCCGCTAGTTCTTGGTGGCGGGAGACGAAGCGGCACCAGATGAGAGATCGAACGAAGTCGCGAACATGTTTCGACCTAGGTTCGTCTTCACGGTGCGTAAGAGCGTTCGAGCCGCCATAGAGATTAATGGGTTACGCGATCCCAAACCGTACTTAATCGACGCTTATTCGTCGCAACCACTATCTATTCTCTCGCACCAGCCATCGCCTGGTCTGCCTTCTCCTGGGAATTCGTCGCACGCACGGCTTCCGCCGCTGTCGCAACGGAAATCGCAAGCAGCTTGCACCAATCACCACGGTGCCGGCGATCCCCGTTTTGAGGCGTCTCGACACACGACTCCATGTCCATACGCGGTAGACCGTGCGACGGAGCGTCGTCTTTGCTCCGCAGCAGCAGCAGCAGCATCATCGAGCACACCAGCGACAGCAGCAGCAACGGCAGTAGCAGGCTCACCTGCTGCTGGACGCGTGACGGCAGCAGCGGCGCCACTGGCACCCGCGCATCCATCCTTTCATGCCGCACAGGCAGCACCGTCAGCAGCAGCACCGTCAGCAGCAGCACCGTCAAGAGCTGCAGCAGTAACGGGCGAAGAGTGGGATGTTGAGGAGAACAATTGGGAACAGCATTCTTGGCCTGAGAAGGTTCGGACTGGTGGCACACACAGAGAACAGGCGGGACGATGGGTAGAGAGAAGGGGAGTGGGGGGAAGAGGAGGGAGATCAGGGGAGAGACGAGCAGCAGGTGCTGCAGCAGCGAATGGGGAATGGGACAGGAGAATGGTGGCGTTCCTTCTCAGCATGTGCACATCTCTCCACCCTGCCCCGCCCTCCGCAGCTTCTTCCTGTTCCGCCCCCTCTCCCTCCACCTTTCCTGTCCCTGGTCCCTCGTCTCCTCCTTCAATCCCCCCTACTGGTCCAGCGAGGGGTGGGCGCATGAGCAGAGAGGAGATGGTGGCGCTGCTGCAGCAGCAGTGGGAGAGGGAGCTGCTGAGAAGTGGCAGCCGCAGGTTCGGGGCAGTGGGTGAAAGCAGCAAGGAAGGGGAAGGGCGTTGGAAACGCAGATTACAAAATGACATGAGCAGCACGGGGGTTGCCAAGCTGAAGCCGTATCATGTGAGCGAAGTGCTGAGGACACTGTTTGACGCTGACGTCGGTCTGGCGTTGTTCCGGTGGGCCAAGGACGTGCAGGGAGTGACGCCGGACGAATTCGTGTACTCTGCCCTTTTTGGACTGCTGGGGCGGGGGAAGGATGCGGCAGGGCTGGCGAGGGCGGTGGAGGAGATGAGAGAAGACGGGTGCTGCGAAAATGCATTCACGCTGCAAGCACTCGCTGCCGCGTACGCTCGTGCTGGCAGGTTTGAGGAGGCTCTTGCGACGCTAGCCGAGTTGGAGCATCAGGGATTTTCGGATGGTCGGCGGTCTACTGTTGGGTAGGTCTCTGTGGGTCCCTTACTCTCTTCTCTCGCTTTTTCCTTCTTGTTTTTCCCCACTTATTACGGACCTCTCCCTTCTCGCTCCGCTCGTTAACCCCACCATCCCCCTCCCGACTCCCACCAGGGCTCGAGTGGACGTGTTATTCCGCATGGGCCGGTACCGCGATGTGATCAAGGCGTTCAATGCGACGCGGAGGGCGGGAGAAACACCTGACGAGTTCATTTACAACATTGCCATCGCCTGCCATGGACAACAACAGCGTTGCAGCTGAGGCCGTGTTCAAGGAGATGATTTCACGGGGAATGGTAAGCTCTGTGAATACTCTCATGGAAGCGTATGGCTCAGTTGGCCGGATTGACGACGCGATGGCAGTTTTTGACCGCATGTGCCTGGCTGCTGTTGCTGCTCGGACAAATCAGGGGGGAGGAGAAGGAGAAAGGCAGAAGGGTGAAGGAAACACAAGGGAAGGGGGTGGGACTGGCAGCTGTGCGCAAGTGCCGACTGCTTCTCCTGAAGTGTCTCAAGATTCACGTGCCGTACGTCCTCCTCCGTCCATTTGGCCAGCCCCGGACATGATCACCTACAGGAGTGCAGTGAACCTGCTGGGCATAGCTGGGCGGCTGTCAGAAGCAGAGGCCACGTTTGAGGCGATGCTCGTGGCTGGAATGCACCCAGACGCCATGGCTTGGTCCACCTTGGTGCTGATGTGGGCCAGAGAGAGCAATCCCGAGTGTGCAGCCATGTGGTTCAACCGCATGCTTCTCTCCGGGTGTCAGCCCAATGCGGCGGCGTACAATGCGCTCCTGCTCGCGTTTGTGAGTGCGGAGATGTTTGACGAAGCAGAGGAGGTGCTCTCTGCATTCAAAAACGGGTGGGACGTGGTGGGGCAGGTGGGGATAACTCCAGGAGGAGAAAAGCACACTAATTTCAGCAAACACAAGCCAGAAAATGTCCCATGTTCCACAGGCGAAACCATGGGTGGTCATGGTTACGTCAGGCCAGGCCGGGCTTTGAACCTGGTGCGAGGGAAGGTGCTCAATCTGCCTGTTGGCGAGCGTCCTGACCTGATGACCTACACCATGCTGCTGAATGCTTGCACCGCCTGCACTGCTCGCAGCGGTGTGGGCCGGTTGATGCGGCTGATGGAAGAGACGGAGCATCCTGCCCACTCCGTGTTCCAGCTGCTTTTGGAGGGGTTTGAGGGTGCTCAGTCTGTGTGTCGCGTGCTTATGGGGGAGGCCGTGAGTGAGGGAGTGAGTTTGGAAAGGAGTGATGGAGGAAGTGAGGGAGGACAGGGAGAGGGTGGCTGCGGGACGACGGAGAGGGATGCTGTTGCGAGAATGATGGTGAGGGGTTTGGTGGAACAGGAGGTGAGGGAGGTGTTGGCGGAGTGGGAGGCGGAGCGGTGGCGGGAGGTAGAGAGGAGGATGAGAGGGGCTGTGTGTACCTAGGCTGATGTTCACTCCCAGCGTGGCTTTTCTGAGGCTTGCATCTCTTTCTTGCATAAGTTCGGGCAACACGAACGGGCAGCTCGCATGTGGAACCTCTGCCACACGCGACTACAGCTGTTCACTAACACCGTTCGTCTGCCCGCGATTTACGGGCGGCATGGGAAATATTTATTGGACTTACACGGCATGTCAGGAGGCACTGCAGTGACCGTGACCCGGTGGGCGTTGGAGAAGATGCGGCAGGCTGTGGTGGCCTCTGCTGCTTCAGGTCTTCCATCAGGTGCTTTTGATTCACCACTGGGAATAACAAGAGAAACAGTAGCAGGATGAACCAATCTTGTGGCAGGGGCGGTGGAACCAGAACAGGAAGCAGAGGAGGGTGAAGAGGGAGCTGCAGTTGGTGAGGTCGAGCCAACAGGATCATCATCAGCAGCAGCAGCAGCAGCAGCAACAGGTGGTGGTGGTGCTGGTGGTGGTGGTGCACTATCCCGGAATGAATTACCACCCTTGCAGTGGATGCGGCCGGGGAAGGTGGAGGTGGTGACGGGGTGGGGCAAGCGCAGCCGGGTGCAGGGGGCGTCGCTGGTGAAGGCAGCGGTGGAGGCGCTGCTGCTGAGGGACCTCACAGCGCCCTTCTCCCTCCATCGCTCCCATCCCGGCTCGTACGAGGCCCTTGGCGCGGACCTTGAGCAATGGCTGCTCACGCCAGGTGTTGATCAGCTACTGGCTCCTAAAAATGAGGACTGAGAGGAGCTCAAAGTTGATAAGCCAATTGAAGCACATGATTGATGAAGTTGGTGGTGGTTGCAGAGGTTGCTTCCAAGGGTTGCAAGGGTACCATTTTTTGGTCGCGCAACCAGCACATGCCTTGGAGCAATTAGGGACCTGCAGACAACTGGTCTAACTGTCCGTAGTCTATTTGAATCTAGGTACCAGTTCTATGCTGAGCATAGGGTAATGTAACCTGTCATTTTAAAATTAACAATTTTGTCAGTCCTTGTAGAAAAAGTATCCAGTCCATCTCCTGGCCACTGCAATGATGCCAACTTGGTACACACTGCAGTGCAAAGGAGTGAGTTAGGACATGCCGCTGTGACTAATCATTCGCTCATCAGCAAAACACTAGATTTCAGAAAGATTGTAACCTCATCAGGGCGAACTACGCCATGATGCGCTTGGAGCGCACGAAGAGGCTGTCGACGACCTGGTTCATGTGCACTATGGTGTCTATGGCTGCAGGGTACAGCGCATCCGGCACCTGTGGCTGGAACACCACCAGATTGCCTGCGCCCTGATCCAACGTGCCCTCAAACTTGCGGTCCAGGATCATCTGGGAGAGCTTTGACTCCACCTGGTAGACAGATGTTGAAAGAGGTAGGGGAGAGAGTGGAGAGGGGGAAGAGAGGAGATGAGGGGATGGAAGACACGCACTGAAATGGAACACAAAAAGCATGATACTGACACTGGGAAGAAGGAATCAGAAGGATAACTGAAATATGTTTTCACATCAGCAGGATTCACTCTCCACTCACTAGACGCTCTGCACCTGTGAACCGCTGCGATGCGGGGACTGCACTTACCAGTCCGTAAGATACCACACCATACATGCAATCTTCAGTGAAGAAAGGGAACGACAAATCAGCTATCTCTTTGGAGTCTAAAATTCTTCCAGCACACATCATTAACCTGTTCTGACCCAAATGCATACCTTTTCCAACGGCAGGCCAATAAGGGAAGAGATGTGAGCGATTTCCACACATGAGTAAGGCTCAATCAGCCTCAGCAGATTTTGCTCCAGCAGAGAGTCGTAAAGCGCTGCCAGGTGGCGGCTGATGATTGGATCGTCAGAGAGCTGGTGCTTGTAGGTGCGCAAAGCCTCCTCAAAGGCTTTGAGCGACCGCTGACTGTGCGCTGTTGCGACGGTCTTCATCGCGTCCACCTCATCACCCGTATACTTGAGAGCTGCCTTGCTGGCAATGATGCTTGCAACGTCATCAGCTTGATTCAGCATGATCTGTAAGAGAGGCATTAAGGTGAGAAAAGCCAGCAACAAAGAGACTTTAACAACTGATAAGAGAACTGGTTTCAATGTCGCAGTACCAAACTGCATCATGCCGAAAAAAAGAAGTTAATAATGTTAAGAATTATATTTCCCAAAAATTGCAGCCACCCATAGACCAGTCACAGATTCAGCGTCATCATCTTGCAAAAAAGCATGAACTCACCTTGCAGAGCAGCATGTACTTGAGGCAGGGAACAGTCTTGGGGTCGTCCAGTCCGTTGAAGCACTCGAAGGCTTCAAAGAAGTACGAGTACGCCGTCTTGTAGTCTTTCTCCTCTGCGTGCAGCACGCCTGACTGCATGTCAATCTGACCCTGCTGCGACGGCGGAACGTAAATCGAGTTCGCCGCAGTTCGCGCTGCAGTTAACGCCGCCTTAGCCTTGGGAATGTTCCGAAGTTGATGGTGGAGTCGGCTCTCGAGAAGATCTATGTCGACCAATAGGAGCTTGTCGTCGAGCCGCCTTACCTCCCTGACAAGATTGCTAGTTAACGCCAGCGCGGTCTGGTAGTCCTTAGTCTCCATGTACAGCGCGCCGAGTCTCGCTTCGACGCGCTGCCGAAGGAAGGTCCGTTTCTCCTTCTTGGTCCACTCGACCATTTCCTTGCACAACGCGAGCTGCACATCCGTGCTGTTAGGTATCTTCGCTACTAAATCAATTACAGTACGGACAAGCTTAGCGGTCTTCGCCTTAGGAATAAGAGCGAAATAAGGGCGTAAGTCAGTCAGGAGGTCACGAAGCTCCTCTGCCTTCCCTTGCTTGGAAAGAATCTCGCCGAGGCTGCATACGGCGGTCTCCTTCGTGCGAAGCGCATCGGCTGACGTGGCATCATCCTGGATAATCCCGCGATAGATCGCAGCAGCGGCCGAGGGATCGGTAGATGCGAGCTCAGATGCACGCTCAAGGGATTCAGGCGTGGCGGGATACGACGACGAAGATGCAGCAGGCGGAGTCTCCGTGATCATCGCGTCTGCCATGGCTTCGATCAGTCGACCTTGCTAGCGCAAACCCGGACTGAACGAAACGAGAATAAGCGTCAACACGCTCAAATTCCTCTAGCGAAGATTCCTCACAGCTTTATTCGAGGAATCTAATGCTCGATACCAGAGTCGTTTCAGGCACGCACCGCACAGGACTACCCGATCTGACAAGGGATTCAGGAAAACAAGGAATCAGTGAAATGGATTTGCTATTGAGAATCAGATGATTACTGGTGTCAGAAGTGGGTGTACTTTTGCGAACTCACACGAAGTTAATGTAATGTTAAGTGTTACATTTTGATGTTTCGTTTAGCATGGTTATGTGATGCGCGAACTTCCGCACGAGCTAATCACGTCAGCGAGACACCAGTTGTGCGTGAAATCCCAAGGTCTTTTTCAGTCACAAATGATCAACCATGGCCCCTCCGTTCCCAGTCCATCAGTAGTACTACGGGTGAAAGTGTGTTGTCACCATCATCCTTCATGAATAACAATCGACTTATTCTGCGCTGGGATTCGTGGTTTCGGATTCCCTGGCAGTAGTTTATGAGGGTGTTTCGGACTCCGACAGTTCTGATTTACTGTTAGAGTGCTGTAGGCACATCAGGATACGTCGACAAGCAACTCGTTCCAGCTATTGAATCCTATACCGACCTATATTGTCGTTTTTTCTAGCTTTTCGTGTGTGTGTGTGTGTGTGTTTTTTTTTTTGGAGTCGTTCTTATGGCGAGCTCGACGGACTTCCGTTTTTTCCTCTCGTGCGACATCAACTTACCCATACGCTTTAAAGTAGAGAGCCTTCTAGGGAACATTGACGCGAGTGCCGGCTCAGCTGGAGGTAAGTAACCGATGAGACCTCACCACTTGCTAACGAAGACCTTGTCTTGTATAATCATGCGCCTCTCTTCACTCGGCTGCTCAATTTCTCCCTTGAGTCGGCCTACAACGGTTTTTTCACGTCTTGAGTGCAGACGCTACCTCGTGCACTCGCGAGCACATCTCCTCCACAGAAGCGCATGGCGGAAGGCAGCCAAGTGCAGACGATACATGCCTCAGTGACCCGAGCTGTCAGGAGGCACGTGCTCTTTGCGTGGAATGCGAGCTTTTCATTGACGGAGTGTCGTTTGGCCAACCCGTTGTCACGGGGTAATGGGCTGGTAACCTTCGTGTTAAGCTAACCAATTTCTCTGAAGCAGGCTCAGAGCATGTTTTAGATGCAGCTGTCACTTCCAGAGTGTGCCTGCCCGTTTTGTTATAAATCACTCTCCACATGTGCATATAATCCAGCGACCACACTGTAATCGTTTCTCGGGTTGACGCTGCTTGGACTGCAGGAATGCAACATGGAGTGAGGCCGATGGTGGGAAATGGCGATGGGACGAATGGGTTCTATTGACAGCCAAGTACTGTGACATTTCCGCGTATTCCTTCATTGCTTTCACTGTAAGATTCTTTTCCCAAGCTCACCATTCACTGCGGTTGCGTTGAGCTATTCAAGTAGTTGACTCTTCACCTATAACCAAGTTATGTTCGCACACCTTGAATCCCTTCTTCCCGCTGACCTTTTTACAGATCTGGGACTTGAAGTGTCAAAACAGGCCACGTGTGGTTGGTGGCACCACACTCCCTCTCTTCTCCCACACCATGTCAGCACACCCTCCCCCTTCACCCCCCTCCACCTCACCAAGATCATCATCACCACCGCTTCCGACCGACACACCTCTCCCGAGCGTCCCAGACGACCTCTCTTCCTATCCTGGCGCCTGCTTCGGTGCGGATTTTAGCTCGCTACCAGGCCTTCCCCCAGGCTCGGGTGTTAGTCTGGCAGCAGGCGCTCAGATGCAGCATATGCTAAAGATGGGGCGGTTTAAAGCACGTGTGTGGCTGGGGAAGAAGGCGGATGGAGGAGTGCCCTGCAGAACACCAGGGAAGGTAAAGAGCCAAATTGCTCCCCATTTCGTGTGGAGCATTAGCTGCTGCTCATACTAATTCCGTCTCTCGATTCTCTGTATCTTGTCCTTCCAGGTTCCTAAGGAGGAGCAAGGGGAGACCGAGAGGTTGGAGCGGTTGGTGAACCGCTATGACCGCGGCCAGATGGCAAGAGCTGATTGGCTGGATGATCTCGCCTTTGCTGCCATTGATACCATTCTCGAAGGGGAGGAGAAGGAACGTTCTAGAAAGCGGGGGAGTATGGCGGCAAGGCTGGTTGTGGAGTTTCCAACGTTTGACCATCCAGTGGCTTTCCAGGTAGAGAATTACACTGGGTGCAGGCAGGTGTATAATAATGACCATTGAAACCCACAATCATCTGTGCATTGCCCTTTTGATCACAACCTCTTTACATCCTCGTCTCTGCTCTCTCTTCCCTCTCTGCCCACTCTGCTTACCCCAGGAGCTAGGCGCAGCAGGAGTAGCAGGGGTAGGCAGCGGCGGAGCAGCAGGGGGAGCAATCAGCAGCAGTGCAATCGGCACAGGGGCGGTACCAATAGGCGTGGCTCCCATCCCGGCGAGCAACGAGGTGGTGGTGCTGTGGGACCCGGAGATAGAGCAGCGCGTCAACCCGGCAGAGGCCAAGCAGCTCAAGCTCACGCGCATGCTCACCCGCGGCAACATGGAGAGGGACCTCAAGCCCAACCTCGCTGAGAGGAAGTGAGTTCTGAGAATTCTCAGAAGTATCACAGATAGAGCTCATTTGCATGCCGAACC